TGTATATGAAGTCGAAGTAATCTTTCCATAGGTGAAGGACATGATCACGGAAGCCGAATAACTGAAATCAGCGGATTACCACCTGTACCGCGACTAAGAGCTGGTGTTCGTACCGCGTGGCATGTCTCTGGTGGTTCTTTGGATCATTTAAGATATCCAGAACCACATTCTTCGCATGCCTGGTCTGCATGGGCTCATAGGTCTCCGCAACCTTAGGTTGCAATTTTGCATGCAAGACCCTGCTTTACATTTAGTCTCACTGATCGCACCTAGTAGAGACAAGATATGTACCTGCGCATCCGGCGCAATCTCTCAGTACTGCCCTCAAGGACCACTCTGAACCCGCCAGACAACGTCTCGTGCACTGCAATAGAACGTGGGCGGTCGGCAACATTTGCTCCCTCCTTTTCCATGATATCCACTGCAGCCTGTGATGTGATCCACTTCATGCCTGGCTAGACAATGTATTGTTTTATGCTGACCTGATGACGTCCTATAACTACGAAAATCCTATGGCCTTGTTTGAGCGAGAACACAGGTCCGTATTGTTCGGTCCATCTCGCGAATTGAAAAGGCGCACTGCGTGGGGGGTTAGATAGAGATCATGTTGGTGTCCCTTGACAATGACTTACTATGACGTTGGCATCGTATTTCCTAATAGCCAATGTCCAGGCGGTCCAGGCGGTAATGGCAACCGTCTTGCGGCCTGATATCGTTGTTTCGCTATCCAGACGCTAGCTAAGATAATGATAAGAGTGCATGCGGCAATGATAATCGCCATTGAAATGGTCCGGCTTGCTGATAGTCACGATTCAGACACCCCCGCTACTTTGCAGTGCGTCAAGTACTCCAGAACACAAAGGTGGTGACTTACTGTGATGAGTGACAGGTACGGTGAGATTAGAGTGCATGATCACGCTGGCTTATACTTATACAAACACGGATTGAACACCTGCGCGGATAAATCGGACCCAGTGAGCGAGTCACGTACTGCGGTCTTCCTATAGTATAGGCTAGGAATCTGATGTGACCAGTGACCACCCTAGTGATAACTTGAAGTTAGCGCGTGCTCCACCCGAAGATTATGTAAGGTAGATCTTCATGTCGTTCTCGGTGACCCGTTGACTCAAGCTTCAAGGACGAACCCAAGGCCGAGGAAGCGGCAGAAAATAAGAGACTGGCAGAGCTCGCAAGGAGCTCGAACTTTTTGGTCAAGAACACGATCGTTGACCAGGAGCTTTTTCTGCAAATGAAACCTATTAGTGCCAACAATATCTATGGTTGATATCGTTCTCGTTTACTCAATTGTGAAGACGGATGTTCTATGCGGTTTTACCTTGACATCGCTTACATAATGTTCGGCTATCAACGCCCACAAATTTGAATGCGCATTCCATTCTGTTGATCATGCGAGTTGTTCGGTATAGGTGAAACCATCGCTACTCTTGAAGCGGCCCAGGTAAGTCTTGTTTGAATAGGGGGGATGTGAGCTGATATCATTATACCCACAATAGCTGCTTTTTGATGGCTTGGGAATCTGACGAGTATGCACAGGCTCGGAGTCCTTGCTGTAAGTGTATCTCGTTCATAATGATCAGACAAATTTACACTATTACTAGCTTGCACGTTTGCAGTCGGCGTCCAACTCGCCAACTCTAAGTAGTAGTCTCAGTGCCCCCAACTCCTCGTTCGTGCCACCACCGCATATCTATAACGGGCAGCATGTGTGGGGAGATCAAACATATCGCACCATACAACACCAGCCCACTGGCGCACTCGACAACCGCCAACAGCACATGCTCTCGGCAGAGTTGTAGGTGGACCTTTTAAAAATGTCGAAGTTTGGCATATAAACTCAGCTGGGCTGAGCTCTCCTAGAATTCAACACCCCTAGTTCTCCTCATTTCGGCACTTCGTGGTCGCCTTCAGCCTTCCCATATGATTCAGACTCTGTTCACCTCAAAGAGCAAGAGGGATGAAATCAAGGCGAATAAAGCGGCGGAACTCGAGAGATTGGAAGCTCTCAGAGCCCAGAAGTACCTTGCAGTCTTCGGAGTAGAATACACACCTCCAACGGGAGCTTTGTCTGAAACTGAAACTTGGTGGAGCCAGCAATATCAATGGTTAAGAGACCAAGGATACTTGCTTCGGCCACGCTATGCTCCAGAATGGGTTCCGTCTTGGGAGGGTTCCAAACGCAGTTCTTCTGGTTGTGAAGATCGACAGATCTTACGTGTGAGGCAACAAGCTCAGCTTCCATTTTGACTAGCTGACGGTTCCACAGTTTTGTCAAGTCATAGATGCAACACGCCTATCTGACGGCTTGTATGTTTGCCTCAAAGTAGTCGAGAAGTCGGTGTTTCCTCATGAGGCAGACATTGGACTATATTTCATGTCGGACAAACTTGCGTCTGATCCCAAGAACCATTGCGTTCCAATTTTCGAGGTGTTGTCAGTTCCCGACGAAGACGACAAACAAATTATCGTGATGCCATTGCTTCTCAATTTTGTCAGGCTTCGATTTGATACATTCGGCGAGGTAGTGGAATGCCTCAGGCAACTTTTCGAGGTATGACAACCGCTTTGAGCTTGTACGTCCTCTCATCAACTTACTGCAGGGTTTTTTGTTCATGCACAACCACCACGTTGCACACCGGTACATTCCCCGAGACTGTCATAACGTGATCTCACTGAACTGAACAACAGTGATTGCATGCGGCTGAACACTATGATGGATGCCAAAGACCTCTATGCCGAACCATATCACCCTGTCAAGCCTTACATGAAACGGGACTATAGCGGTTTCGTGAGTCATTACACCCGCACTCAGCGACCCCCAAAGTACTACATCATCGACTTCGGCTTGTCACGCCGATACGATGCCAGTGAAGAAAATCCGCTCGAGTATCCTATATTCGGGGGTGATAAGACGGTACCAGAATTTCAAAACAATACGGATACCCCGGTGAATCCCTTCCCAACCGACATCTACTATCTCGGAAATCTTATCCGAGAAGAGTTCCTATATGTAAGTGCTGGTCTGACGCTTTCATCTTTCAAAACTTATGAACGTAAACAAGGCTAAAACGGGATTTGAGTTCTTGCAATCTCTTATCGATGATATGGTGCAAGATGATCCAAGTAAAAGACCTACAATGGGGCAGGTGGTCGAACGATTCGACTTGATTCGACAAACCCTCAGCACATGGAAACTGTGGTCTCGCGTGACTGCCAGGGACGAAGGTCCTTTCAGGTGTATGTATCACGGGACTGCTCATTGGAGACGACGGATAGGTTTTATTGTCAGGCGTGTATCAGCTATACCTCGTCTTCCGCAATGAAGCGCGCCTCTACGATTTCGCAGTGCACCTCACTGACATTCATATGATCTTTTGAATATATAAAATCTCGTGACATCGAGTGGGCCGATGAATTCAGTGTTTGTAACTACTTTTGCATACAGAAATTGCTGATTATGTACACGGCAAAACGGTCGACAGTATGTGGAGGTCTTAAGTCTGCGTGCTAGTGACAGTGTCCCATAAAGTCGACAGTTGCGCGGAGATCGGAATAGCGGCATACAACAAGTAATGGCCGACCAAAACATCAAACACCAGTAATCCGAGAATGAGCTGCAGACGTCCTCCAGTATTTGGCACGAGTACGAGTCTAAAATGGTGTTAGTTGATATTACGCTGAGCTCTGAGTAGCCTCCTATACGCGGTGTAGCTATGTTTCCCGAGGAAGAGTTCGCATGGCGCATTGGTGCTAGCGGCACTCTTTTGGTTAGAATTGAAAGTAATCTGTACGGATTTTATGCCAGCAAGAAAGGTCTGGGCACGATCTTGCTCGCTGAGATTCTACGTTTCGACTGACCAAGTACTGCGATAGTGAATCGTCAACTTCACGCACATACATCAAAAAGTGTGTCCTATTTGAGACCAATCAGTCGAATACGATACGGGAAATGAAACAAACCAAATTATAAGGGTGAATGGTCAACTGGTCAGATGAGTGGCCTTGCTAGATCGAGTGCATAAAGACGACTGAACAGCGGCACGGACTAGGAAAATAAAGCAATGCAGAAATTAACTGATTGGTGTATGAATGTAATGATGGTTAGAACACTGCGGTGAACAACGCCACAGGCACATACTGCATCCATGCAAACTTTGTTTCGTTGATGGTGACTTCGAGAAGGTTGAGCTAAAACGAAGTGGTGAGTGATGACGCTGTATGCACAACGCCCATCAATGCCCCGAAGAGTCATGCGAAGTCGTGGACATCCAAACCTAATTCTGACTAGGCTGGAAATGAGGGAACCCTTCATGTTAAAAAGAGGTTACATATGCAGGAGGGTTGGTGCCTTGCAGGGCATCCGGACATTGCATCAGTGAATGGGCGAATAGACCGTCTCGCATTCTTCAGAGAAGCACCCACGGTTAATTGAGTCTAGTGCTCGAGGGATAAGTTGAGCACGTGTATGAAATGTACTTGATAAATTTGTAAGATCAAGTGAGACATTCCTTACCAACCGGCGTGCAAATCGACTTGTCACTTTACAAACAAATGAGAATACGAGGCGTCGATTAATGATAACAGAAAAACGCTGAAAGATAGCAAAATGAGGATATAAATATGAATGTGATTGTCCGTGTTCTAAAACCATCAGTGACCGTCGTCGTTGGACGGAGACGCACAGCAGAGGAACAGCACAGCACGAGCCCACCATTTGGAGTTATCGACGCGTTTTGCTTTGTCGCTAGCTCGTTCCGGCCGTCGAGAAACATACAGTGCCTACAGATAAAACTTGAGACGCCAGCTATTGATAACTCCTGCAAACGACATACCTTCTTGTCATCTAATGCAGGAACATCGACAACAGGAGGACTGCGACGAGAGGAGGTACCAGGTCCCCATGTATGTTGCTGAGGTTCATTTGGTTCATCTGTGTTGGGTGGGGAACGGCGGAAGAGTGAGGGAAGGCTAGCGAGGAGCGCACGTGGACGTGATCCCCAGGATAGTGCAAAAGCATTGCGGAGGCGATGGAGAGATGGATCAGGATGGGTAGTGGAGGACTGAAGATATAAAAATCAGAATAACCTGTGCAGGTAAATGGTGGTAACTTACAGGACCGCTGTCTTGCACATTATCGAAAAAGCCTTGTGGCACTCGACGTGGGGCTGGACGGATAGGCGGACGTCGCGTAGCATTAGCCTGGAATGCGGATATCAGGATCGATATCAAGGTCAGGAAAAGATACAGCGTACATCTGATAGCTTGTGCGTGTGGGACATTAGCGTGTTTGATTCTTGAAAAGTCACAAGATGATACATACATTATTTTTGAGTTCAGATTTTTGTGCCTGATAGCCATTGGGAATGAGATAGCGAGTGAGAGTCAAGTTGGCACTCACATCAGGTATGGACAGGAGATTTTCTAGGCCAGCTGTTTTGAGGACGGCTTGAATGTCCCATACATACGCATTTTTATCATTCCAACCTGCGGTGGATAGCAGCTTTCCATCAGCGGAAAAGGCTGCACAAGTGACGTCATTTTTGTGTTGAAGAGGTGGCCCGATTTGGAGGTTTGTGTCAAGATTCCAGAGACGCGCTGTATGATCCCAAGATGTACTCGCAAGGAGGCGGTCGTTTGGAAATAAAGTAAGGGAGTAGACAACATCAATGTGACCCTCCAGAACGGCGATCTGCTGCCATGTGGCAGTGTCAAATATCGCAATCGGGCCATTCCCGCACCCGGCAATAAGCTTCTTTTCGTCCGATGTCCAGGTTAAGCTCCAAACTGGATCGAATTTGATTGTGGACATGTACAGCAGCTCGCCCTTCTTCGCGTCCCAGATTTTGAAACCATTTTCGTTGAATCCTCCTGTTGCAATCATTGATGCCTCGGGTGAGTATCTCACCACGTAAACCGACTCGTGTCCTGTCTTGATTGGATTCAGACCTTCGCCTGGTTTGCCGCTCTTCACATCCCACACTTTTGCCATCCCGTCGTTTGATCCGCTCACAACTCGCCCACAATTTGGACTCCAGCACACTGACTGCACAAAAGAAGTGTGTCCTTTCCATTTGACGACAACCTTCCCAGTCTCGACCTCCCACAACCTCACTGTCCCGTCATTGCTTCCGCTGGCAATAGTCTTGCCATTCGGAGACAATGCCATGGCCCTTATTGCTGCCTCATCTCCTTCATCTCGCCACTCGCTACCTATCTGTGCACCGCTCTTTAGGTCCCATACTCGAAGTGAGCTGTCGAATGAACATGTGATGATGCGCTGCCCACCGGGCAGGTGTGCAACGCCTATAACTCCCGCGGTATGGCCTCGTATCGTCTTGCAGGGGGTTACTGCTGACGTCTTTTTCACATTAGCGGCAGTAGACGATATGATCGGCGCTCGGGGATCTCGATCAAGGGAATCGTAGACCATATGCGCGAGAGCAGATCGTTGCTTCAGAATGAGTTGTCCTGTGGGGGTATAAATAGTGGGTGATTTCACTGGCTTATTTGCTTTCACCTGACTTTGGCATGTCAATAGAAGTGCCTGGAGCGATTGTTCACGAGAGATCCTACCTAGGGGGATTCTATCCTGACTGAGAGCACAGCTTCAGGACGACGTATCCAAGAGATACCCCTCGATACCGGCCGGGGAGTAGTCGTATCTTTTCCTCACTTCAGCTTTTCCTACTCCCAACTACAGTATCACTCACGGTGAAGTCCACTTGGGACAGATTCACTCCGCGCAATAACGAGAGGGGCGGGCTGGTAGCTGAGATAGCGGATGTTTGCTTTTGGGGTCGAGAGGGCTGCGCAGGTATTGATATAAGTTGCCTGCCAAGGCACGCATTCTTCATCCTCGTGTTCTCTCCACAGCTTCACAGTGCTGTGCACACCAAGCGCCACGTGCATCTCCTTATCTTTATTCGGCCTTTCAGATGGTCCGATGCATCTCCGCTTTCTCCAAATACTATTCTACCAGCCTGTCTATGTTGGACCTCACTCGGAGGACGGTGTTGTACGCTTCTCAATATCACAGAAGACATCGATTGGTGGTAGCTCTGCTGAAGAGGTGCTGTTGGATCACTCAGACGTCATTGGGTTTGTCTTTCAAGATTGGACAGGTTTTATTGTTCTACTCTGAAATGTGCATGATACCTTCTCATACAGTCGACGTCGTCATTTACTGCCTCATGCACTGTCTCAACTTCTTCCCATGAACTTGTCGAAGGGCAGGAGCGCTACAAAGACGAAAGCTCGCAAGGAGTTCGAACTTTTTGGACAAGAACACGATCGTTGGCCAGGAGCTTTGTCTGCAAATGAAATCTAGTGCCAACAATATCTATGGTTGAAGAATCAAGGGTATTTACTTTGTTCTCGTTTACTTGTGAAAGCGGACGTTCTATGTGAGTAAGAGATGTTAATACTTCATTATTTGTTGGTTGACGAATGCATAGTAGTTTGGCCAAGTCATGGACGCAACTTGAACGCGTGTATCCGACGGTATATATGTCTCACTCATGATCATGAATAAGTTGCGACACCCTCATGAGGTAGAGATAGGGCAATACTTCATGTCAGAGCCGCTTGCGTCGCATCCCAAACACCATCGTGTTCCTTTTCTTGAGTGTCATCGCCATCGAACGAAGAAGTTAACTGTTATGCTGCTGCTATTTCTTTTCACTCAGCTGCCATTCGACACATTTGGTGAGGTAACGGAGTGTTTTAGATAACTATTTGAAGTAGGACATCAGCAAATGCTCATACTGTCTCAGCGAGATATCATAGATCTGCTGTTCATGCGCAATAACCAGGTGGCACATCGGTGAGTGATTTAGAACCGTTGTTTCATGCGTTCTCTACTTACCAACAGCCAGTGACTGGATGTGGATGAACATAATGGACGTCAAAAACCTCTATACCGGGCCCTATCATCCTGTTGATACTTTCATGAAGCGTGACTTCAGTGGTCGTGTGAGGCGTTATACTCGCACTCAGCGACCACCAAAATACTATTTTATCGACTTTGGCTTACGACGTCGATACGATCCTAGCAAGGGCACTCCCTGGAGTGCCCGGCGACAAATCGGTACCAGAATTTCATCGACGTCCCCGTGAACCCATTTCCACTGACGTCTACTATCTTGGCAACGTCATTTATGGAGGTAGGTGTTTACACGAAACTCCTTCAGTCGCTTATCACCATGATCAAGACAAAAACAGGTTTTGACTTTCTGAATCCTCTCGTAGATGACATAGTTCAGAACGATCCCAATGCGAGACCTACGATGGACGTGGTAGTTGAGCGTTTTGACTCGGATCGACAGTAGCTCAGCTCGTGGAGAGTACGCTCTCGAGTCATTGCAAGAGACGAAGATATCTTCGAAACTCGGTATCGCAGTGCCACCCATTGGAGGTGACGGATAGGTTTCATTGTAAAGTGCGCACCAGTCATGCCTCGCTTTCAGGAATGATCACATACTCTCTGCAGTGTTGCGATGTACATCTAGAACACTGTTGCACTGAATTTAGCAACATGAGATATGTCCAAATCTTCGATGGTACTGTGTACTAGGGTCAGTCCACGAGCTGTATTAAAACATATGTTTGTGCTTTACCCCTTTGTCGTTGCTTCACCAGTAGATACTGAAGATGTATCACAGTGCGCTTCTGTTTTTTTCCCTCTGGCGCGGAGAAAAAGCTGAGATCATTTAGAGAGAACGACTCCGAATGCTCGCCGAGTCGCGGAGTTTGAAATGAAGGGGGGTCGCGTTTACTCCATGTTTAATTGAACCGTTCAATTCAATGATGGGGTAAAAACGTCTTACCAGGAATTGTCCAAAAGGACCATCATGTGAGATCAACGGAGGCTGTGAGTTCTTGTCTCCTGTTGGCCCATATGAAAAGGTGTCCGAGGTGCTAGTGCCCAGTGACTCACCAGCAGCTTCACGTTAATACAAGAAAATAGGTCCCTACACGGTCAATACAAATGCATCATGATCGGTGTACAATTGGGGGGTGAGTCTGACAGCGATAACTTGTTCAAAAACTTTATTCACAACATACTAGAGCCCGCACTAGTTCCCATGTCAATGGCGCTGCCTCGCGTGATGGGCAAGTACAGTAGTATTGATCACCTGGTGTCTCTAGTAGGTCACCCATGATCCACACGCCCTACCAGTGCTCCGAGCTGTTCCTGATAGTGATTTATCTTGGTGATTACCTCACAGAACATAGTTGGCGAATAATACCATACCAAAAACACCGATATCAATTCACCAGTCCAGCTGGGGATGGAGTCTCTTCGCTCAAAACCTTCCATACATCATGATATCATGGAGAACAATGAGATTGACAATACGACGTCACGGATAGCTGATGCGATCACATGGGAACGAACTTTTCCGAATTTTGTATCGCTTAATGGGCAGATAACAAACCTCAAGCATATCAAAGCACGTAATTTTGCGAGAACCAGTGTTTTTTTTTACTAAACAGTTAGCTAAAGGTGGAGTTTCTAATAATGTCTACGGGGCCGCATTCACGATAAGACTTTTTGATGCTAAATTACATAGATTTATGGCATACCAAAATGACTGACTTGGTAATTTTACAACACAGAACCGAGCCACTAATTTTCTGTACAGTGACAGCGAAAGTTCATTGTGAAGATTGTCATTAATGAATTAACGACAGCTCAAAGTTGCAGCCGTTGGGCCCCTTTGACATTTGCAATGGACGAGCACTATGTTAATCTTTAACTCCTTCACACGCATAAAATATTTGGGTACGTGGCAAGCCTTAAGGTGATGCTCTTGTTACTCTACGTTGTTCTTTCTCTCATTCTGTTCAAGGTTTCCGGACTATTCAAAGGACAGGCTACGGCGTCTACCTCTTGGCATACGAAAAGCTTGTACAACGCAAAATGACCTGGAATGGTATACGGGGGGACCAGATGGACTACATTCTGTATGGCGCGACAGCTGGATACGCCGTAAATTCCATTCCTTCTGCCCAGTGCATGTTCGCGTGTGCATTGAGCTAATCCCGTGACAGCTTTGGACAGTGATACGCCCTATAGACATGATCAGGTCTAGAGTGTAGACTGGCAGATTTACCCCGCCTGCTGGACAAAAATATGTTTCGGCACAAGATTGTGTGCAGAAAGTTTGGAGAAGCAAGGAAATCGGTAGTGGTTTGGGGCCCACTTTGATTCGGTACGCATTGATTTCTCAGAAATGTTTCACGAGCTCGTTGCTCATCAGTTCACCATCTGCGAACGGGGCGACGTTCTTTGGATTCGGGTTGGCTAGTAGACTACTGTATTCATAATCATCGAGGGTTCACCTCCCGCACGTCAATGCCGAGACGCTCAGTGTGGTCACACTGTTGGTCCAGTCTGCTTATATTCTCATATTTTAGATCGCGATCAACAATGTGCAAACACACGGAATTTTGACGTTTATCTTTTAACGTCACCTTCTACAAATGTCGTCGATATATTCTACCTCATGAGATCTGATTGGGTCGAGTTGTTCCTGAAGACCAAGTGGTAGTAGGACAGTAAAAGAAGTTCGTCTTAACCAGACACCGATCTAGGATCGTGGGCAGCCTGGCTTATATCACCACGGACAAGTCGAGTGGCGAAGTGCTATAATGTGTTTTGCAACTCTGGCTCAACGCCGATAGTAGTGTTCTGCAAACAGCTGTAAAAACTTCCAAAACTGATGCGGGAAAAAAGTATTTGTCGTCCATCGAGTTTACATTCATCATTTAAAATATTAATTATTACGAACAAATTGTACGCGTATTCCTGCTGAGCAGCGAGATATGGCGATTCTTAGAACCAGCATCCAAACACCAGGTTACCATGCCACGCCATTTTGGAAATCAATGTCTCCTCAATAAGCTGAAAATATATCATGAGTGAAATCCACGAATACGAGAAGTGTAGATCCTACGAACACGACCTTTGATTATACAACCTACCCTAGTTCAGAGTTGGGGTGTGTATTGCAGGTCTCGAAGCGACATAGCTATTTTGAAAATTCTGAACTTCAGGAAGACGAGAACTTGGACTGGTGGAAGACGTAGCTCCATCATCGGTAGAAAATTTTGAGCCATCTTCTGGGACGGCGCTAGTTCTGGCTGATCATATGCATGAGTCTACAGACAACTAGCGGATATGACGTTCCTACAGTCTTTCACTTGATAGTGATCCGAGAAGGGATTTATATGTGGGTCCAGCTCCCTTTGGGATGCAATGAGAGCGTCCGCGTCGGAGAACAATGAAGCGCCGATATCATCCGGATATGTGTCTGTATCGTCAAGTTGTACAGCAATTGCGCTGATGCGAGCACCAGGCGGCAGATCATCATCTGCAAAATCCAGGAGTTCTAGAGTTGCAGGAGCGAACAAGAATAGAACAGACCTCCAACTGCCTGTGTAGCTAGTGTGTCAACAGAGAGCGTCTGCCTTCTCAGCCTCTCCGACGTAGTCTGCAAACCTGTATCAGATATGTAATAATGGCCAAGGGCGTAAATTTACCAGGGTTTCAATCCACAATGCTTTTCCTGTTTCTGAGAGCAAGCGAGCCGCACGATAGGTAGAGAGCAACTTGAACGGATTAAAGGTCTTCTTATCAGCCATGGCCTTTGCCAAATCCTGTTTGTCTTCCAATAGCCTTGCATGATAGTCAGTAACACGGCAATAACATGTAGTTAGAGAGACGCACGTGTCATATTGTACCTTGGACTCATGGATAAGTTCTTTGAAATCTGAGGTGTTCTTTACTATTTCTTTCATCCTGTAAATTTCATTCATTGTTGCAACAAGAGCTAAATCCACTTCGTGAAGAGAAGATTTTGGGCCTTGAAATCTTATCAAAGGAAAAACGGAACGATGATATTGATCGGCAAGGCCGAGGGGAATAGGAAAGAGAAGTGTCTGGTTGTTCCATGAGAGCATGGTGTACGGGTTATTGAACTAGAGTTACTAGACAGCCAGTCCCCCATTGGTGTTGTACTTCATAAGTGTGCACTTGCTATACTTTCAGAAATTGAGGGGTTCTGCGACGAAGTTCACATACCCTGATAAAATTATATAAAAACCGTAAGGACACGGTTCCGGGGGGACCAAGTACGCACAAAATGTAGTTGTTAGGGCCATCTGGAAGTCAAAGCGTCGCTAAACTTGTCCTAAACAGGACTCGTACGTAACCAGTTAACGTTAACTAACCCTTCAACGGCACATGTGGGAACCGGTCGAGACTTGGTGGATTGACTTTGTAAAATTTAATTTATGTAAGTGTGTCACGCAGGTTTCAATTGGAAGCATGTCACTGTTTGGGTATGTGGTTTCGTATGTGCAGTTATTGTTGCTAGTGCTCCTCATCTCCGTACTTGGTGGTCGCCTTCAGCCTTTCCGTATGATTCAGACTCTGTTCACCTCAAAGAGCAAAAGGGATGAAATCAAGGCCAAGGAAGCGGCGGAACTCGAGAGATCGGAAGCTCTCAGAACCCAGATGGAGCTTGCAGTTTTCGGAGCAAAACACGAACGCAGATCGGGAGCTTTGTCTTTACATGAAACTTGGTGGAGCCAGCGGTACCAATGGTTAAGAGACCAAGGATACTTGCTTCGGCCACGCTATGCTCCAGAATGGGTTCCGTCTTGGGAGGGTTCCAAACGCAATGCTTCTGATTGTGAAGACCGACAGATCATACGCGTGAGGCAACAAGCTCGGCTTCCATTTTGACTAGCTGACGGCTCCACAGTTTGGTCGAATCATGGATGCAACACGCCTATCTGACGGCTTGTATGTTTCCCTTAAAATAGTCAAGAAGTCGGAGCATCCTGATGAGGCAGACATTGGACTATATTTCATGTCGGACAAACTTGCGTCTGATCCCAAGAACCATTGCGTTCCGTTTTTCGAGGTGTTGTCAGTTCCCGACGAAGACGACAAACAGATTATCGTAATGCCATTGCTTCTTAATTTCGTCAAGCTTCGATTTGATACATTCGGCGAGGTGGTGGAATGCCTCAGGCAACTTTTCGAAGTATGCCAACCGCTCTGAGCTTGTACGTCCTCTCATCAACTTACTGCAGGGTTTTTTGTTCATGCACAACCACCACGTCGCACACCGGTACGTTCCCCGAGACTGTCATATAACGTGATCTCACTGAACTGAACAACAGTGATTGCACGTGGATGAACATTATGATGGATGCCAAAGACCTCTATGCCGAACCATATCACCCTGTCAAGCCTCACATGAAGCGGGACTATAGCGGTTTCGCGAGTCATTACACCCGCACTCAGCGACCCCCCAAGTACTACATCATCGACTTCGGCTTGTCACGCCGATACGATGCCAGTGAAGAAAATCCGCTCGAGTATCCTATATTCGGGGGTGATAAGACGGTACCAGAATTTCAAAATAATACGGATACCCTGCTGAATCCCTTCCCAACCGACGTCTACTATCTTGGAAATGTTATCCGAGAACAGTTCCTAAATGTAAGTGCTGGTCTAACGCTTTCATCTTCCAATACTTATGAACGTAAACAAGACTAAAACGGGATTTGAGTTCTTGAAATCTCTTATCGATGATATGGTGCAAGATGATCCTAGTAAAAGACCTACAATGGGGCAGGCGGTCGAACGATTCGACTTGATTCGACAAAACCTCAGCACATGGAAACTGCGGTCTCGCGTGACTGCCAGGGACGAAGGTCCTTTCAGGTGTATGTATCACGGGACTGCTCATTGGAGACGACGGATAGGTTTTATTGTCAAGCGCGTATCGGCTATACCTCGTCTTCCGCAATGAAGCGCGCCTCTACGATTTCGCAGTGCACCTCACTGATAGTGACACCCATATGATCATAAATATATAAAATCTCGTGACATCGAGTGGGCTTCCCTTGTGCTGTACCCTCTTGTTGTTTCTTTAGTATATACCCAGAATGCATGTTTGACCCCGAGCGCGGAGAAAGAGCTGAGATCAATTTTTAGTACGCTTTCCGAATATGTCACAGCGATCATGACTCTCACGTCTCACGAAGTTTTGAATGAAAAGAGGGAGGGTTACGTTGGATTCAGCTCAAAAAATGTCCAACCAGAAATTGACCAGGAACTCAACAAAGAGTTCATGCTGTGATTATCTTTGTCGGCCAGCATGAAAAGGTGTCCGAGGTGCTCGTGCTCAACACGAAAATAGGTCCCTGTGTTGTGATCAAGACCCACAATAAATAATGCATCACAAGCGACGTACAAGGGTTTTTGTTACTCGTATTAAAATTTATCTATAACCCAGCACAGCCCGTACTTGTTCCCGTATTGATGGTGCTTAGCTACCTTGCGTGATGGGCGAGTGCAGCAGCTGTAGCATCGATCGCCCGCTGCTCCGGTCCACAAGTCCTTGCAAATGGCGTTACTAGTAATCCCCGTTGCTGATAATGATACATCTTGATGATCATCAGACAGAAGACATCAGGTTGCAAATACCGCACCAGAATCACCGATATCAAATTCATCAATGCAGCTAGGGATGTCCCTTCGTGCCTTCTATACATCACGCTACAATGGAGAACAATGAGATCGACAATACGATGTCACGGATAGTTGATGGGGTCACATGGGAACCGGGAGCGAACTTGTCCAAATTTTGTCGCTTTGATGGGCGGATAACACACTTTCCAGTTCTAGCATATCAAAGCACGTAATTTCGGCCGTCCAGTGTTGTGTTGTCCTAAACGATTAGCTAAAGGTGGACTTTCGAATGTCTACGGCCGCATCCACGATAAGACTTTTTTGATGCTAACGATTTATGGCAGCTGCATACCGATTAATTTTACAATACAGAACGACTCGAGCTACCGATTTTTCTGTGCAGTGACAACGAAAGTCATTCGTGGAAAATTGTCATTAATGATCAAAAGCTTAACCGTTGGGCCCTTTGACCTTTGCGACAGATGAGCACTACATCAATGAGCTTCTTCAACTCCTTCACACGCATAATAATTAGGTACGTGGCAAGTCTTAGACCATCCATAAGTAATTAATCTGGGATAATAACGGGTTGAACATATTATGCATCCGGACCAGAACCTTTGTGCTCCCCACTCTAACGACTGCTTATCCCTATCCTTCTCTATCGGACTCTCTTGAGATTATTATCACGAGAAAACACTACCGTTTATGCAACGTGTTTTTTCAGCTGAGTAACATTCGACTAGACAAGAAGCGCTTACCAGCTCCAGAACAGTTTCTGGCGTTGACATTCAACGTAGCGCCCACCACACTGGAACCGGAGAGTATCATAGAACTATTGCACGAAATGTTTGCATTCGCGAATCTACTGGGTCGCTGTTGTGCACGTCTACCAACAGCTCGCGGAGAGCGAGCCGGCTGAGGTACCTGCTGAGCAGCCTGGAGCCCGTCCGAGAGTATTTCTGTGGTTGAAGTTGTCAATGCCGTCAAAAAGGAATGATCAAAATTCGTACTAGCGCCGAAGCAACCTGGGGAGTCGACATTCATGGTTGGGTACTCTGCACTGGTGCCCACCATGATCATGGAGTCCACTGCACACGAGATTCTCGGGGAAATTGCCTGCGTCGAGTCTACTGCATAGGACATTCCAGACGTTACTCGGGAAATTGCCTGTGTCGAGTCCACTGCACACGAGATTCCCGATGTTACTTGGGAAATTGCCTGCGTCGAGTTAGCGTGTACAGGAATATGATAGCCTGATTAAAAATGTTTCAGAATTTAAGCTTGGGATCGCAAGGTCGCTCACTTTGAGGGAGGCCAGAACCAGGGTTAACCGAAGGGACACCTGACTGAGGTTTGAAACGAGTCATATCAGTGGCCGATGTGTCTGCCGATGTTGTAGGAAGCGAGCCTATGATCTTGATATTTGATGGTCCATTTGAGTGGTTAGATTCTGTTGCTGATGCGTCTCCAGCAGGTGGTGGATTCAACTTCTCGTGCCCTCTGCCTACTACACCTGTGGGCGCGGAAACTTCTCTCGCAAAAGCTAGTCTACGATGGCGGATCGTCTTCTACAATTTAATATAAGCACAGATCGGTGAAGAAAGAGAAGCAGGGTCGTAACTGCAACTTTGTCTTTGAGGGCGCTGCAGTCATCCAATATCATATCCGCATTCCTCAGTTTTGCTGCTGATTTCTCGATTTTATACAACTGTATTTCGCGCTGAAGTCTGTAGATAATCGTTAATCAAGAGAGATAACTTAACATAAAAGACATACCTCTCATATTCATTCTTGAACTCGGTCTTCTCAGTCTCTGCCAGATATGATGGGTATTTTGAGAAAAGTTCCATAACTTCAACGAGTTCCTTCTCTGCATCCTTCTCTGCATCTTTGTGACCGCGAGACTTGGTGGGGAATCTAAGGAGTGATCGAAACATGTTGAACCGAACCGTGCGGAGCCATTGGTATCATTTAGCATAGCATACTTATACTAGAATGTAGCCAAATGAATATACAACCCCGAGTCGAGCTTCGGGGGAATCGGGGCCTGGAACATCAGGTGGTACTGTTTGACCTCGAGTTTCCCTCGCGACGATATCATAGAATATTGATGTTTGAACAATAACACAGCCGTTGTATGGAACAAGACCTCGCGTTGATGCCATGCGGTTCTGGTTAGGTGTCACCCACAAATGACAAATCGGAACCTTTGCGTACACAACGTTATCGGTGCATGGCAGGGTTACAACTGCCAGACGAATCGCGATTGATGCGAATGCTTTCAAATGTAGAACTAAGTAGCAAGGCTTCATCAAACTTCAAGGCCTCAGACTACAAGCTTCAAGCCCCCTACCGATATTCAACATTTAGTGTGAAACAAGGTTTACAGCCCTCGCGGAGTAAGAACTGCTCACTTGCGGAGATTGAACTGAATTAGACCGGCCCTCTCGTGACAGGAAGCGGTGACTCTTATGCTGCAAAAACAGAACAATGTTATTGATACATAGCAAGTAAGCACTCGAGGACCGTCACAATCCGATGGATGTCTTACGTCGAATTGCAGAATGTTCAAGGCCGTTATACCGCGGCCTGTTACTGCAAAGTGCCGGTGCCGCTGTTTGCAAAATAACAAAAACGATAGTTGAAATATATATTAATATCCTTGTTAGTGCTAAAGAAAATACAACATGTGATGCACAGATTTCTCACAATGCCGGATGATGCGGATCTTCGTCGTCGTCGTCGACTGTTCCTATTTGCTTCCGTGAGGGGACGGATGTGGGTCAATGGCAAGTGAGTTGGCTATTCTGTACTCTAACTACCATATGCCTGATAGTGATCTGGACGTCCCCGCAAGGGACTGCATGCTCTGCGCTCCTAAAGATATAGCTGAGCCACTATGCCCGATCGTGTCACATGATGCTTCAGTAGCAGTCTCATAATGACCCATTGTCGCTTATGCCATCGAAATCATCTGCACCATTCCATTCGACTTCTGTGGGATGTGTATTTATGGCTAGTAGTTGAACGTGAGCAGCGAGCGACTACGAAAAAATTGATGTACTCGCCTGTTCCTCTATTATTCTTCCCTCCGACATTCACCGTGGGTGCAGCCCCTCTGCTGGGGCCAACATTGCGTGCATGGAAGCGGTTGACAATTTGTGATATCCGACCAGACAGTCTTCTATAAATGAGCTGTTTCACTGTCTTTGGGGCTCTCATTTCAGCGATATTTCGTATTGTCTCCTCCGAGAGCGTATTAGTGGTTATACTCGAGCTTTGTGCGACTACTCCAGTATTGGGAGGTGTAGACCTCCGAGTCGTCGCAGTGTCACCATGTTGATTGTGTCGCTGAACGAGGTCGGGTCCAGCTTGGTCTACTAGTTCGTCGAGGGATCTGCGTCGTCGAATGGACACTACAAACAGTGTTGGAACCCGGGGAAAGAAGAAATCTGACATAACGATTTACCTCGGGCAATCCCTGCTTTCGATTCGTCCGCATATCTATGGACGATAGAGGACGTGTGCTAGTAATAATAATATCAGTGTCGAGATGGGTACTAAATGAAATAAGTCCGTACATGAGCGAGATCCCAAACTGCTTTACAGTTTTCCTTGAATTCATCCTGACTGCCGTGCCAATCCCCCGCTTTCCAAATCATTCTCTTCCAAAAGCTTTGTGTTCGTACATGTTTCCCTTGCGCAACGGTCCTGGAGGGTCTATGAGAGCCACTGGCAAGCAATCATTGGAAAGCAACTCACTGAAAGTACATGTCAAGCAATTTGGTCAACCCAGGAACACGTACTTGATTTTTTGTTGCAATTGCTTTCGTGTCCAGCATAGCGTCAAGGGTTGAGTTCAAAAGGCTATACTCTGTCCTGCCTCCACGAACCATAGGTAGGTCATTTCTGAGCTCTGCACTATTCGATTCGTCAATCAACCCCCAGTCCTGCAGCACCAGGGCATCGACCATCGCAGATACGCAACAAAGATAGAGAACTTATTAGGTCAACTCATCGATCCCATTCGAGTCCTTATATACTTTAGGTATTGCATAAAGTTTATTTAAAACAGCTTAGGAAGTATTAATAAAAACAATGTATCAGTGAGGACTCCGGTCACTCCGATTTGACTCCGATGTAGGTTTCTCTCGGCGGGTTTATGTTTACGACTATTCCAATTATTTGGAGCGAACAGCATACAGTCTGTATCGGCTTCGTGGTACTTCATCCCAATGGGTTTCTTTACTTTCTTCGATAGCAAACATCGAGCTCGGAGAAAGGCAGAAGAAGCTGAGAATTTCAGACTCGAACTCGAGCGAACTCGCCAATTGCTCGGTATACAGGCCATCCCCGGTGGCCTTGATTCTGATGAGATATGGTGGAGGGACCACTTTCTGTGGCTGAAGGATATCGGATATCAACTACGTCCACGCCATGCTCCGGACTGGGTTCCTTCATGGACAGGCACAGATAAATATTGGGGTTTGTGCGAGGATAGTTGGCGGATGCATGTAAGGTTTCTCCAGCTGGGCAAGTTTATACACTCATAAAATGCTAGAGCACGCAAATTGCCAGTGCAACGCGAACGTCTGATGGGGCCCGTGTCGCTTTGAAACGCATTCAGCCATCTCTTCATCCATATGAGATTGAAGTGGGCAGGTTTCTTGCATCTGAACCCCTCCGGCAGCGCGAAAACCATTGTGTGGAGATGCTTGATGTGTTACAAGTGCCAAATGAAGCGGACGAAACTATTTTGGTATTGCCCCTACTTCGTCCCTTCGACAATCCTCCATTTGAGACAGTCGGTGAAATCATCGACTTTACTCTTCAAGTTTTTGAGGTGAGGAGTTACCATTGCTCCTTTGACTGAAATCTCAAGAGTATCTAGGGCCTACAATTCATGCATAAACACCGCGTAGCCCATCGGTATGCAAATTCATTCCCGTGTCGCTGTTGGTTGAACTTGGTTCATGGCTTTCTAGTGACTGCATGAATTTGAACATCATGATGGATCCCAGGGAAATGTACCGACATCCATTTCATCCATGCAGGCCCTCTAGACGTTTGGATTTGAAAGGACGGGCAAAATATCGTTCACGTACAGAATGTCCTCCGCGATATCTTTTCATTGATTTTGGAATCTCCCGACGCTACCAAGCTTGGCAGGTCGCTCCTCTAGAACCCCCGATCTGGGGAGGATACAAAGGCGTTCCGGAGTTTCAGACGTCTAATGAACCCCGTAACCCGTTTCCGACGGATGTGTGGTATCTGGGCTACGCTCTACAGCAACAGCTTCTTGAGGTGCGAATTTCATTCAGTCTTTTTCGGCTTATTTACGACGAGCGCTAGGTCTATCGCGGCCTGAGTTTTATGGAACCGTTGGTTTCGGATATGCTACAAACCGATCCTGCGAAGCGGCCAACCATGGATGAGGTTATGTCTCGCTTTGTAACAACATACAGCGCATTAAGCCCGTTGAAATTACGCTCCAGGGCAGTCATGAAGGAGGAATGGATTATTATGCGACCTTTCCGTGCTCTCTTTCATTGGTTGCGCTGTCTCCGGTTTTTATGGCGACGTCGCCCTGCTATACCATCTCTCCCTGTGTAATCTCAGTCATGCATACCCACACTTTCGTTGCTCTGCAAACCATCGATGATACAAACGTACCACAGCACAATGGTCGCTTACTAGTGTAATTATCTACGGTTGACATTCATGGGGCTAGGCTTGCCAGATATCAGAATTGATTCGTTTTACTGCGTGATCATTCCGAGTTCATGTGTTTTATTGCTGGCGTCCTGATTAGCCTCCAGTTCATTATATACGGGTTACACTGCGCAGTAGTTTGTATGGGTGAGATTTTTAGGAGAACGCGCAGAGTATCGATGTTGTGTGTAAGGAGGTCGTCGAACAATGTCTTGGAGCATAATGTTCCCAAAAAATAGTGATTCAGAGAACAATTCCTGGACGTAAGTAAAAACCTACCCAGCTACCCTCCATTTGTTACTTATGACTACGATCAAGACGAAAAAGGGATTCGAGTTATTGAAACCACTCGTTGACGATATGGTCCAGGATGATCCACGCAAGAGACCTGCAATGGAGGCGGTAGTTGAGCGTTTTGAATCCATTCGACAGCAACTTAGCACCTGGAAATTGCACTCTCGTGTCATATCCAAGGACGAAGGTCTCTTTATGCCAAATCTTTGTCGTGGTGTTACCCATTGGAGTTGACGGATAGGTTTCATTATTAAACGTACCCCAGCGATACCTCGCCTTCGGGAATGACATTCGCTTGTGCTGTATGTACCCTCGTGTTGTTTCTTCAGTATATACCATGACAACATGGTAGTTTGACGTTTGACCCCGAGCGCGGAGAAAGAGCTGAGATCAATTTTTAGTACGATTTCCGAATATGTCACAGCGATCATGGCTCCACGTCTCACGAAGTTTTGAATGAAAAGAGGGAGGGGGGTTACGTTGGATTCAGCTCAAAAAATGTCCAACCAGAGATTGACCAGACACTCGACAAAGAGTTCATGCTGTGATTATTATCTTTGTCGGCCAGCATGGAAAGGTGTCCGAGGTGCTCGTGCTCAGTGACGCGCCCGATAGCTCCACTTTACAAGAAAATAGGTCCCTGTGTTGTGATCAAGTCCCACGCATGTGCATGAGTCACAAGCGGTGTACAAGGGTTTTTGTTACTCGTATTAAACTTTATCGATTTATCTATAACCCAACACAGCCCGTACTTGTTCCCGTATTGATGGTGCTTAGCTGCCTTGCGTGATGGGTAAGTGCAGCAGCTGTAGCATCGATCGCCCGCTGCTCCGGTCCACAAGTCCTTGCAAATGGCGTTACTAGTAATCCCCGTTGCTGATAATGATGATCCATCTTGATGATCATCAAACAGAAGACGTCAGGTTGCAAATACCGCACCAGAATCACCGATATCAAATTCACCAATGCAGCTAGGGATGTCCCTTCGTGCCTTCCATACATCACACTACAATGGAGAACAATGAGATCGACAATACGATGACACGGATAGTTGATGGCATCACATGGGAACCGGGAGCGAACTTGTCCAAATTTTGTCGCTTTGATGGGCGGATAACACACTTTCCAGTTCTAGCATATCAAAGCACGTAATTTCGGCCATCCAGTGTTGCGTTGTCCTAAATGATTAATTGTAGGTTTGTTTCGGTGGGTTTATGTTTACCAATTATTTGGAGCAAACAGCATACAGTGTGTATCGGCTTCGTGATACTTCATCCCAATGGGTTTCTTTACTCTTTTCGATAGCAAACCTCGAGCTCAGAAAAAGGCAGAAAAAGCTGAGAATTTCAGACTCGAACTCGAGCGAACTCGCCAATTACTCGGTACAAAGATCGCTTTCCCTGGTGGCATTGGTCCTGATGAGATGTGGTGGAGGGATCACTTCCTGTGGTTGAAGGATGTCGGATATCAACTACGTTCACGCCATGCTCCAAACTGGGTTCCTTCATGGCAAGGCACAGATAAATATTGGGGTGTGTGCGAGGATAGTTGGCAGATGCCTGTAAGGTCTTCCAGTTGGAAGAGGTTATACACTCACAAAATGCCAGGCCGCGCAAATTGCCAGTGCAACACGAACGTCTGATGGGGCCCAAGTCATTTTGAAACGCATTCAGCCATCTCTTCATCCATATGAGGTTGAAGTGGGCAGGTTTCTTACGTCCGAACCCCTCAGGCGGCAGCACGAAAACCATTGCGTGGAGATGCTTGATGTGCTACATGTGCCAAATGAAGTGGACGAGACTATTTTGGTACTTCCCCTACTTCGCCCCTTCGACGATCCACCATTTGAAACAATTGGTGAAATCATCGACTTTGCTCTTCAAGTTTTTGAGGTGAGGGGTACCATTGTTCCGTTGACCGAGATCTCAAGAGCATCTAGGGCTTGCAATTCATGCATAAGAACCACGTAGCCCATCGGTATGCAACTTTATGTCTGCGTCGCTGTTGGTTCATGGCTTTCTAGTGACTGTATGAATTTGAACATCATGATGGATTCAAGGCAAATGTACCCACATCCATTTCACCCGTGCGAGCCCTCTAGACGTTTAGATCTAAAAGGATGGGCAAAACATCGTCCACGTACAGAGTGCCCTCCGCGATATCTTTTTATTGATTTTGGAATCTCCCGACGCTACCAAGCTTGGCAGGTCGCTCCTCTAGAACCTCCGATTTGGGGAGGATACAAAGGCGTTCCGGAGTTTCAGACGTCTAATGAACCTCGTAACCCGTTTCCGACGGATGTATGGTATCTGGGCTACGCTCTGCAACAACAGCTTCTTGAGGTGCGAATTTCATTCAGTCTTTTTCGGCTTATTTACGACGAGCGCTAGGTCTATCGCGGCCTGAGTTTTATGGAACCGTTGGTTTCGGATATGCTACAAACCGATCCTGCGAAGCGGCCAACCATGGATGAGGTTATGTCTCGCTTTGTACCAACATACAGCGCATTAAGCCCGTGGAAATTACGCTCCAGGGCAGCCATGAAAGAGGAATCGATTATTATGCGACCTTTCCGTGCTCTCTTTCATTGGTTGCGCTGCCTCCGGTTTTTATGGCGACGTCGCCCTGCTATACCATCTCTCCCTGTGTAATCTCAGTCATGCATACCCACACTTTCGTTGCTCTACAAACCATCGGTGATACAAACGTACCACAGCACAATGGTCGCTTACTAGTGTAATTATCTACGGTTGACATTCATGGGGCTAGGCTTGCCAGTTATCAAAACTGATTCGTTTTACTGCGTGATCATTCCGAGTTCTTGTCAGACATCTCATTCGCTGGCAAATACAGCTGCACAGCGAATAGAAGAAGCCTTTTTGAAACGCATTCGATGTCGCATATGTAATATTTATGTAATACAGACCTACAGGTCGCTACCATGATGCACAGCTATTTACAAATTTGTATAATACTCTACGCTCACATCCCCAGGTGCAAGGCTTGTGGGTATTATAAGTAACTCGTTCAACTGAATCATTCAGTCAACGGTTCTGGCGGTAAGAAACAACATGGTCTACCGAAGATAATTTCAGTCAACGTCGAGCTTCCATCAGTCGATTACAATTAAGAGTGTACTCACGGACGCCAGAAGAACCCGGAGACCGGACGTTGAAGGTCGGGTTGGACGCTGCCGCGCCAGGGCCAAAATACATGACACCCTCGCGCCGTGCTGAGATCCCGAGAGATGGATCGTCACAACAGGATATAAATGCTAAAGAATTGATCAGTATGCAGATCTAGCATACTCGAAAACATATGACTTACTTGCTCCGGTTGCCCCCTCGGAGTCAATGTTAAATGTAGGTGACCCAATAAACGATTGTTGATCGAATATCATGCAGTCTTTGTCGCCAGGCGATGCAAGTGGACTTCTCTCCGTGGGTGCTAATTTTCATGGCGTCATTATTGAACATGCAGGTTAAGATGGGGTGCGCGTACCTGCGGAGGTGTTCGAGGTTGTTTTTTGGGCTACGGGAATACTGGCAGAGACTACAGAACTCCTTCTACTTGTTAAAAGGCTTGGAGCGCTCAGGTACGAGTCGTTTCCGCCTGTCGTGGCGAGATTGGGATTGCACTGAGCTGAAATGGAAATTTCGGATGGGGCCCTGAGAGATGGGTCGGGATCAATCAGCGCAATGGATGACTTGAAAGATTCAGGGGTAGCTAATTTATGGCACTCAGTCTTGAGCTACAACAACGGTAGACAACGCCTACCTATAGCTGCTGGAGCTACTGGCCCTCTTCTTATGTTATCTTCTCGGCGTTTCCTGCACGCCCTCTGTAAACTGTTATTAAAATAGTTATCGCTCAATTTAGTAAGAACGAACCTTTATCCTCAACTTCAACTTCTCGCACTCGTCGAGTAGCCCGGGCAAGGTGCTATTAAAAGATGTGCCCTTGTCCTTGTCCAACTGATCATAAGCATCTTGAAGACTATCAACCATTAAAATGTAGTATGCACTATGACAAGATGCATATATTGTACCTGGCGTATTCATCCATGAAAGACAATCGCTCCTCTTGGGTCAGTAAGTCCACGTTGGCAGTGGAGATGTCAAGGATAGTATCTAGGACGCTCTGGATATCGGCGAAGACCCGCTCGCGAGTGTCGCGTGGAGTATAGAAGTTCTTGAATAAAACCATGATGGCCCTGATGATTTCTAGTGATATGATGAATCTGTGGAGTATGTTGATGGGGATCTAGCTCACATTCAGTCTGGTATTTCTACCCCTGCGAGACCCGACACAACACAAGTAAGGCCAGTGTTCAGCCTCGAGTTTCACTCGCCACGAAAACAATAAAACATAGACAGAACAATTAATACTATCACGATCTTTTTGTGGTTTTGGTGTGATTCAAGTTAGCGAGAAAAACATACGCTCACAAATTACAACGCCCAAGACCGTCGCACAATTATATGCGCCGACGAGTATATTGAACTGTTGTCATGAACCACAGGTTGGCGGTTTCAGCTATTTGCATGAATGTTGGCGGTGCACCCGCCTCGGATATCATTCGAAAATAAATTATTGTTCACCCAGCTTCGTCTGGCTCAGGAAGAGTCGGGGGCCCTACCTAATTGTGTTGGGCTGGTCCGAGCATTAGCTCTGGGAGGAAGGTGGGGCCGCTGGGCGGGAAACCTGCTTACGAATTCGGTCGTGCGCTCAGGCTGACTCTTGTGCGGCGCAAATCAATATAAGCATCTTTATATATACTACCAATTATAACCGTTTGGAAAATGGAGTGGCAGGTAACTAGAGCAAGGAACGAGAAGGATAATGAGCGAGGGTTTGAAGGATGCCGAGCTCCATTACGCTAACGGCCAGCTGCCAGAAGTGTGGTGCCGAGAAACTCCGACAGGCGACGTCTCGGAACCTGTACAATCAGACGACTGGCAAATACAGCTGCACAGTGAATGGAAGAAGCCTTTTTGAAACACATTCGATGTCACATATGCACTATCTATGTAATATATAGACCTACAAGTCGCTACCATTATGCACAGCTATTTACAATTTTGTATAATACTCTACGCTCACATCCCCAGGTGCAAAGCTTGTGAGTATTATAATTAACTTGTTCAACGGAATGGTTCAGTCAACGGTTCTGAGAAGTAAGAAGCAGTTCGTTCCACTTCCACTGGAGATAAATGCAGTCAACGCCGGGCTCACATCAGTCGATGACAATTAAGAGTGTACTCACTGACGCCAACAGCTTTCTTAGATCGGATGTTGAAGGTCGGGCTAGACACTGTCGTACCAGGGCCGAAATACATGACACCATCACGCCTCATGGTGGGAGCTGTCTGCAGCTGGCGAGCGCTTGTGAACGGCTGCAGTCCCTGCGGTGAGATCCTGGGAGATGGATCGTCACCACGGGGTATAACCGCTAAAGAATTGATCAGTATGCAGATCTAGCATGCTCGAAAACATATGGCTTACTTGCTCCGGCTGCCCCCTCGGAGTCAATGTTAAATGTAGGTGACCCAATATACGATTGTTGGTCGAATATCATGCAGTCTTTGTCGCCTGGCGATGCAAGTGGACTTCTCTCCGTGGGTGCTAATTTTCATGGCGTCATTATTGAACATGAAGGTTAAGATGGGGTGCGCGTACCTGCGGAGGCGTTCGAGGTTGTTTCTTGGGCTACAGGAATACTGGCAGAGACTACAGAACTCCTGCTACTTGTTAAAAGGCTTGGAGCGCTCGGGTACGAGCTGTTCCCGCCTGTCGTGGCGAAATTGGGATTGGACTGAGCTGGAATGAAAATTTCGGACGGGGCCCTGAGAGATGGTTCGGAATCAATCAGCGCAATGGATGACTTGACTGGTTCAGGGGTAGCTAATTTATGGCATTCAGTCTTGAACTACAACAACGGTAGACAGCGCCTACCTATAGCTGGCGCTCTTCTTATGTCATCCAGTCGTTGTTTCGTGCACGCCCTCTGTAAACTGTTGTTAAAATAGTTCTCGCTGAATTTAGGAAGAACGAACCTGTATCCTCAACCGCAAGTTCTCGCACTTCTTGAGTAGCCCGGGCAAGGTGCTATTAAAACATCTGTCCTTGTCGTCGTTCGCCTGAACATGAGCATCTACAAGACTATCAACCATTAAAATGTAGTATACAATACGACACAATGCATAAATTGTACCTGCAGTATTCATCTATAAAAGACGTTCGCTCCTCCTGGGTCAGCAAGTCCTTGTTGTCAGTGCAGATGTCAAGGATAGCATCCAGGACGCTCTTGATATTGGCGAAGACCTGCTCGCGAGTCTCGCGTGGAGTATAGAAGTTCTTAAGGGAAACCATGATGATGTAGGCCTGATGGAATGTAGTGATATGATGATGAATCTGTGGAGTATGTTGATGGGGATCTAGCTCACATTCAGTCTGGTATTTCTACCCCTGCGAGACCCGACACAGCACCACTAAGTCAGCGTTCGGCCTCGAGTTTCCCTCGCAACGTCGAACATGGACAGAACAAGGAGATCGAAGTTATCTTGTCGTGATTTTGGTATGATTCAAGTCAGTGGGAATATGCGCCCACAAATTACAATGCCCAACACTGTCACACGATTATATGCACCGAGGAGTCTATTGAAGCTGTAAGTTCGCAGTTAAGCACCTCCGCTGTTGTGCATACCACCAAATATTAATGCTCATGCACGAGCGTCAGACGCGTCCGCGTCATGTTCAAGTTGGGTTTACACAGGTTTACTGCCACTCGCGGAGTAGAACTAATTTGGGACAGATACTTATTTGAAATAACTATCATGGCGCGTAAATCGCGGGGTTTTAACCGGCGATTACAAGGCAACATCATTATGTCATGGATGCAAGGGACCCGCGTTGCTTAACCGTACCATAAATTGATTGATGGGGTTATTAATCTGTTATATTATAGTAATATTATATTTCCTTGTCCCACAACTCACAAGAATCTCCAAGGTGTCTGATTGATTTGTTCCATGGCCGTGCGCAGGCTGTCAATGAAAATATTGACCAGGTGTTTGCAGGCTTGGCGCATTTATTTTCTGACCCGCATCATGGCTGGAAAGCTTTTAGTAAGATGCTTGTTTGATAAGTGGCACCAAATAATAATATTAATATGAAAAGTGGCCGTGTCAAAAGCGTCTACACTGGAAGTCAGCACTGCCACTTGGCCTTATCCCACACTCCACCAGCCAATCCCCAAGGTACTTCTGCTGCACATGCAATGTACGGACGAATCAGAGTCACGGTGCGCATATCAGCCAATGATAGAAGGGTTGAAATAGCTCACTAGTAACACGTTGCTTGAAAAGTCCCTGGGTAATCACCGGTACGTATACACCAGCGCTAGATAGTTACGAAAACTTGCTTGACTTGCCGTTTATGCAATTACAGTCATTCGTGCACAAGGGTATCAGCCTTTGCGTCCTGAAAAGTCTTGGAGACCAATCGTTTCTATAGTGGTAGACCAGTACCAGCGTTATGAAGTGAACCTAGGATGCGACGGACAGAACCCAAATCTCAGGGAACGTTTCATGATAAAGTTTGTCATCTTTTTAATATTAGTACAGTTTCCTGCCACTCACCGATACATTTGACCAGGCAAGGCGCAGACGGCCGTACCCTAGTGGACTTCAATGTTCATTATCAAGCGTCGAACAAGAAGAAACGCAAGAAGCAGCATTTAGTTGCAAAGACTTCCTTGTCGCTTCAGGCTCTATCTAAGTTAAAGGGTACTGAAAATTGTAAGTGTTGCGAATTGCCATTATGCTGTGTTTGACGCATTCCAGCTTTCAAAATACCGTTGAGTCCTGTAGCACAGCCCTCTTTGCGTGGGTTGGCTCGAGGAAGAACAGTTTCAGTATCCCTTGTTGTTAAGCTTGAAATCCCCGAGACTCGGGCGGAAATCCACGCATTAGAAAATTTGTTGATATCAGAAGACCAATACGACGATGACATTAAGTGTAAGAGTGGTCTTCACAGTCGTGTTCATTGGCTGACAGCTGCAATCTCAGCACTTGGGCGATCTTCACCAACGTTTGAATCGGAATCAGAATCAGATGGGACATGTAACTTTTCTTGTTCGAGTCGTGCCATAACTCCTCCAGTCCCACCTGAATTCTCCGATATACGGATCCGTCGAGGATACACCTCGGACACCGATGATGACCGCCCACTTGACGAGCATGTCAAATGCATTAACGACAGTTATGACAGCTTTTCATTTACAGACAATACCAACTCGAGTGCCGTGGTCGATATTGTTCCCCTCGCGCCTTCCCTTTTACCCAGTTACACAGAGCAAATATCTGTGGACAATTCGTTGTCATTTATCGATGCCCTTGTAGACTCTTTTTCGTCTTATGCTGAACTTCGAGAGGCTTGCAGTGACTCTGAGTACGAACGTATCTTGGAAAAACTCACGTCTGAATGGTATTTTGTGGGTGCATCGGTGCGTGATGACATTACTGTTCTACCTGCTCTCATTTAGTCTTGATTATTTGTAGTTGGTCGCTCTTGCCGGGTATGTGCATCATCAAAGATGACTTCTTTCCGCAATTATTCATTTTCTTTCCTAGGCTTGACGCGGCTGTGTTCGGTTTTTCGTCCAGCTCGTTATTCCCTGTCAACAGTTTCGCCCAAGGCTCAATAGCTCTAGGAAGCGTCGCTTCAGGCATCGGTATCGCAATCGATGGCTGGTTCTTATTGGTGTATAGTGGAGCAAACGCCAAAAGATTTCAGGTAAATCTCAATTGTACATATCAGAATATATGCTCAGAGCTGCCTAGAAATTTGCTCGTGACGTATACGGCAAATATCTGTTCTTTTGCATATCATCGCGTCTTCCTGCTGTATGTATGTTCGTGTCAGCATGTGCCTTAATGGCCTTTTTGCTTGCAGTTGCATGGTCCGCTTGGCCGACTGCCGTGTTGGCCATGTGTTTTATTGCTGGCGTCCTGATTAGCCTCCAGTTCATCATATACGGGTTACACTGCGCGGTAATTTGTATGGGTGAGATTTTTAGGAGAACGCGCAGAGTATCGATGTTGTGTGTAAGGAGGTCGTCGAACGATGTCTTGGAGCATAATGTTTCCAAAAAATAGTGATTTATGGTGGACGATCATCTTGCTAGCATCTGTACTACTATGGACCTGAATAACTTAATAATTTATTTTTGTGTTTCGGTTCAACTAAAATAGCAGTTTATATATTGAACAATCGAGATATATATTTCTTGAGCCGATGGCAATATCCGAGAGGCTGGAAGGATGTCCGTCGCGCGCGATTCAATATTATTCTTTCCAATTAATTAGTGTTACCCAGTGCCCATAATCATAGATCCCCAAAGGAGAGAGGCAAGAACTGGGCGAGGAAGCCACCTGCAACGAGGCCCTAGAAGTCAAGGTACTGAAAAGCCGCCACATTCTTATACACCTTTAAGCCATCGAGCCCCGGAGGAATGGGCCATCCACGAGAATCAACAATCAATCACCGTCCAATAAAAATCACGACCGCAGCAATGTTCTTCCCCGGGAGTGCATGCCACAATACACAAGCATTTCTCGATTGTTCGGGAACCAAAATTTTCAAACAGACGCGGACGGAAAAAGACATCGTGGGATGGAAGAAGCGCCGTCTGTCCGATCATCGACACGTAGCCTCGAGTCAATGAGCACCGCTGTCACAAGTTAACTCCGCCTAGCTGACCTCGTTATGTTCGAAAACAGAATATAGGTCGCCCGACTTGCACGTATCAGTCGAAGAATTTCCTTTGGACCCACAGAAACGATATTCGTATTGGTCGCCTTTGGAAGGCATTGTTGCATGTGCTTCGGATTGTTGATGTACCGAGTTGCATTTGGGGTCATTGTACACGCTTTGGCAGTGCAAAGCTATATCTGTACGTAGCTTCTTGTGGGTCGGTGGACCCACATAGGACGGTGTTTTCAAATCTGGGGTCTCATCCTTTTGTCAATTACTTTTCTGCACAGATTGCGTGTTGGGCCACTTAACTGAATTTTCCAAGGAGATATCTAAAACAAAGATGAGACCCCCTTCACTTTGAACTCCGCGAAGGCAAGTGGCAAAGCGTACAACGAACCACATTATTTGCCCACACACGTGCCATGTCTACAAGCTTACAGCCTAGAATCTCGACAAGCAAGTGCATTCAGAAATTATGGAATACATAGAATTCCAGCAGGTACCTGGTCAACATTATTCACCGTCAGAGCTAGCAACATCGCTATGTGAATCGTCCTGCTCCCTACGGTCCTCCATCCGTACATCCTCATTCTGGGCAGATTCTGGCACACTCGATGTCGCAGGAGTGAAACCAGAAAGAATACCACTCCCTCCAGGTTTCTTGGCCTGTGACTGTTTCCAGGCATGAGCCATCTGCAAGAACTTGAAAGATCTTGGATTGGCTTCTCGTTCGTCGTCGGCGAATACAAGTTCCCAATCTGCGTAAGAACAATCAGGAAGCTGACTATTATATACGGGGTAGATCGCTGACCTTCTACTACCTGGCCTGTCTCTTTGTCGACGTGTTGCTTCCTGCCGATGATAGGCATCATGCCTTCCACCTTAGCTAAGTCGCTCTCGCTGCCATGTTCTTGTTCGAACGCTTTCCATGACTCGAGTAAAGCAGCCCTCTGTGATGAAAGTTCAGCTCCGACTCGATTATGAAACTGCTGCTCATACCTCGGCTTTTAGGCCCTTGACCTTCAAGTCTTTGTAACCACGTTCAAAGACCTGTCGTGATAGTTCGGGATCACCAGCGACAACACGAGGTTCGGCATCCTCTTCTTCCTCTTCTTCTCGCATAGCTCTCGGCAAGGGAATACTTGACCCCTCGAACTCGGCATAGGATATCCACACCTTGTGGTGTCCGCTGAGAACCACCAGGCGCTCGTAAAGTGACCTAGTCTTCTCTCGATCACCCTGCTCATCGACTTCGAAGTCGATATATGCCTTCCAAAGGATTTCGGGCATCGATAGTGATGCTTGAGACACTCCGAGTTCAAAGATCGCCTCTGCACGGGTGAAGTCCTCAAGAGCCGTCTCGAGTTCAGCGTATTTGATCCACGCCGCTGAGTTGGTAGGGTCGTACTACAGAAGATGTTTCATCGCTGCTGAGGAAAGAAAGAGACCTTCGCGACATACCTCAAGATACTTTTCGTACAATGTCCGCACGCGGTCAAATTCTCGCAGCTAAACATGCCATTAGTATATCGTAAAGCCGAGAAAGTGAAGATCATACATCCATCTCGAGTTGAATATAACCCTTGAACAAAGACTCCTTCGGGCACATGCCAATGGCGGTCCCGAGCATTTTGCGCGCTGCCGTTAAATTTAACTGTCTGATCTCAAACCTCGCAGCCATGATCCACAGTTTTGCGAAAGTGAACTGCTTGTGCGGTACAAGATTCAAAACAGTACGATATACTTGGCGTGCACGGTCATAGTCCTGTAGAATAATGTCAGAGTAAACAAGTGGTGTGTATGGAAATGAAAAGACCTTGGTTTCGATCTCCTCGAACAAAGCATACTCAAGCCAAAGGAAGATATACCGTCTCCAATGACGCTTTTCTTGTCCAGGAGGTACATGTGCAACAGCACGCTCGTAAACGTCTCGCACGCGCTCCGTGGCTGCATCCTCCTCTTCCTTGGTGCCCCCTTCTTCTCGCAAAGTTCGTAGGCCACCTTCCTCCAGCCGAACGTAGTCGAACCAGACATCATAATTCCGCCCGTCCTGCAAAACCTCGTCTTCGTATTGGATTCTTCGCTTGCCAAGTACAGTAGATTCTACAATGGACCGTGTGCCGTGCTGCTTCTCAAATTTGGTATAAGCTGCGTATAAATTCGCTGATTTTGATCGCGGAAGACGTGATAGTGCGAACTATTATCTGAACTGTGAAGTCAGGCCTAGCAGAGTATACGCGTTGACGACGTACCTTGTATATCACTCGAGCACGCTCGTACTCTTTCAACCGAGTTTCCATTTTAGCAAAAGCATTGAAAACTGCTTGAGCCTTTTCTACTTGCTCTTCCTCGTCTCCAAAAAACTGGAGAGCGGTTTGAAATACCTCTCTTGCCTTGTCCAACTTCCCTCGTTCTTCTTCAAACTTTGCCCACTTCACCCATACCCTCGGATCCGGCCTGACAGCTATCCATCGCTCATATATAACACTGGCCCTGTCTGATTCGTCATACCGTTCCTCCATCTTTATGTATGCTTGCCAAGCTTTGTCGTCCGGTTCCCACTGCATCCACCGCTCAAAGACTTGTCGGGCACCGGGGACATTTTGCAGAAGCTCCTCCAAGTAAACGTACTTGTACCAGAGCTGATCCACTCGAGGCAATAGAGTCACGGCGCGATCGAATAGATTGCGTGCGTGTTGAACATTTCGGGACTTGAGCTCCATTTCAGTATAACTGAGCCATAGCTGCACGCTTCGAGGGTCCACGTCCAAAGCGCGTTCAAATATGGAGCGAGATCGGTCAAATTCATTTTGGCTAGCCTGATACGAATGCGTATCAGACCGCAATATCAACCAAAGATTGTGAGCAACGTACCTCCCAGTTTGCATACTGAGTCCATTCTTTGCTGATACAATATTCAGCTGGAGTATCACCAATGTTTAATGCGATACTCACATGCTACCTCTTGTCCTTCTGACCCGCTCTTCAAACTCCTTGCGCTTGCGGCCGCGGTACTCGTGGAGTTCTTCAAAATCCTCAACGCGTTGTTTGGGAGCGCGGAAGGTGGATTCTTGACGCTCTTGAGCCTAAAGAACACAAAATTATAAGTACTACAAGGTGAGGAACTTGAGCAACGCACCTCTCGCAGAAGCTGCTCTGCGGTGATCTATGAATGCAATTATGGAGAGTCAACAAATGCAGACATATATGTCAACGAAACGAACCTGGATAGCGGCAGGCGCCCGATTCCTAATCCTAGAAGTCGTAACCAGTCAGTCTCTGCATGATACAAAAAGTTAATAAGGCAAACCTTGGTGCTCTGCCGTCCTGCATAATTGCGACAAACCTATGAGTTTCCCGAGCAAAGAATAGTAGGACAAGCTGTCGGGCAAGCAAAGACAAACAAGCTTGTCCATTACATCTTACGTAAGGGGCCTCCTTCAAGCTGGATTTTTGTTTCGCAACTTTCGCTCAGTTTAGAATGTGGATGCAACATGACATGCCCTCCAAGCTCGTAGCGCTGCTACCAGCGCTCGTATGTCACATCTCGGTTTGTGGGTATCTTCTCCACCAAAATGACAGATTGTTGGCACGATAGACAATGAATTAATTTCAGGAACACTAGAAGGTTAGTAGCCAAAGTCCGAGTCTGTGCGCACGCCGCATACCGAGCTCCTGTTCCTTCCCTGCACTCTTTACGCCATTTTCTTCCTCCGCCCTTGCGCCTAAATTCTATTTATTCTTCCCGTCCTTAACTAGAATTCTTTCATATCACAGTAGCGAGCTACTATTCCACCACGCATGCGTTCATGTGCTCGATAACTTTCTTCATCGCGCTTGCGTGCTTGCAGGCCCGGGGATGTACGGAGCTTGCCTGGGGAAGATATCAATGTCGACGGTGTTCCGAGCATAGTCTGCTGAAACGTCTGGGATGGTGTCGAAATATCTGTCGCGTGATCATTATGTCGTACGTTCGTTTCTAATTCATTGTACTTGCAGGATATTGCCATTAGCTTTCCTCGCAGCATTATCGACGAGTTCTTTCAACAACCTTCACAACCCATCGCATTATTCATGATCAGGTACACTCCAGAGCAGTATCCCTACGATGCGCGTGTCCAAAATTTTCGATAAGAACCATATCTTCACCTTCTGCTCACTGTTCTAGGTCAAATTGTCCTCGAGCACGACCACCAAATAAGCTTCTCCACTGAGCTTATACCTTCGCTGTGCGTGCCAAAGCCCTACTATACAAGTATTATATTGCTAATCCATGATACTAGGTCAGTGAACGAACTATCGACATGATGATGCAAAGTTACCAGTGGAGAATGAAAAACTATGACTAGACTCTATGAAAATTGTTATAAGCAACATCGACGAGTGCTTTAAACGACTCACGCAACCCATCGCATTCAGGTGCAAAGTTCAGTGCCATTCGTGCATTTTCTTAATGCGAGTGCCCGCTACACCTGCAAGATTGCCACCCACAAATTCCATCACATGTTCGATTCCTGGCCAATCTAGCTTTCGGCATGATGCCTGACAGCTTCGACTGCGAGAGAGAGCCCAGGGCGGATATAATCCAATCATTGTTGTTCCAACTGGGAACATTGCGCACGATCTCAACTGTTTCGAAGATTCCCTCCATCTCGCCGAGCTCCTCCAAGGCGACTGTTCCAATACTAAAACGATCGTACAAGTCCTTTCGAGAGGCTGGTTGCGTCCGACATCGATAGCATAGTTATCGGAGTTCCCGATGATCTGGTAGATGTTCCCTATACCAGGACTAGTTTCGACGTAGATAGCCCAGCGAAGGGGACAATGTTGTTGGGGCCCTTCCCCGCCTCGCCAAGACTGGAGAAGTTCGACGGTGCAGAGTCTAGATGTGTCAGACATGATAGAAGATGGCTATGGGAATGGGTAAGTCGCAATTTGCTAGCTTTTATGAGTGTGCTCACCAAGAGTGCAGACGACAGATATATCAAGGATGAAAGAGTAGAGGTTTGAGTCCATCGATGGTCTGTTTTATACTCGAGCCCTTGTGGATTTTTAGTCTGCGGACAGTCCGAAGTGTGGATGCAACATGACGTATTAATTGTACTCGCTGACCTGTGGACTGTGGGTGAACCACCGCCTTCCCGATCGAGCGGCCGTACAATACCCTATTCGAAGGCAGGTGGCCTCACTGGGCTAAGCTCTGCTAGGCAGAAATTCCACGCATTTGTGCTCATCATTGGCACTGATTGCATGGCAGATTGCATTAAAAATCAAAATGTTTCCCACTCGCACGTGAGTATTCTGAGCTTCTGGGATTATGGTTGGTTGAGATCTTTATAACGACATTGTTATATTTCACCATTTGATCGATACCTGAATGAAGGAACCTGGGACTTGGAAATTGACCGCTTAGCCACCAGTGGGACGTTGCCTTTGTTTGTGGGCCATCTCGTATCACAAAAGCACATCCAAGTTGGCTGTGAGAACACATTCCAACTTGTATAGATTTTCTGTGGTACAGTCTACACCGCGTCAACACACAACCTACTCCTCTTCACGATTGCTATTAAAGGTACCAACAGGTATATCCTCCACCAAAATGGCCTCAAAACGTTTCGTCGAATCCATCTCGCTCCGATTGTCCGATCGACGCAATGAACATCGAGAACACCATCGGCATGACAAGGTAGAAACACGCGCGCATGCTCACATACTCTTGATCACGACGCTTTCGATGTGTTTAATCACTTTGTATACTTGATCGCTGGTTGTTTTTATTACATGCATGGGGATGGAAAGGGCTTTGTGATGTCGGTTATATGCGACTTGCTCGACGTCAATCAAATAATATCGCGACGTTTGGAAATCGAACTGCACAGAAAGATTTTTTTGCGGATCGGAAGGTAACTTCGACTGTATTGCTGGTGCACCATAGGTCTTGCATAGGCTTGAAGACTAAGTAGCCGATATATCAAAGTCAGGGAGGGCAGCAGGGGATATGTATGCACAGAGAGAACTACATCCATAGTTAAAAGTATGTATATATCCAGCATGGTTGAAAAGTCTGTATAATTCTCAGCCATGGTGGAACGTAAATCAAACGTTTCTAATATCCAACAGCTCTAGACCATCCACACCTGAAGATGTTTGGATCGGTCGAGCAATGACCACACTCGAGGTGACTGGCCCGGTTATAGTGATATCCTGCGATTCGTATGTTGCTCGCAGGTTAAACATTATGCGTGAGGCAAAAACACTGTACACGACTACCTGCGGGCTTGACTGAATCAGAATTGAAGACATGGACAACCACGATAGGATTTACCTATAGAAAATATTGGAATATGGTGGCTGGACAGCCTAATCAGAAGTTTATCATATAACCAAGGCAAGCCACTCACAGGAAGCTTCATAACGCCCACACAATTCACTATAGAGGCCACTACAAAAATCAAGGCCGTGATCTCGAAGATAATCTATAAGACTCACGGGCAATGCATAGCATGTAAATCATGCCATCCCGATATACAGTAGAAACCAGTGGGGTATTTTCCTGTCGGTAAAATTTGAAACGTTTGTACACTGTCAAGGCCATCGATACTGGAGTAGGTTAGTGGCCGGCGAGAAAATTTATCGAAATGATACGTACCAAGCTGATAGGTCATGGGTAAAATATAGAGGATGCCTAAGAATTGTTTGGCCTCCGATGCGTCACACGTAGATTCTGTATTACGGGTGAGCGGAAGACATGTGAAAGGAGAGTTACAGACTTCCGCATTTACTTGCAGCGACGTACAGAATTGTTAGTGCGGCTGAAACCATGACCTATAATAATGTGTGATATTGAGCAACAAGAAAATTGCCAAGGGAGAACATTAAGGTCACTATGCTGAAGAATGATATCGCAATCAATATGCTCTTTTCACGCCCACAAAAGGCGTGCGCCCTTGCTGCGAGCATGCCTGAAAAGACGTTACAGGTAGAAAGATATTGACTTGAAGCAGATACTGACCGTCAGCAGCAGCAACGCCCAAAACATTCATGGCTGGCAAAAACATTGAACATTCAGAGTGATTTAAGTGAAGTCATCATATACGCAACTGCCAATTACGACAATGTATGTCCCAGGATTTGGCTGGGATATTGTCAGATATACTCAAACTGTCAGAAGAGTTCATGCTTACAGTTTCCCCGTGAGTCGACCCGACGCCATCTATCCGAGGTACTCATTAGCGAAGGAGACAGAATAACACGAGTACTACTCACAATATAAGTACATAGCAACAGTTCCAATTGGAATATAGCGAGAAATAACGAAGGCTATCCTCGTGATCCCCCACTTTCTCCCCCATGTCAAACGAACCTAATAATACCTCAGTTTTGTATATGATCACCGAAATATACCGACCTCTGAGTCGAAAGTAATGCAGAAGTCGAAAAGCTGGAGGAAATTGGGTTATGATTGCCATAGGATTGCGTTATATTTGTTCCTCCTTACCAAGGCTGCTGTGGATGCGGCTATCCGAGGAATTCAGTCATGCAAAATAAATCAGAATCTGAGTATAGACTACCTTCAACAAACTGAATTCGAATAAGCAATCAAAGGCTGACTAATGAAGCGGGGTACGCACTGCAACAGTTTGCCAGTGTTGAAGTTCTACGAGATCCACATAGCTGCCCATCTTGGCTAAATTGAAGAACCTACTGCCTTCTTTCTGTAGGGCTTGCCTAGGGAAGGCTAGAGCTAAGTCGACTATTAGCAGCACAAGTGTTGCATCCCCTTGGTTGGGAGACACAAACTTATATATGTCTCGTAGCATAGCGTCAAGTACTCGGAATTGCATCGAGACCGTTCATTTCCGCCGGGTGCAGGTACTCTCATGTGGTTCCGCACTGCTCAATACATCGGTACTACGTGGCTTTTTTGGTATCCACCAGCACTGTGGACGCTAAGGCATGACATTAAGTACGTCCAGGAGGAGCACATAGCATATCAGTGACGACTTCAAGTTCACAAGCTCATATGCAACAGACCTGCGATATAACTTGGTATAGCTTGGCTGCATGATGTAAAAATTGCTAAAAGTCAAACCACATTTCTTCATGATCAATTAAAGACGTTGACCTACTAAGGAGTCATAGCATTAGTCGCAAGAGCAAAAATGCCGATAGGCTTCGTGTCTAAGAAGGCGGAGACGGATGTCGTCTTTTCAGATGCGGCATCCAATTTTATCCCGGGAGTCCGGATAATGCAAATCATAGCTTAATGGAACCACTGTAACTTAAACTGAGTGAGAAAATCATGGGCGTGTGAGTAGGAGAAATATGACCATGGCTGCGCTCAACGTTCATTGGTCTCGTGCTTCCGAGGTATCGCTCTCAATCAATGGGGTACATCGTAGACATTCACGACACCTATCGCGGTGCCGTCTTTGTTCCAGCAGGTTACTTGCGATGTGTCCTGACTCACTTCCGGAGATCACGGGTGTGTGGAACGAATTCAACGGAGAGCCACGTTCGAAACTGCATAGCATCAATGCTAAAATTTAAACACGACGTCACATTTTGAGGAAACCATTTTCACTTACATAACTTGTGGCAGTGTATGCAGAATCAAATAATGATGTAGAGAACGTTAGAGACTGATGAGTTTTGCGCAAGGCTCAGACACGTCCGTCGAAGTACGACCAAACTCAGGTGTACAGGGAACCCGTGGATAACGCGTAATGTACATGAATTGTAAAATATTAGTGCTTTCGGTCGGGTTTCTACATAACCGAAATCTTACATTTTAAGTGCGCAGTGCGCTTTGTCGGTCTCGAGCTCTGAGTTTCCGGTGCTCTCTAATCCAACAAAGACTTGCAGCTGTGCAGTAAAATGCTGAAGCGCTGACTACTAATTTCCGTCTCAAACCCCATTTGTCGGAAATCTGCGAAAGGCAATGACGTTAACTCCTATGTGGCGAGGTTCTACCAGTGGTGACAATAAATACAACCTATGATATGGGAGTATGCCCACATACTTAGGGTCTTCAAACCCGAAGGAGTACATGTATGTGTTAAAAAAACACATTGCTGACATGGTCCGATAAAAATCTTGTTTTCATGTACGAGGGCTCCAGTGAAAATTCTATTGAATTCATTCTACATACAACTTCTCACACAATCAGTACTCGTACATTTTACAGGTCTTCCAGCCCTGATCATAAGCAAATCTTCGAAACGTCATCAAATAACTATATCCACCCTATTCAAAACACCTTCTTCTATTGCTTTGATTTCTACATTTTCGATCATCAGTAATGCTCTATATACCACAAGGAAGGAACTCACGCATGGCCAAATGGAGACTGTGGAAGCGCGCCAGAGACAAATTAGCTGTTCATCAAAGTGAGACTGACGTGCCCATAAAAAGAACGATGCGAAATACCGTTTGCGAACCACAGACCATCATGCCCGCAGTACCTCCACACTCCCGAAGATTGCCCTTCTTCGTCTAAACCCCAGACCTGGGTGACTTTTGATGCGATTTCGTCTCCACAAATCTCACGCATGAAGTCACGGGGATCGCCATAACTGTAAGCAAGTATGAGTCCTGCTCGTCAAAGTGAAATATTAGCATACCCCGTAGCAAACACTATGATATCTGCCTGTAGCTCGGTGCCATCAGCAAATCGAAGGCCGTTTTCCGTGAAGGACTCGATTGCGGAACCGTTTTTGATTTTGATATCCCCGTTGATAATAGATTTACTCGCTCCGGTGTCTGGAGGCTGTTGAGATATATCTTCGTTGTGCATCAGAGGTACACACACCGATGTAGTAGCCACCACCGCGCTCCAGGTAAAGGGCCATGAGACCTGCTTCATATATGCCAAGATTGGTCTTAAAGCCAACTTTGGCCAGTCCATCTAAAAGAGCCCTGTGATGATGATCAATGCATCTGGAACTGAGCTTTTGATTTGCCTGGCATACTTGTCTGCGGTCTCGGCGACTATAGGAACCATACGTTGATGCATCCGCCTAGCAACTGCCCAAGGTAGCGAGGTACTATAAGTATCGGCCAGCTCAGTGGGGAAGTCATCATTATAGAGAGCTAGGCAAGGAAAGTCAAGCCAAACTCCCAACAACCATAGAGATAATTACCGCGTGACATTGCTGCCATTGACTCCACCGAGATCACGAACGTCGACGATCGTTGATACCTAATATTCGGTGAGATATGAAAATGACACTACCGAAGGGGACACACATCGTGATGTCGGCGCCGTGAGTGCAGAAGTCTTGAGCAATGTCGTGCGCTGATGAAATATTTAGACCTTGTTCGATACGAAAGATATGACAGACCAACCAGAATTGCAACAACCGACTACGACTACTTTTTTACCGATATGATTAGCCGCAGATTCGAATTCTGACGAGTGCACGGTAGACCCTTTGAAGCTTGCCTGCGTCCATGAGTCACGTTTTGATCAGTTCGAGCGTTACTTACCTTCCCAGGGATGTCGGGAACTATCGGACGACCGCCAGATCCAGTGGCAAAAACGAGGTGCTTGACGGTCAGAACCCTAGTACCTTTACCCCCGCGATTGACTTCGACAGACCAGGTTTTCGTGCTATCGTTCCAAGATGTCTTGGTGATCGTTGAGGCCGTCCAAACGTCGATCTCAAGTAAACTTGCATATGATTCCAACCAGTCTGCCAGCTGCAATCACTAGAATCAGTGAACATTCGTTATATGGATAATATTGTACTTTTGCAGCTGGGATGTAGACTGGCCATGTTGGTGGAAAGCTGCAGAACAGATCACGAACGAATCAAAGGAGTTCTGACAAACCACCCACGTCAGGTAAGGCGTTTGGTTGAACCCTGTAAGTTTATCAGTCACTCCCCTTCCGTAGAAGAAAAGGCACGAACAGATTGTACCATGCAGACAAAGAGTCTTGTAACGGTCCCGCCACTATGAAACCGCCCCTGCGCCTTTAGCTACAGTCAAATACCGAAATTATAACTGGACGAACGCTATCTCCAACCCGAGGTTTCTTATCAATGACAAGCGTGGGTATACCAATGCACTTTAATTGTGCCGCGGCCTCAAGACCACAGTGCCCTGCACCGATAACAAGCACTGTTGGGTCGTTGCTTGAGAACTCAGCCTCTTGGCGCCGCTTCTCTCCCCAATTTCCATGATCGGCCTCTTTGTTTCTGAAGGGACCGAGCTTCCACAGAGTCAGAAAGTGCTCACAAAGGAACGTAATGCACACTTTTTGAGGGAAATCGGCCAACGATTCAAGACAGGTCAACAGAGTATAGGCCTTCCATTTTGAATCTGGAAGGGGGACGAGATGAACGACCGCAGTACCCTTGCCATGCTTGGTGGTGAAACTAAAGCAAAACCTCAACCAAACAAGATCATGATAAACTTTTTGCAGCACAGGTTCTTTCAAGGGCTCCTGTAAGAGACGCAGTTCGTTGAGACCCCCCGTAGCAGCGAGACGAGCATCTAAAAGTTTTTTGATGTCCTTCCTTCCTTCGAATGTCCTGAAATCCCAAGTCAGTGCGATCACGTCCTTCCAGAAGCCATCTTCGAGAAAGAGGTCGACGACAGCTGCGGTATCACTTTGAGCTATTGCAGCTGAGAAAGCGTTGAGCCACTCGGTGGCTACCTCAGACGAGGAGACATTGGAAGGATCAGTGACCCCCAGCCGATCCAGCGTAGGTAAGCGTTGGGGAAACGAGTCAGTCGCCATACTGAAGCGGAAAACTGAAGTGTGCGGATTGAGAGTCCGAGATTTAGAGTGACACCACCAATCATCCTGGTTTTTAACTTCGATTATGCGGTCCGGGTTACCTGCAGAACCCACTCTCATACTAGGATCAATCCATCATTAAAATGCCATCCGAACTTCGAAGAGCACATCACATGATTATGCACGTGATCAGTAAAGTCCTAATGCATCGTCAATTTGCGGACTTGATGAGGCAGAACGCCCCAACTTTCTGATGGTGACTACCACCGTAAGTAATAGGTAACTACGTGGTCGTGACGCGGCTTTATCAGATCATTCAAATACCACCATGGTATATCGACTCGAATCCTTGTCCTTCGCATTCTCATCACAACCCTGAGTTTGACTCGGATGTACCATCAAGTAGTGAGTCTTGTTGTCTCTGATAGTGTTCTGGTGGTGTTTTTCTAATACTGTGTTGAAGTGTTACCGTAAGCCTTACGCAACCTCGGCTGTATTATATCAAGCCCCAACCATGCCGCGCCAAACATCAGGCTATCACTATCCGCGACAAGCTCGTTCATGCTCGTTCCCAACATCTGTGGACACTCAGCCTCGGTACGATGGGCATTGGGCATCATCGACGGGAGCAATTTGATCTCCGCCAAAATCTATGCCACACCGACGGAGCCGAAGTGCCAGTCCTGCCGAACAACTCAATGCTGTGGTCCAGATCGTCCATCTGATCCTCTACTACGTTCGACAGCGTGAGGCAATCCTGCTCCCCAAGTAAGTGATGGTGGCACTGTCGCATCCACGCAGCTCTCACCAGTACTGTATGGACCAGTCTCAACGTCCCCAAATACAACAAATCTGACAGTGTTTTAAATCAGATACCTTCAAGTTTCTCGGTAGTTCTAATACCACTTGGAACCAGTAACGCGATCTGCTTCAGGGTTATGTCCTCCATAAGAGTAAAGCTATTGTTCTCGATGTCGCGACGGAAAATGCAAGATCAAACGCCTTGCTAGCATTACGTCTAAATCAAGTACGGGACGAGTCAGGTGTGTAATAGATATTCATCAACATGATACTCTAAATCTCACCAGATCGCTGGTTTGAACCAGAGCTACGCCATAGTGTAGTTATGGAAGCAGTTCTACTTCACGCAAATATGTCCTCGCGGACATAAGAGTGTCGTTTGGAAGTTATTCCTGATCTCTGTATAGCATCAACAACAAAGATTTAGAGGAATGATTCTGCATGGACGACTACTCCAGGCATCCAGCGTGCGTTGTTTCAGCATCCTGCATCTCACTTACTGGTGGTCTAGTATTCGGCTCACAAGAGAGTGAATGGGCTCTTCCCCCACCCTCCGAGTGCTCAAGCGCTCATCCACTGCCTCTTCTCTTACGATCGCACATGGATGCACAGAATTCCGTGCCCCATCAAAAAGCGCCTTCGCCCGCTCGGTGCACACCGTCTGACAACTAACTTGCCATGGTCTGGACCAGAATGTGATCCACCCACCTCTAGTCCTTCCAGCATGTGCTTGGAATCGGTAACTTTCGTTGCACGTCTCATACTTGGTCCTACCTACCATTAGCTCAGTATCTACCGTACACGCAATGCATCCGTCTGAATCTGTTGTCGCAGCAGCATGTTTAATCATTCCTCGTATGCCCGATGCCCTATTACTCGAAACTAAGTCGCAAGACCCTATTACATACAATATAAGTCTACACATAATCCAGTCTACTGTCTATCAGTGATCCAAGATGCGAGTTGAGATGAATAATGTTATCAAATGACACGCCCAATGCAACGGGAGTGCGACACAAACGTTACGACCCCTCAGCGCTCTCCCTCCTCCACCGAGGAATCGGCACCCTCAACCGTATTCCATCCCACGCATCGTGCGGATTAGAAGGAGGCCTATCGTGTTGAATTGGATGGAAATTGTCGTGCGTGCTAGAATGATGTCGCCCGTCATGCATAACTGGAAGTGACTCGTCATGCAAGATATGGTGTGACCCGTCTTGGAGGATAGGATGTTGCTCATCACGAGGAGAATGTTCACCATCATACGGAGAACGTCTCCCCTCCAGCGCCCTTCCCCGTCTCCCATCAAAACTCAAACGCAACCCAGGCCGTCGCGTCTCCTGCCGCACTCCAGATCCAGCAGCCTCCTCATAACTGGGCAAACCCGCTAAACTCGATAGTGGGGGGACACATCCCTGAAACGACACGCGATAGTCGGGTGCTGCATTCGCGTGTACGTTTTCACCATCTAGAACACCACTTGCATTCCCTTCTTGAACCCCTCCCACACTCACTTCAACCCCATCCACACCATCTAACTCCTCCCCACGTGTCCCACCACCACCGCTCGAATTCATCTCCGTAAACCCCCTCTCCCAAATCGCGCTCTCCGGGATCTCAGCAGGAGGTGTATGAGGACTATGTGGCGCAGAGTGCATACCGCTAAGATAAGGCGTCTGTGCTCCACTTCCACCAACACTAAACGCAGCGTGCGGACGTGAATATCCTCCCGTATTCGAGGCCAATCCTTGTGGGTATTCGAGGGGTTGAAGTGGCGATACCAGATTCCCAAATGATCGTGAATGGAGATGGGCTCCTCCACCCCCAGACACCCCATACGACCCACTGACGTTCGACATCCCCAATCCGTGTCCATTTGTCATCCCCGCAAGATTGGAATGGCTCCCAGTCCTCGAGCCCCCGCTCAACCACCCAGAAGGAAGTGGCTTCATCGCGACCGTGAGTAACGTGCCTCGCGTGCGGGATGCAGGCGGTGAGTGGGTATACGTTTCAGGGCCAGATGCTGAAGTCTGAGCAGGTCTATGTGAATCTGGGGCGGAGATGGCTATAGGCGGACCTATCGCCCCCCGCATACGCCGCTCGGGACTAGGCGCACGAGAAACAAGTCGACTTGGGACTTGGCTCGTAGGATCAGAATTCGGCGATCGTGGATGACCTAAAAGTTCACAATTGACCCAATCGAGTACGCTCTGCGGGAGTGTGTGTGCATGTGCATGCGCATGTGGGTGTGGATGTGAGTGTGAGTGTGGATGTAGTGGCGAGCTCGTTCCTGAACGCGGCGGGAAGGATGCGTTGGTAGCACTTCCTGGTGAGGGGGGAATGTGTGGTGCTGTGGACACATAGGGGTTCACGACGCGCATGGTGGATCCGGCGGGTAGGAAGGCGTTGGCGACGCGGTCCCTAACGTGAGCGGTGTAACTGGGCAGCATCTCACCTTCCTCCTCGTTGTCTTCTGCTTCTCCAAAGATGCCAGCGCCAGCACTCTCGCCTTCACCTTGGACGTGATCGCCTAAAACTACACGGCGAACCCAACGCCCAGCAGCGCGAGCTTCTGTGAGGAGGCACCCATCGAGTATGGTTATGGGGAGGCTGCAGCGGAGTTCAGAAGTATGCCCGTCGAGGTTTGACATAAGGATGGACCAGCGGATTCGGTGTGCGATGTGGATTGGGTCAAAAGCATGGGACGGAGGGAGAGTTGGTGGGAGGGTGAGGGAGAGCGGGGAGATGAGGTCTGTTGAGGTGAATTCGTCTGAAGCGACGTCTGGGGGTTCATTGTGGGAGGGATCGGAATCATCTGAAGGAGCGAAGGAGAAACTTGCGATTGGATGAGAGTGAGAATGGGAAGAGGACGAAGATGGTATGCTGGGGACCTGATGGAGGGATAGATCGGGTAGATGAAAACTTGGTGGTCTATCCTCCTGAGCAGGGGACGTGGGCACACTGACATCGGTAGCGCCAGGGGGATGCAATTTGGAGCTGGTGCCGATGGGCTGCCTGATGCCATACCAACTTTCGCTGACAAGCTTGAGTTTACCATTGGTAACCTCGTGTTTTGTAGCCACAACAGCTCTGGTGAATTCGCTCCCCCTTGAAGGAATCTTCACGGTCTCGTTGAGGTTGGTGATGACACTGAGGACGCGGACACCTTTGACAAGAGGGATAAATTTGCAGAGAGCAGTAACGGTATCACCGGCAGCCCAAGCGCGATGGGGGAGGACAATACTGTACATGAGTTTATCAGGCCATGTGTTCTCGATTTCAAGTGTCTGCTGATACTCGAGCGAGTCTGTTGCGAAACTTCGTATTAGGGAAACAGGGTGGGATGCATGGAGGTTGTGCGCGAGGCCAGGACGGACGGCGGTTGCACGGAGTTTATAGGAGATGAATGATTGGGAAGCAGTGGAGGGGAGGTGTATTGAGGAGGGGAGGGAACCGCCGAGGGCGAGCGAGAATGGGAAAAGGTGTTTGCCTGCTTTGAGGGTGTGAGAGTGGCGTTTCTCGCCTTCGAGGAAGGACCAATCATATGTGCAGATACTGTATGTCTGCCCAGATGAGTTAAGGGAAATTCTGGGTGGATTTTTCAATCAGGGAAGAAGGTTTACATGAAAGAAAGCACGTACGATTCGTGAAGAGATGGTGGTACGCGAGTTTTGCCACGAAACTGGAGATTTATTTCTTTGATGGATGTCGCTTCGGAGAGAGTGAGGACGACATGTCCAGAAAGTAAGGCAGGCTCGATGTCTACTGTTGTGCCTTTCAGTGCAAGGACATCAGAATCCAGGATTATATCTATGCGAGACTTGTCAGGTGGTGGGTGATGATGTGATCTGTCTTGGTGGACCATGTCGTCGTGTACGCGACTAAGAGCGGCGTGAAGAGCTGTACTGAGATGATCATCTATGGGAGTAGAAGTAGGAAGTTGAGGAGAAGCCGGGCGTGTTATACTGAATGCCATCTTGGCGGAGAGACCCTGGTTGGGATGAGTTGGAATTACAGACGCGCACTGAGTCAGGGTAAGCCAAACTCACCAACTAGCTACAGTTGGTCCTAGTCCTGGAATTTGTGGGAGATCCAAACTTCCTAGTAATTGTGAGCGACAAAGGAAACATCGACCGGGCGAGACTTGAATCATTCTTATAATAAACCTCACCTTTCGTTCGTCCGAATGTTGCCCGCGGCAGAGAGCGAAACGGCAAGCCGGCTGCTAATTCTTGATCCGGTATATGGGATCGACGATCCTTGCGGCACGGCAATACCCGAGTCACAGCTTTGTCTGCAGATGCTTCCACAGAAACCTGCTCAAATAGAATTGCCATCGATATCGGCCTTCCGTCCTGCAGCGCATACTACCACGGCCATTTACGGGGTTCTACACCAGCGCAACACTTATCGCATAGCTTTGCGGTTCTAGCTCGTTGCTTGGACCAGCCTGCACAAAATGAAAGGCACATCCATTGGTAGTAGCCGTCGGTTGAATGCGGATACAAACACCATTTGCATAAATGACTGTGTACGCTGTCAGCAGGTGTTATCTTCCTGTTGCTAATCTCTGGCGCGCCCTCCATTTCCAAGATCTCGGTATTATGCTGTATATCAACTAGATCTCGCTAACCACTCAGTCGACTTCCATTGCAAAGTCTTACCCTCGAACTCTCCCAAGCCCAAGCCCTTTCGAGCTGCTCACCACTGCAATGTAGCCACGTCCTAAGTATTTAAATTTAATCTCGCTTTTAGTCCGGTAACGCAAGTAGCCCTGTGCTTATTGAGGCAGATTCTAGAACATGAGCCTCCGGAATCCTTTGTGTGCCAGCACACCGCGATACTTCCTCCAATGGCGATCCACATTAAGTCCTGCACGAACCCTATTTCACACGCTATCATACTATAATAAGATTGTACTAATCCCTCTTTCTCACTTTCTTTCATTCTTCGACTCCAGTTCTGGCACCGGTCGTCTACTCACTGGATCACGTTTGTTATCTCTACTGTCGCGGTGTTTTTAGGCCATCGACAGTCTGGTTCTCTCTTATCAATCGCCATGGTCCTCGCCATGCCGCCATTGTTGCAAGCAATATCGCTATTTGGCAGGAGTAACGACATACCCGACCGCGCACAAGGTAAGATCGCACGTTTGATGTGCGCCAATCTCACGCTCGATATGCACTTGATATGCGTTGATAGACCTTTAAAGTTTTGACATGCCATGGGATTCGGTGGTGTTTCACAAGGCCTGGAGACACTAGCAATGACTCATTCCGCAGCAGCCGTGCTTCGGCTTCCCCTGGATTGGTTTAGACGGGTGTTGAGCACTCAGCGTTCAAAGGGTTTCTGAGGACCCTCCTAACTTGGATGTGCTTTAAGAAGCCCCTTGAGCGAAGTCTCGTGGAAATACACAAAAATGAAACGCACGAGGTTCAACGGCTATGCTCATTTCGAACATTCGGAAAAGATGGAGACCGACGAATCGCAATCTTGACAAGAATCTATTACTGGCTATAGGATTCGATGCTGCGCCATTCACATGACACATGACTCCAACTTCCCTGACTTTAAAGTTTAAACAAAGCTCTATGTTTGCGCCTGCACCTGCGTTCGGACTACTTCGGACCCGTATTCTTCGGAGGTCAATCGGATATTGAAACAGTACTGATTTATCTACGGGTGCGTCATCGGGGGAAACCGGAAGACACTTTGTTTGTGGCCGCCGAATGGAAAATGTCCGCTCAGTTGGATGTTGTGGTCCTAGAGGTCGGTTGATATCGGGTCTTTCATGTGCACCTCTCCAGCTATCCATGCTAGTGGAAGTGTGGCTACCTGGAAGAGGTGCACATAAAGACTATTGGCAAATCCATGCCAAACTTGTTGCAAAGAATACGGCTGCAATGCAAGCAGGCGAACACGTTTTACTCATTGTAGTAGATATCTACATCTAGAATCTCACCCTAAGGTCTGGACGTTCACTCATAAGGGGAAAATGCAAAGCTAAAAGCCTATTAGGAGATGTGATTTAGCACGTTTACACTACAGTCGAATCTAGGAAATATACAGATGTTCGTATCGTGATGTACATCCTACAAGAAAGTGATTGCTATCTTCAAGTTCAAAATCACCGCCTAGCGCGGCAGTACCATTGAAACAGGCATGACAGTCTCGGCATTTTGTCTGTTAGACTATGGAATACTAATCGATTGCACCAGACAACCCGATGCGATGACCATGTCCTTGCAATACCATCTACAATGCTTACCGACGACGAGGGCTCCCTGTTTCCTTTTTCATCTTCATCCTAGTCCTGCAATGTGTGGAAATGCCTGGCATCTAGAATATGACGTGGCCTGTATTGGGGATTGGACGGGCAACAACGACCACACATTCGGGATCCGCTGACCTATTCATCCGCCTTGTGCAGTAGCTTCCAGCTCATCTAGGATCCATCGGCCTTTCTTTTGTTTCCCATTCCGTTTCCTTGCCTTCTGCGATATCATCGTGCTTACTACCATTGGGCGGCTCCGATGGCAGCGGATGTCTAGCGAAGTTGAGGCTGGTTTATCGTTGTGCCACAAATGTGGGCCCGAATGCGTCATTTTCCGATGCTGCACCTTGCGAGCGGACCCTAGTCAAGAGGAATCATCTCAGAGTTCCCCGGCAATCTAATCCAATTCTCCGGCAAACTGGCGATATTTTTGTCGTGCTACCATTGATGATGTGCTTGCCATCCACGAAGAAAATAGCGCAGGACAAGCACAGCCGTTCGCCACACTCAAATTTAGCGATGGTTCGTCGATCAAAGATCCGAGATCCGCGAGAGGTGAACACTTTTATCACCGGCCATGCATACGGAGGCGCCAGCATGATTCCCGGAGATGGTACGGATATAGCGAGTACCTTAAAGCCAATGATCATCCGGGCGGACCTACTGCCAGGTCGACATATCCAATTCCTGAATGTTTGACCCTGACAAGATCTGCGAGAAGCCGCGCGTTATCGGGCGTCCACACGCGAGTGACGTTTCTGGACGTTATGGTTGGCTACGAAGTTTGCGACACAGTTTCTTGTGCCTGTATCCCGACCTCATGGGCTTGCAATGAATTGCCTGCTTCTGGAAGCCGTCACTACCTGGAGCCTGCTTTAATATCTCTCTAATCGGTTTAACAGCACATTGTCCTTTAAGCTCCAGACTCGACAGAAAAACCACCCGTTCATTGGTCCTGTCAGGGCGTCACCATGCGCAACCAATCAGGAAAGATTGTGACAGCCGTTAGTAGTTACCTCGGATTTTTTGGCTGTTGCCAGTCTTGAAACTATCGAGCAGGTATTCCATCGCCGTTATACTTGGCTAGCGCTGGCATTCTTGTCATTTTGATTTAGCTGGCCCCGTCGGTTTATCTCGAGACCCCTATCAGGCATCTAGCTTTGTCAGCAAAACGATAACCGAAGTTGCTATAGCAGACTCGTATGGCGGCACAGGGCATATGGACATGTCGATTCCTCAGGGCTGGAGATTACCGGTAGCTCAGGTGAATGATGCGCTTCTCTACAGAGTTTTGCGAAGCCAACTACCGACTGGACTCGATGGGAGCATTCGATAGGCCGGCTCAGGCTTAAGGACGACAGAGATATGAATGCCGTCTGGTAGACCTAGAATCCTTAGCACGGACCGTCTTATTTTGCATGAATGTTGCCCCATTTGTCGACAGTTGACTATTGATGATGTTATCAGTATTCATATTCCTAATCGCACTCGTACAGTTCCAAGGTACTGCAAGCAAATCGTGTATGCAGGACATCACATCCTCGTTTCGGACTCAGTTCGCGATGGGTGTACTGTTGTGAAGACACATGCCTATGACAGATCGACGGTGCTGCAGTTATATCCCATGAGATACAGATGTAGCTGACCTGCATGACGCGAATCAAAAGGCTACGATGAGGGTGATATCATCCCGATGTCTGAGTGATACTTTACGCTGATACCGATCATTCATCGAGGTTGATTGCGCGGCCAAACCTGGCGTACAACGTAACTTTTAGCTCCTTCATCTCCTTTTCGCATTGTTCCGCCCCTGCTGATAGGTCCAAGATTTGAGCAGATAACGCTGCCTGATCCTTTTCAAGTCGTTTCATCGCGCGGGGTTGAGGTAGGTGAAGAAAAGATTCGCCGATCTTGTATCTGTTGGTTCACCGATAAGTTAGTTCTTCTTCTTGCGCGAGCACGATCTTCAAACGCACAGCACACTTTCATCCTCGTCAGTGAGCTCGAGCTCTGTAGAGAGGTCATCTAATGCTTCTTTCTCTTGCTGGAAGCTATCATGAGACTTGAACAAGTGTTTAGTTTGTCAACACACCTTCAGTTCCTCGAGTCGTTCCTCTATGCTCCTGAGACGAGTATTCAGTTTGGAGAACGTGTTGATACGCTGCTGATCCTCTAAAAGCACTCAATCCACTGGCACCCTGAGTGTCAAAAACTCAGAACGCACCCCATGTAACCTCAGTCCCATCGTCGTTCTCCTCCTCTTCCGCAAGCTTGAATGGATTTATTCAGTGATCCTTGCTTCGTGATGCAAATGTCATACCATCCGCATGTTGTTCATTGTTATAAACTTGGTGGTTCGGAAGCACTTGCCAAATTAATATAGTTTTGCCGGCTGAGGGTGGTATTAATATAAATGTGAGGTAATTGGCGGGTTGGCGAAACTCACACTCTTCCACAGCTCTCCTACCTTCACACTAATATTACCACGGAAACGTCGATTTCAACCCAAAAATGTCTTCCGTCAAGCTCTTTCTGCAAGACCCGGTGATTGTTAGGGATTTCCTACGGACTAGGACACCATACGAGACAGCGAAGACAGCACTTTTCGTTTATTTCGTCATAACTCAATCCCTCAAGTTCTGCAGGCATGTCCAGGCTCGAGGCATAACTGATTCTATTAGAGACTCCTGGACATGGACCTACAAAGTGCGTGACTTTCATTTAGTTTTACTGCTATGAAAGCTGACCGAAAGACAGCAAGTATTACTGCTAGCATTGAAAGTACCCTCAGTGCAGAAGGACGTTCAGCAGCAATTGAACAAGGCAAGACTGGATATTGAGGGAAAGCTCGTACCCCAAGGAGTCAATGTTTCGCGGCATCTCGTTCTCCCAGACGAAGGGAAATCCATGGAGTGGATAATAGCAGAGATGGAAAAAATGGATGGCGAATTGGGCACACATGCTGATTGGAAACATGGGAAATTATCAGGAGCAGTCTACCGTGCGTCAATTGCCACAGTCATTCCCTATCTCACCTTCTAAATAGATGGGGGGGATGATCTGTCAAGAGTTATTGTCGCTGCTTTCGAGCGTTATACAGTTTCTAACCCTTTACATCCGGACGTCTTTCCTGCTATCCGCAAGATGGAAGCTGAGATTGTCTCAATGTGCCTACGGATGTATAACAACCCGGATGGAGCTGGTACCATGACCTCAGGCGGTACCGAGTCTATTGTCATGGCTATCAAAACTTACAGAGACTGGGCACGAGAAGTTAAGGGTATTACGGAGCCTGAGATGTGGGTGTTGCGGTTCGTAAGATGTGAGTTAATCCTAATGTCGATATCACAGGATTGTTCCAGCAACCGCACACGCCGCATTTGACAAAGGCGCAGCGTACATGAAAGTAAAAGTGCACCTGATTCCAGTAGACCCAGTAACTCGAAAGGTAAACATTAAACGCGTTCGTAGAGCCATGTGAGTGTCCCTTGCCACGTCATGGATATGTTACTCAGATAATTTCCAATAGCAACCGTAACACAATTCTTGTAAGCATCTTCTCTATCATAGCGGTAGTATTGAACGCTGTTGCGCAGCTTGTAGGATCAGCTGTAAATTTCCCGGATGGAAATCAAGACGATATAGTTGTTTTGGGCGAATTAGCTGCAAAGCGTAATATTGGTCTGCATGTTGACTGTTGCCTTGGATCCTTCATTGTGCCGTTCCTCGAGAAAGCAGGTCTTTCTGATGGAGAAGACGGAGGCGAAAAGTATAAACTCAGTCCATTCGACTTCAGAGTCCGTGGAGTTACCAGTATCAGTTGTGATACTCATAAGGTAAGTTGTCATCATATAATTCAATTGCATGTAATCGATGAAGATATTAATGACATAATAGTATGGGTTTGCACCCAAGGTCAGACTTCGCCCATGTGCGCCTCGTAAATGCTTACCAGATCCTATAGGGATCTTCTGTGATCATGTACCGTGATGCTGCATTACGACGTCATCAATACTACATCACACCTTACTGGACAGGTTCGTGACAGTCTGGTAAACGTTTTTACCAACTTCAGTTCTTTGTAGGTGGAGTCTATGCCAGCCCGAGTTTGTCAGGTTCCCGGTATGTTCATTCCTAGATCCCTTATTTTTGCGCCTGAATTTCTGTGTACTTAGACCTGGTGCGTTGATCGCGGGAACCTGGGCAGCGATGCAATACATGGGATCAGAGTGCGTATATTTGTTTTTTCCCTCGATCTGATCTTGTAATTCTTGAGCCCATTTCTTAGTGGTTATCTCAAGTCCTGCCGCGAAATTGTTTCATGCGCGCGTACGATTGCCAACACCATTACAAATAACATCCCTGAACTATATGTGCTTGGCTCCCCGCCCGCTTCTGTCGTCGCATTCGGGTCCAAGTCTCCTGAGGTGAACGTTCACGAGGTCGGGGATGCGATGTCGAAGAAAGGCTGGCATCTCAATGCGCTGACCGGACCAGATGCGGTACACATCGCATGCACAGTAGGTTTTCCTGCTTTTTTCTCCGCACCCATGGAGACTGAATCATGTGCTTATCTGAAAGCGCCTTACGCTCCCGCTCGTTGATACCTTCATCGCAGATCTCAAGGACTCTGTGCAGCAAGCCAAGTTGGCACCGTCTGGGAAGGGGACAATGGTTACGCTCTACGGTACGTCTCAAAGATTGATTAATTTTCTTTGTGGTCGAGTTTTGTGCCTTGATAACCATCTCCACAACTCGCGTCTGCTTTTTTGTCCTATAATTTTCCCCCTTTCCGCCGTCATCAATGGTCACGATCATGTTGAATATATAATTTGACCCTGCTACTCTTTTCAGGACTTGGACAATCCAGCCCCGTCGGTCCAGATATGGTCAGCGAGGTCGCTACGATGTTCTTGGATACATTGTACAAGGCTTGAGACAGTGCTCTGATTTTGCTGTGGAGACATGGAGCAGTCTTGTACATGTGGTTTGCATTTTTAGTATCTTGGAATGTTGTATTGTAATTGATTGTAGGCACCCTAGAACAATTTATCTAACGGCGGGTCATGCATAATGCGATGGCACCGCTATTTCGTATAGAAATATTCGTGTGCGTTAGGCGTTGGCCCACCGACAGAAAATCTTATATGTCCCTCGTTGGTTTCCAATTGGGCACATTGCAATCATGATCTATTGTAGGCAAAGCGGGAGTCTCGCTAAAGGAAGTATAGGGCAGTGTTGAATTGTATCTGATGTATTTTTCCTTCCCACCACTGCTGTACAGGCGCACCAAACCTCAAAATGTTCCAGACGCCTCATTTTCGGTGTCAAGATCACTAAAAGGGAAGATCGGCATGTCCAGTATCAGTGGTCGAGGCCTCGCTAGGCCCTGTCGTTTTTTAACTCAAAATTATACGTGCCGCTAATATATAACTAGTCTCCGACATCAGCATGTGAGCCATCTCGTTCTGAATCTATATCTACGAGTGACCTCTAAGTAACCTTCTTCAGCTTCCATTCTCAAGGGACTATCGTTCCCTTCTGGTTTGTACCTATTTTATTGGTCATTTGTCGTACCCTGATATTGGAACCCAATTGTTGTCTGAACTCTCACAATGGTGATTGAGTGGCAATCCTTCTCCACCCGACACGGAGTCCACAGCCCCTCTGGTCTCCTTGATTCCTTCTTTACGCACCAGAGTCTTGATTTCGGCGTTTCCCCATTTATCCGGCGGAAAGCACTGAAAGTAATTACTGGGATATTTGATCGAGGGCCGAGACTCAGGCCTTCTCGACCTGCGTAGCAAGCACGTATTCGTTCTTATCGCCATTTCGACACCTCAACTTCGATCTGGCTGGTTTCCAACTCGAGTACTTTTGACGTGTTCCATTTTGGCTTATAACTCTAGATAAGCTACTTCAGCTTCCGTTCCGGAGGAACCGTCATTCCCTTCTGGTCTGTTATGTTCATTCCCCGTTTGTCGTACGCTGATAACACCACATAGCATTGGAAGAGGCCGTAAACGAAATTCAGGTATGGCTTCTCCATGGCAAGGCCTTTCAGGCAGTAGCGCTTGTCAGTGTACAGTACTGTGTAGAACATGTTTGTGCATCTACAACGCCATACTTATTCTTTCGTATGCTTACAGACGAAACTCGCAGTGCCTCGAGCGTCAGCATTTGCAAATGGGGATTATACATCAAATTTTTGGCATGCGAATCGTACCATGATGTTTAATCGAGCAGGATCCATAACGGGGTTCCAGGCGCAGTACGAAGTACCATCGTCTGTCTCTCTTTTAGTTCAATCAGTTCAAATGTCAGGCCTCTGGAGTGCATCAGGTATCATGTTTTTGGTTGTCACAAGTTCATGCTTTGTCCACCTTAATTATAAGCCCCGAGCTCGGAGGACTGATTCTAGGACATTAACCTTGCGCGCTTTTGCCCGCCGATGTCACAACCGTATCAAATTGCTCGCGTTGCCATCGGGAATATGATACATGAACGGGTTTCATACATAGTCATATGTCGATAGTCAAGACACGAACTCTCAAGATGGTGAACTCAAGCCCGGGATAGAGATTTGAAAGTATATGGTCTAGGTCGGAACTATTCTTAGATTTGCTCAACACCCTGATTTGGTACAGCCTATCATAAATATTTCAAGGAGCAGAGAGGGAATAGCCGTTTCATACACAAAGAACCGTACAGCACATGCTACAAAGCTTGTTGTATGTCGTATGTATGTATGTAATTTGAAGGAGGCGCAACATTATAATGAACACCAGAAAGAAAAACAAATAGAACGAAAAAAGAAAGACAGAAGGATAAAACAAAAATCGTACGGAAACTTGAAAGAACGACGTACGACGACAACAACAAAGAAACTTGGACATGAAAAAGAATATCATGAATATGTAATGTGTGCACCCGATATGTAGAACCAATGTACCGCCAAATACATGTGCGTACAAGAAATGAGACGATAAATGATGTATTTGGATGCTTACTAGCTTGTTCAAGACGCCGTTGGTAGCAAGGCTGGCGGTCTTGGAGGCTTCACGCGGAACTCGCTAATGATGCATATGTGACTATCAAAGCATGTCAGGAAACAAGTCTATATCCAAAAAGACAGAGAGGAGACTTACTCTGATGGGAAATGAGCGTTCGGGAACCCTACCACTTTTTCCAAGTACCCTCTATCCACTTCTCCCAGTACCGCATTCACAGCTAGATTTGCAGTCGAATACCATATATAGTCGATCTCGCCTTGGTAGCTTGGCGTATAATTCGTTAACGGGAGTTCACCCGCTGCCGCATTCGCACTTCTGAGCCCCAAACGATGCCGCAGCCCATCCGTGGTGTACCGCCCATACAGGTGACTCATAAAGTCTGGGTGGTCGGGTGGCAAGCTCCCGTTCGTAAGGAACTCATATACACCCGAAGACGGAACGCTGTTGAAGTCTCCGCAAATGATCAGCGGGATCTTGCTTCCATCGCTGTAGACGGGCGCGCGGGGTGTATCCGGCCTCGGGGGCATCCGTGCAAAGTTCGCAGCGATCTTCTCGATCTCATCGACGAGAAGCGCGACTTGGACGAGCTTGACGTCGCGATAGGCGGGATCCCAGTGGATATGAGCATTGGCAAGAATGATGCGAGTGCCCGTTTCCTTCACCTCAAAGAGGCAGATAACGGCAATATGGTCTTTGCCTAGTACACGGTTGAACATGTCATCTGTTTTCTTGAAGTCGGGACGCTGCATTGCGACGGTGCTGAACTCGATGAGGTGACGTTCGATGAGGCAGTACCTGATAGAATGGATAAATAATGTCAACTTCAGGTCAACACAAAGAGGGCACTCACTTGTCTGCCTTGTAGAACGTTGCACACCCATCAACCTGCCGACGATCTGCATCACTCATCGTCTTATACCTGCTCTTTGGCCAGTAAATTCCCTCATACCCTTGCCCCTGCAAATGCTTCACAAAGTAGTCCTCGTACTGTGCGATATCCACTTCCTGCAGGCACAAAAAGTCGGTATCGTAATTCATTATTTCCGTCAATATCAATTCCTTCCTATAATCCCAGCTGAGTGCCCATGAAGGTGTGTATCCGTACAACCGCTCCGTCGCGTACTTCTCACACAGAATGTTGTAGCAGAGAGCACTGAGCGTCTCTGTGGCAGGATCTGCGGCAAGGGCCTCCCGCTCTTGAGACGAAATGAGGGACTTCCAAAGACGCTCTGGTGGAGGAGATGGGACAGGGCAACTGTCGCGCAGGTAAGAAATGAGGGCGGGTGTACCGTCTTTCTGCACAATGGCCTTCAGAGACGTGTCTATGGGATTCCCCTCGACACCGATTGTCTGTAGCTGATGCAGACTGCCTAGTTCAGCTGGCAGGGTCACAAGATGGTTGTCAAACAAGTATAACTCCTTCAGCTGGGTAAGCATGCCGAGCTCAGCAGGAACTGTTGAGAGGTTATTTCCACTGAGATCGAGGAGTTCAAGGTGACGGAGCTTCGCAATTCCGGCGGGTATAGAGGTGAGGGCATTGTGGTTGAGATAAAGGTTGATGAGGAAAGTGAACTTGAAGAGGCCAGAAGACGGTGGGATGTTTTTAATATTGATGCCACCCATGTCAAGGGAGTTCCAGGTGTTCTGTGGGGGTTTGGCAGTAGGCCGCGGGGCCTCGGCAATAGGAGCAACAGTGGATGATGGGTGATTGACTACAGAATTTGCGACGCCTGGTGAGCTCTCGGCGGCACTCAAGGCAGGGGTGGATGATAGAGCTGGTGTTCCGGGTGGGTCTTTCGAGGAGGATTCTGTGATGTCAACATTTGTGCTCGTACTGGGCTTGACAAGGTTGGGATTTGTGATAGGGATAGCGGATTTAATGACCGTGCGTGATGCCATTGCGCTAGCACGGGCACGGTGATGTGAAGACCGAGAGGACCTGATCATCTTTGTATGACGTATTATAAGATTAAATTAAATGGAGTGCTGTTCAACATACCTCACACTTCAGAAGTTGCTGCTGCCAATGGGGTGTTATGATCTGGCTGCCAACGCTTCCTGGTGAACCCTGGCCCATATGCTGCGGGTGGATGTGACCATTGGGTGGAGAAGGGTAATGAGACAAAGAATTCTGGTGCTGGTGGGGAGGGAGCGGGGGGTGTGAAAGGGGATGATGCGGGTGATGTTGAATAGGATTCACAGCACCATTTGTATAGAGCGGGTAACCTGGGGATGGTGGAGGTGGACCTATGCTCTGCTGTGGGTGATGCGTATGTGTGTGATTGACATTTCGAGACCAAGGGGACTGGTCTTGAACATTAACATGGTGTGGGTGGGCGAGCTTGTGTGAGATTGCGGGCGACTGCGAAGGGTAGAACATCGCATCTGGGCCAACACAATATCACACGCAGGAAATATGCACTGTAATGAGACCTCTACACGTCGGACGTCAGAATTACACGATAGTATAAGCAAAATAAGAGAGACAGTTTAAGTGCCTTTGACAAGTATCTTGCTCGCTGCTGTCGTCGTCGTGCTCGTCGTCGTCGTCAGTGAAGTCGGTGGAATGGACGAAACAATAATTCAAGTCAAAAGCTCGACCAGGGGACACTGCCACTGTTACGCCGGCGACGGACGGCGTGACCGGGGTCACTCATGTCTTTGCAGTGTACACAGCCACCGTTAATCGCTAAAGTAATATGCTCGATCGCGAATAAGGATTATGGATGCTCGTACGATGTGCTTTTATTGAAACTTATAAGACACCATTCTATTGCAACAACTTTTCTTCCCATTCCACCATGTCCATCTACCAAGCAACAACATCTGCACCAGTTAACATCGCCTGCATAAAGTGATCACTAATACTACTTATGTGCTCAGACAAGATCTAATCTATTATATGATTGTAGATACTGGGGAAAGCGCAATGAGTCGCTCATCCTGCCCACCAACTCCTCTCTCTCCGTTACTCTGAGCCAGGATAACCTCAGGAGCACAACCACTGCACGCGCTGATCCTTCCTTTACTGCTGATTGCCTTTGGCTCAATGGCAAGGTGGATCCAATCAAACCTGGCGGTCGTCTCCACACGTGCATCTCCGAAATGAAGCGTCTGCGTGCAGCCTTTGAGGCAGCAAATCCAGATCAACCAAAGGTGCGGCTTCTCCACAGACCCTCACACTACATCACTAACACATACCTAGATCGCCTCCTTCAACGTGCACATTTGTTCATTTAACAATTTCCCCACCGCAGCGGGTCTTGCTTCATCCGCTTCAGGCTTTGCAGCCCTCGTATATGCACTTGCCAAACTCTACGCCCTCCCCCAAACCCCTGAAGAACTCAGCCTTATCGCCCGTCGAGGATCCGGTAGCGCATGTCGCTCCCTCTTCGGTGGCTTCGTCGCCTGGGATATGGGCAGCGACGACGTAACCGGGCTAGACAGCAAAGCCCGTCAAGTTGCCCCAGAATCCCACTGGCCCGAGATGGAAGCCCTCATCTGCGTCGTCAACGATGCCAAGAAAGGCACCAGTAGCACCAGTGGCATGCAACGCACCGTCGTTACTTCCGCACTTCTCCAGCACCGCATCGGATACGTCGTTCCCTCCCGCATGGCAGACATCGAGAGTGCCATCGCAGACAAGCGTTTCGGTGACTTTGCGGAGATCACCATGAGGGACTCGAACCAGTTCCACGCTGTCGCTCTTGACACTTACCCTCCCATTTTCTATATGAACGATGTCAGTCGTGCCATTATCGCCATCATCACCGAGTACAACCGGCTCTCAGATCAGCCCAAGGCTGCTTACACATATGATGCAGGCCCAAACGCCGTTATCTATGCGCTCACACCCAATGTCCGTGAGATAGCACAGCTTATTCTGTACTACTTCCCCCAAGCAGAGAAGATCGTCATTGGAGGACAGGAAGTAGAGGCTGCGTTACCGGAGGGATTCAATGAGGCTGTTGCTAAGCGATGGGAGGTGGGCTCTGTTAAAGGGCTTATTCACACCCGCGTAGGTGACGGCCCCCGGGTTTTGAGCGACAGTGAGGCACTGCTAAACGCACAGGGCATCCCTAAAGTGCTTGCTTGAATAAAATAGACACAAATTATCTTTTGTATCTTGGTGGAAGAGTGTTGCAACAATAGATGTACCGCAAAAACAAATCAACTCGTTACCCGCGCATCGCCCTAAATCTCGGATGAAGTTGTCTACCTGCGCGTCAAAATCGCACTCTGCTAAGCCGAGTTAACGTATATATATAGCAGCCGACGACCTTGAAGCTTCATGAAGTCTGAGAAAGATCATGTATTCACAGCTGCAATATCTAATCGATGACGTCACCTTTCATCCAAGAGACGAGTTACTATCCTGCAACAATATGTTTTGTTTGAATCTGCATGGGGGACATGCAATCCAAAAAAATGCTGAATATTATGCAAGGGAGGATAGTTCATTAACCAGAGCATAGATGCTTGGTCGGTCTGACCGCTCAGGGTGCTTGCCTCAATCGTACGTACGGAGTGTCGAATTCGTCCAGAACCCTCAGATCTCGACGTTCAGAACGTTCAACTTTCAAATAATCTTGACAACATGCCAAACGTATGTGGCCTCTAAATCAACCCTATCAGAAACAACCTACAAATCCACAACTTCAAAACACGAAAACAGAACAAAAAGGTGTCAATCACACACCACCAACCTCATATCCCATCCTCTGCATCAACCATATCTAAAAGCGAACCCATGGGCTGTTTCCCATCTTCTCCCACAAACTGCAATAAACTCTCAAACACCTCTGTACGCTGCCTGAACCGCTCAGGTGACAGCGGCTTTGTCGAAGCGTCCCGCAACGCAGTCTCCACGGGATCTTCTTCCATCAAAAGCACTGCGTGCCGCCGCTTCTGTCCACTAGAGGTCACAGCGGTTGACGTGCTCGCATCAAGCATCTCGTCCTCATCTTCATCATCCAGTCGACTCGTCCAGGCTTCGTCGGGCGTGTTCGGACGTGAACGTTTTTTCGGTGGCTCTTCGAGAAGACTTGTAGTAGTTTCTTTAGGTGTGCTTGTAGACTCTACGGAGCTATCATCAGTGGTAATTGGAGTCGAGAAGAGATGCCCCAGGAGTGCCCTGAACACACTCGTCTCCTCTGGGTTTGTGTGGTCCACCACCGCAGACACTTGCGTTTGCAGAAAGCGTAGCGCTTTAACTGCGGGTTGTTCTTCACACATTTCTCGGAACCTATACACATTCACCATAAGCATATCCCTTTGAAGAGGCTCATAACCTACTGTTGTTGTCGGATCTGGTATTTTGCTCGCCTAATAATTTCCTCGGGTGCGGCTCTGAAGAGTAAGCGCACAGGTCATCAATACCATAGAGCAACTACAGCAATGCTTCTCACCTCAATAGCTTCATAGTCCAAAAATCATCCAGCCTCATCTCCTTCGATATCCTGCTCGGACGATCGTCATCACCTCTCCTCGGACGCTCGTCATCCCCACTTCCCTCTACCTCCGTCTCCACATCCTCCACCGGCTCATTCACCTCCCCTGCATTTCCGCCATGCATAAATACGCGTTTCATCCCCTCGTCGTACACTACTTGATGTGCATACCGTGGAAGAGGAACTTCGGCAGGCTCTCCGCCCTCCTGCATCACTTCGGGCAATATTTTTGTCCATTTTCCGGGTTTGGAAGGGTGCACGTACTGATACACCCAATTTGGCGTGTCGGCACGTAAGCTAGTAAGCGCACAGGTGGGCTGCACGCGAGTCAGCCCACAGAATCTAGATGAAGTGCTTGGTTTAGAGCAGCTAGGTAGAAATGGGATCGATTGCATACACATAAATCTCTTTCAACCGTCCGTCGATAATCGCCCGCTGAGTGAAACATGCGTCGGGACCCCCACTTGTGCTGAAATTGCTGAACAATTCCGTCACCGTGTTGCTTGCGATGTCGTAGGCGTACATGTCGGACAGATACTTGTCATCACGCTGCCCCGCGAAAATAAAAAGAGTGTGCGACATTGGGTCGAGAACCATTGAATGACCTATCCTTCTTCAGTATGCTGGGCATTATGAACATGAGACGAGACAGACTTACCGAAGCGGGGCGAGATGGGCGGCTGTACAGACGATGCCATTGACAATGCAGGTTGGGGTCTGCAGACGCAATGAGAATGACAAAAAGGGCCAATAATGACAATACTCGCTGTAGGATTTTCCATTTGCTTGTGCGGACGTTATAACTATACATGCCAGAGTACTTCGGCGAATCCCAATCGCCATCGACAACCCGCCCCCCGGAAACGTACAATATTTGCGCCTCACAATCCATCACCATTTGGTGGTCGAAGATGAGTGGTGGGCCACCGGAGGACTAGCATCATCGGTTTTAAAAACATGCAAAGTCAGCTCTACCACTCACCGCCGTATCAAATGACAACAAATCCCATTTCCCAACATCCAATCCTCGTGTATGATACCGGTAAAACTCCGAACAGTATGGAGTAGACCTAGACCCGTCCGGTATCTCACCCGCTCTTCTTAATAGTTCTTGATGATCCTCCGGCTTCAAGATATCTCCATCGCCAAGTCGACCCAGGAGATAGATGCACCCCGATTTCGTATCATAAACCATCTTGTGACAAGACCTAGCGATAGGTCCGTTCTTCTCGATAGATGTACTATGACTTATTACGCGCCATCGCTCAGCACTCACGTCGTACACCCAGAAATCGTCCAGGCTTTTCTTCCCGTCCCAGCCTCCAAGGAGGTAGATGAGGCCATTTTCAGGGTCGAGTGCCATTGCATGGCCACCGCGTTTGCTCGGTGCGTCACCGTCTGCGTCCACACCGTGAAGACGTTTCCACTGCGAGTGTGGTTGACAAAATTGGATATAAGCATCCAGAAGGCCAGCTGAAGATGCTTCGGACAGAAGTGCTTCGGAATCAGTCCAAGCCCCTTGAAGAACGAGGCTCAAGTACAAGGCTGTCACGACAGGGTGCTCCACCTGAATGTTCGAGCGCGCCAGGATATTTTGATATGGTGTTAGCAACCTCCGCTGCCTCAAGTGCTTCAGCACGTGGCGAAGCACTATGGTTTCTCGGTACTAAAATTGTTTATTTAGCGAACATACGTGTGATAAAAGTGGGGTATCAAACCTCCTCGTATCGCGAGCGGATATTGTCGACGTATAGAGGATCGGCTATGCCTGAAACAGAGACATACCAGATTGAAATATGGAAGCTCATCCCATGCGCTCTAACCGATGTACAGATTTAGCGCAAACAAACCAATTCAACATGTCCGCTTACGAAACTGGTACGATCTTGATGTACCGTGTCGGAAAAAAAATGCCCTCGCTATTCACATGTTTCAAAGGAAATGTTTCGGATACCGTATCGTCCTTGAGCTGAGTGTGCAGCGCCTGCACCATATGGTGTGGATTCAGGCCTACATAAACCCTGAACTCCCTCATGTTGCAAGGATGTTCTGTTGAATTTGTTCAGAGCCTGGATGTCGAAGGAGTGAGCTCACATACTCCTGTGAAACTTCATCCACCAGACTTAGTTTTCGCATAGATGACAAGGTTGGTCGGCGTCACCTTTCCAAATGTTATACTCTCTTCATTTCATCAAGCGCGGAGTACGTCAGCGCGTGCGAGATCATGAAACGCAGCAGTTACTCAACTGACAACACTGAGTGCTTCTAACTTCAGCAGGATCCATTGCTTCGCTGTAGGTAATTGTTGTGCGCCGCTCCATCTACTTGTTGGGTCCTGTGGAGTGTCCACCAATATGTTTTCTGGGACGTAGTTCCCGCTGTGCTCCGAGCATCCGGAAATGGTGTAAGTCATGGCCTGTGCGGGGGGCATAGTTGGTTGGCTTGAGGTCGCCCAAGTGGCAGCCATTAACGGTTTGATCTTTGGTGAGAGTGACTAGCTGAGGATAAGATGACAAGTTACCACTGACTAAAAGGAACGTCACGGCTCCACACGTGACCGTTTCAGAGCACACAGGAGAAAGGAGCGCCGCTAGCGCGGGATCACCGTACTTACCCTCTCAAGATCTCATCACTCTAGAACGTCATCTACTTATTAATTGTGGCAAAACGGTTTGACCACTGTTGCTATGTTCATATATGAGAAACGAAAAACTTCATCATATCAATTATCTACGAATAAAGCACCTAAGAGTCAATCCACAAGGCGTTAGTACGTACAAGGTACTGCATGTACTTATAAGCTCAAGATATACGATATTGTGGCCAGTAAGATGAAGCAGGGTAACATAATCTACCTTCCATGCTAAATTGCTCTATGCACAACTTAGGACGTCTGTTCGTCAACAGTCTGCATAATCCAAGCCTCGGAGGCGACAAACTGCTGGGTAGGGACACCTAACTCGAGGAGCTTGGAGTAAGCGGCAGAGAAACTAAGACTGTGTTAATATATGAATGCACCAATTATCAAGTGACCCACTCCTTGAAGAACAGGTCAACGTCGTCAGCGTAGGCCTTTGCATACTTCTTGAAACTCTTGTCCTGTGTAAGAACGTAGTCCGTTCTGAAAACTTTCAGCCAATGTTGACGATGCATACTTAAGGCAACATACGGGAGCATCATAAGCGATTTGGTCTTCTTGTCCTCAAGCTGCTTAGGTCCGTTCCACTTCTTCCACACCCACCTGTCCCAACAATGTATCAGCACTTCTTCCTTTAATAGGGAACCATATGCTCACTTCTCATCGAACAAGAGTTTGTAGAAGTCATTGGTGAACGTGGTGGGAGAGAAGGTCCAAGGTCCATCATAACCAGAGCTGGATAGAATTGAATCAGTAACAGAAGGGAAAATACAGCGAAGGCTATACCGGTCGGTGTGGCAACGGCCGAGAGCATGGGCACCGCAGAGAGCGACAATTTCTTGGTCGTCGAAACTGCAGGTATGGTGTCAGTCTCCCGAGAATTTTGCCACATAAATGGGCTCACCCCATACGGTAGAAAATCTGGCCTGAATGTCAGCTTGCATTTGATTGTAAATAAAATCACATACATCCCGGATATGCGGCGCCCCTTGGGAGGCGTCAGGGAGACGGCCATCAGGGGGTACGTGGGATTCAAAGCCATCAATGCGACCAGGCCTCCAAGGAACCTTTGGGCCAGCCATCTCCTGCACAGCAGCGACACCAGCAAGCGTCCACAAGTCACCGTAGCTGATCCAGCTAAACTCTTGCTTAATCTTCTCTAGCACTTCACGGGCGACGTGAAGACCCGCATTAGCTCCATGAAGTGACTCGGGCTGGAAACGCATGGTCGCATAATTGCTGCGTTTTATTACGTCAATGATAAGGCGGCTTCTAATCGGCCTACAGGAAGAACTGACCTTCCGCCAGTGCCAGTAGTCTTGTCGTATGTGCCAGAGGCGTGCCATGCCAGACGGACAACCACAGGGCCGAAAGAGCCATCTACGAAAACAATATGAGAGCAAGAACCAAACCAGGCGCTTAAATACTGTACTATCGTAGTCATCAGCATCATCAATCACCTCGGCGATACGGTTGTACACCTGAAACACAAAAGATAAGCTCCAGCTAGCATCCACAGAAAAGTTAGAACAAACTTTCTGGTAGTCTTCCTTAGTCGGGACAAAGTTTGTGGCAACCTTTGCTGTCTGAGCTGCAGACTTCAGCGCACTGGAAGTTACTTTCGCCGTCTCCGAAGATGAGTCATACAAGTAGTATGCAACACCACCACCAAGAACGACGGCACCAAGGACGACGTAGAGACCAGTGTTGGACTTGGCTGCTGGAGGAGCTTCCGTTGAATACTTGCGGAAGGAAGACGTGCGCAGCTGAGGCCTTTTGAAGGATGCAGACAAAGCCTGCCTGCGAAGTGGTGCACGAATCGCGGCGAAAGACATGGTGGGGGGATAAAGCAAAAATTTAAAAAGTAGATAGAGATGGGAAGACGCACTGAATATTAATGGTTGAATCACGCGCTGACCGCCTGCCTGCAGAAATATAATATCTGGGTTTACATAATCCTTTATCGGTTCTCTGCTAGCCAATTGTGCTCTGCCATTTAGACAACGCGACGAGCCCCATTAGGCCCTATTAGGGTATCAAGTATTTGTGGTGAGGGGACTCATCAACGAGGGCTTCTAGCTAATGAAAGCTTAGCCGACATTGGGCCCCTTTGACGTTTGCGACGGACGAGCGCTATATTAATGATCTTCTTCAACTCCTTCACACGCCTCGGATACATCTCACACCACGCGTATACCTGGCAAGCCTTAAAGTCATCTATAAGTAGCTGATCTTCACAAGCCTTCCTTCTCATCGAGTCGTCAGTTCACCCGGCTCCGCGCAGTGCGCGAAAACATTTGTCATTGGTTAGCAGTCTTACACAAACATGAACTTTGCTTTGTCAACCTTAGAGAGGGTGCCCAGCCACTGGCATGTCAACGGGGATCTTTATTTGTTATACGAGCACGTATCATAGACTGTGCACAGCTGCTGCGGAATTCTTGGGAGATCCGAAGTTGACGAAGTCGAACGGCCGGGTTCCACCTCAATCCAGCTTCAGCGCTCAGCGGTGGTACTCGACTGAGTCCCGAGCATCCGTCGACAACGCGCCTAAATCGGCTTCTCTTGAGTTTCATCGCCTCCAGGTTCTGAGCGCCTTCGCTCTCAATTCCAAATGGGACCGCTATGGGCGGTGTGCACTGTCACTCGAAACCCGAAGCTAAGCGCTTTACCCCTTGCAGGTTGCAGTGCTTTAAATTTGCTTTACATCACATGATTCAGAAGAATACAGGCACCGCCTTCGCTAACTTACTTGGCGATATTGCTCAGCCTGGCTTAGCCTCTCTGATTTGCGTCTCCTGATTTGAGCGATTGCGGCGCACAAAGTCATCTCCGGACAATGCGACTCTCTACCGAGGTGTTGTAGAAGACTTACGGAAACCTACACTTTCGGGAGTTGTCGGCTATAGTTCTGTCAACTCAGATTGACGCCCCTACGGACCTATAAAGGTCGCAATATATCCCATATGTTCTGATTATATACCACACGCTTCATTATGAATCCCTATCCAAATGGTTGGCCTACCAACTGGTACCAAGGACAATACAACCCTCATGTATATGTCCCCCCCTCTTACCGCAACCAGCCGCCGTATCAAGCAGCAGGATGGCAAGGATTCAACTGTATGTGCCGTCTAATCTCCATTGCTCACCTATAATCTGACCATGTTCTCTGCACACCTATAGACGAACACTCACAACCAAAATCCAAATGGCCCAGCCTCAACCCCACCCTTGCATCAGACATGACCTACGTGCGCTACGATATCCGCAAGCCCGCTCGGGAAGGGGTTATGTTATCTACATGGCAACAAATTTATCATATTCCAGCATTCGTGGCGCCTACGTACGAGATCCTCATCATCTCGAAGGCATTCCCTTGGTCAATGGTCATCCGTGCGCCTGCCGGCTCTGTAGTCACATGCGGCGCGATCTTTGAGGGATTGCATGAAATGCTACAAAAGCACATCGAAGACTCAGAGTGGGCAATCGTGGCTCTTGATAAGACACGGAGAGAAGCGATCGAGAAGGCTGCGAAGGCGAGGCAAGAGAAGGACAAGGATAAACGACTGAAGAGAATTGATTGGCTGGGAGACACGCCAATGTTTAAGGGGCTGGAGAAGGACGAAGAATTTCAGAAAAAGAGACATCTACCTGGAAGTGATACTATTGCGGAGACATGGGTGGTGAGATTTGGAAAACCGTGATTGTGATGCTATCCGAATCATCATGGGAGTTTCATGATACCTTTCCTTGTTTTCTCTTGGACCCCGTGTAACGATGCCTATGCTTCTACATGCATTATGCCTTACGGCTTCCGTCGCCTATTATTAGTCTCATCTGCTGTGTATCTCTTGGGAATCATTCATGACACCGCTGATTATATCGAGAGTGCAATGTGCATCCATACATGATGCTCCACTAATGATGCAACGCTATACCATAACGCATGGCCAGACCCTTGATTATGTTACATCTATCATACTTACATTCTATACCCGTTCCGTTTCATTGTACGCACATGTGGAAACGTTGAATGTTGATCATGATTATCATTTGAATTCTTGATCGTCTACATCGGTCGCGATTCAGTGCTAGGGTTAGGGTTACATGACACTCAACATCTTTTTCTGTTTCTTCAATCTCGAGTTCAGACGCCTGGCATAAGATTGCCTAGGTCTACGCGAGCACGAAAAAAGTCAGTAGCTCTAACACAATAAGAGACCTCTATCTCAATGGTATCATTCCAGTACGCTATCCATTCTTTTTTTCGCAATCCATATGTATGATCTAAACGCATGGTCCACAGATGTCACAGTTCGTATCTGCTCTCATTCATTTCTCGAGTTACACTAACTCTAATGTCTGCACCCATAACTACCCAGGCTGCAGTGACGTCGTAAAAAAACCAAAACTCAACCAACACCACGGTTTCTGCCATGCAGCCTTCGACTGTATCGACTGCTCGACCACATTCCACACTCCTGCTGAGTACCAGGGACACACTTCGTGCGTAACAGAAGCAGAGAAGTATCAGAAAACTTTGTACAAGGGTCCTAGATCTGTGAGTTCTCTATCCCTGCGTGTTTGATAGTTTTTTCATGTGAGCAGGCCGGGAGCTGGGGGGCGGCACCTCGAGAGAATGGATACGGTAGATTCCAAGGCAATGGGGGATACCAGCCGCGACCACCAACGCGTTACCAGGCCACTGGTGCCAACGGAACTCCATTGGGCACACCTCAGCGCATGTCGCCTGTAACTGTAACACCACCAGAGCCGTCAGTAATACCACCTAAACCAATAGAGGCTCAGCCCCCAAAAGAATCAGACCCAGCACCGAAAACAACTGAGATCAAATCCCAGAAAAAGTCAAAGTCTGATTCAAAAGCCAAGGACACAAAGGTGAGTACGTGTAATTCGTTATTATAGTACGGTATTTGACTCGTACAAGGCATCAGAAAATGTCATTATTGTCGAGCCATTATCTGCGCCTTCATCTCCATCACCTCAAAAAACGGACAAGAAGAAAAAGGACAAGAAACATAAAAAGTCCTCTGAGGACGCTGTAGAGTCTACTGTCGACGATACCCCAGCACTGACCGAGACTCCAGGAGACAAGGAAAAGAAGTCCAAGAAGAAGGACAAGGAAAAGCGGAAAGCTGCTGTCGAGGGCGAGAATTTAGAGAGTCAGGAGACCAAGGACAAGGAAAGCGACGAGAGCCAGTCGAAATCACAGAAGCGGAAGAGGGACGATGAGCCCGTAGATTCAGGCACAGGTAAGAAAGATAAGAAGGAGAAAAAGAAGAGCAAGAAGGACAAAGTCGAAGAAAAACCAACGAATGACGCCTCGGATCCATCTTCTACGCCAGTCGAGACCGAGGGAGAGACAAAAACCAAGAAGCGGAAAAGAGACAAGTCAGAAAAGGTCCCGGAGGACGACATGGACGTTGACGTAACACCTACAGACGTTCCGTCTGTTGCGCCCGTGGAAAAGAAGAAGAAGAAAAAGAAGCACGACACGGAACCAGTTGCTGATATTAAGGCGTCGACGATGGATGTCGATCCTCCACCGACTCACGATGAGATAAAAGAGAAGAAGAGGGATAAGAAGGAGAAGAGGGAGAAGGAGAAGGAGAGGAGCTCCAAAAAATCCGACAAGGCTTCGGCATAATTGGCTGCTTCGTTGAGTATCTACGAGATTTGTTTTTGTTTTTGGTGATGAGCTGCTTTTATGCGGGGTCGATGCTAGCCATTAGAAGGATGTTGACAATATACCTGGCTCACGGCCCTGGCACAACTGAGGTGCGGTTACAGTAAGGTGTCAGGAGTCAGTACCCCAGTCGCGTGCCTCGTGATCATTGGTTTCCGGATTAGGTACGGTCGATGTAGTACTGATTGCGGCAAGGGTTCGTCGTTTGCTCTCCCTCTCATCTCCCAGTATTCTCCAGACGAAGCATACCACAAATTACTATGCATGCTATTCAGGTTCGTACTGAAGCAACATGGTGCTTGGAGATGGCTCAAGATCCTTTCTAGCAACAATATTGGGCCGTTCGCGACTATCTCAGCCCAGTGCGTGCCATCGCAATTGACCATCGCTAAGTCTAAGTAATGCCCAGGTCCTCAAAGAAAGCAAGTTCAAAGAGCACGGACGTATAACCCCCGGTACGTATTGCATCACCAATCATTAACTACAAGTATCCCAATCTTGCTTTCAGAGGAATTTGTAGCAGCAGGAGACTTTCTATCATACAAGTTCCCAGTATGGACGTGGTACGTGCAACCAGTTCTTCAACCTCAATATAGTCCCTCAAACCACACCCCCATACTTCAGGGAAAAAGGCGACGCGTCCAAAGCCCGCGATTACCTCCCCGCTGAGAAACAATATCTCGTCACTCGTGGCGTCCCCTGCCTTCGACGAGCCACATCACTGGCTTACACAGACGCCGATGAAGACGCCGAGCGACTTCTCTCCTTCGGGGATTCTTCGGGCGCTGCCGATGAGTGGGTAGAAACGCATGCAGGCCGAGGGGCCACAGTGGACTCTGCTGCGAACCTAGGCGAGATCGATGATATCCCAGACTTGGATGGTGATGGACTGGCGAGCGCGATGGCAGATGTGTCGATTGCATCGGAGACGGGCGCTACGGTGGGAGAGACCCCGGATCTAGATGATATCCCTGACATGGAAGAAGAGGGGCTGGAGGACGGCGAAGATGAAGCTACGGCGGCACCGGTTGTGCCCAAGGCGGGTGGCGTCATCGATGCATCGTGAGTGCTCTTCGATTGTTGTTCAAGCCCGATCCTAGACAAGATGCGCAGACAAATTGGGGTCGCAAATGGCAATCTCCTACAAGTACGAACATATGACGTGATGATCACATACGACAAGTATTACCAAACTCCCCGGATCTGGCTGCTCGGCTATGACGAGGTTTGTCTCCATCGCTTCGTAAACGTGTTTTCCCGCTCATGTTTTGTGATTCAGAATCGCACGCCTTTAACACCATCGCAAATCTTCCAAGATATCTCAGCAGACCATGCTCTCAAGACCGTCACCATCGAAGCCTTCCCACACTCCTCAACACTCCAAGCAGCTTCCGTACATCCCTGCAAACATGCAAGTGTGATGAAGAAAGTCATCGAGCGCATGAATGCAGGGTGTGGTAGAAGAGCAGCTAGCTGCACGGAAGAATTCTGGCAAGCACCAAGACAAGGACGGGAAGAAGAAATGGGGTTTCGGGCGCAAGGGCGCAAAGGAGGAGGGCGTCAAGACCCCAGTGGAAGAAGAGGAAGTGGAGGGCATGCGCGTGGACTTCTACCTTGTGGTGTTCTTAAAGTTCATCGCTTCTATCGTGCCTACGATCGAGGTGGACTCGACGACTGCGTTTTGAGGTCGTTTTCATGGAGGATATATCCGCTGGATTTTTTGGTGCGGTTAACAGTAATAGCTGTGCTATGAAGGGATGGTTTGTGTATGTACCATAGAAATTATGTAGAGTTGGATGTACGGTCAAAGATACTTAAGGCACACGATCCACTCAGGTGTGATTCGACCTCTGAATAGTGTGAGAAGGCGGGGTGAAAAGGGTTGTGCCGCGCCTGCCGCGGCCGGCATTGACAAAAACAAATCTTTCTAAATTTATTGCAGCTGGTCGATGAGATATATATATATGGACTCATGCAGCGATGAACCACCTCACAGTACGTTGTAAAATTCTGTGCGGTTTATATTGACTCGAACGGCCGTGGTCCGACACCACTTACTAGGATACTAAGTTTCTGTAGATTCGTGCACCCATTTTTGTTATGGGCTCAACAGACCTGACATGCCGCTGGATGCCGCTGCCATCATGTCAACAGCTTTGGAAGGTATATTATACAGTAAGTGATTCAATGAGTGTACCTGTTTCATGCCCACCAAACTAGCATCTTTCAGGTTTTTCAGTTCTCATGTTTATGGGTAGCATCTGGGCACTCACCTACAAAAAAACACACGAGGGACGTCAATCGGCAGTCGCTGCCGTTGTCATCTTACCGGTTTCACTGAGTAGCACGGTTATATTTTTGCGTCAGAATCAGTCCTTTGGGGTCGTAGACCCTATGTTGGACATGTCTCGTCATATGCTTTTCCCTCGTATGTACGGTTAGGTTTTCGCTGCTCGATTCCGATGCCATCTACTAAAGGCTCCCCAGCACGTAATCAATCATTCGTGTCGAAGATGGGCTGGTGAAGTTTCGTGACACATTTAACAGGCGGCCCAGCGGCATTCTCTGCAGACGTCAAACAAAAAATGTTCATGGCCAGGAATGTGGCGAATATCACGCAAACTATGCTTGCCGACTGGGTAGTGGTGGGATCAATTTCTTTCCCTGCCAGCTTAAAATCCTTGTGGCTTATAGAAGTCCCCTTTCCGATAAAAAGATTCATCGATGTTACCTCGTTTGGCAATCTATCGGGTTTATAATACTACCGTGCACTATGTGGTGTGCAATTGCAGGTTTGGTTGCCATTATACTCAGAAAGTGTGTGCTCTGACGTTCAAGTTGTTTTTGAAGTGCGTGGGACCCATATGGCTTGTGACTGTACAGAAACCTCCCATCGACGCGCTCACACACGACTAGATGCTGTCGAAATGAGCTACAGTGGATTGGCGTTCCAGCGTCGCAAAGACCGTAAAATATGACCATGATATCATCGCAATCCTATCATTCTGAGGCGGCGAGTTCGTAAGTACTGTTCGGTCCCTTTTCTGCCCGATCAAGTCATCGAAGTATTTTAAACCTTCCGGGACTAAGTATAACCGCTGACCAACGCAGGTGGCCAAACACACCTCAACTCAACCCACCTCGGCTTATTCTGCATCTTTCAAGGACTTTCGCTTGCTCGGGTTTGAGCTTATGGGAGATAAGAACGAATCATAGTGACACACTAGTGAGGACTTCTGATTTCCACGACCGGGCGTATCATGCCGTTGTTCACGATCAACATCACTGCGCATCTACTTATGTGGTTCCGAGGAGGCTGATATTAAAGTTATCTATAGCCACTTCGTAGCATTATATAACGTAGGTGCTAGCGATGCTACCCGCACCGTCTTATATACCCAACTTGAAGGTATCATTTTCGCCATGGCTTCAACAGACACTGGCATGCCGCTCGATGCCGCTGCCATCATGTCAACAGTTCTGGAAGGGATCTTATATGGCGAGTGTTGTAATAAGTGTATTCGCTTCATGCCCACCAAACTGACATTTTTCAGGCTTTTCAGTTCTCATGTTTATAGGTACAATCTGGACATTCACCTATAAAAAACGCATGAGGGACGTCAATCGGCCAATCGCTGCGGTTGCTGTCTTTCTGTTTTTACTGAGTACTATGGTTAGGTTTTCGTCACTTGAATCTGACAACATCTACTGAAGACTCCCAAGCACATGGTCATAGACATTATTCGGGTCGAAGATGGACTGGTGAAGTATCGTAATACTTTCCCAGGCGGCCCAGCGGCATTCTTCGCAGACTATACCCAAAAGACGTATGTGGTCAAGACTACGGTGATTCTCATGCAAACTCTGCTTGCCGACGGGGTAGTGGTAGGATCAAAACTTCACCTGCCAACTCGAAACCCTCATAGCTTATAGAAATTCCCTTTCTGACAAAAAGGTCTATCGATGTTACGTCGTTTGGCAATCTGTCCGGGTTGCCATCCTACCATGCATGATGTGGTGTGCAATTGCAGGTTTGGTTGCCATTATACTCTGAAAGTGTGTGCTCTGACGTTCAATCTGTTTCGAAGTGTGTGGGAGTTATATGGTCTACGACCTTTCACTGGCTAGTAATGCCGAAAGTGTCTTCACTAACCAGACTGGACGTTGGGTCGCGGCGTTCATTGTCTTTACCTTTGCAACCAATTTGGTCAGTTCAGGTGAGTACATTTCTGCGTAAGCGCCATATCGAGACACTTGTGAACTCAAATATGTGTAGGATTGCTGGCATACCGCATCTGGACGATCGAACGCAATGTCTCTACAACTCGTACCAGGAGGGGTATAAGGCCTATTGTGCGCGTGCTTGTGGATGCTGCTGCTTTATACTCTGCGACCACCTTCTCTGCGATAATATGTCTTGCCCTTTCGAACAATGGCACGTATGTCATAGGAGATTTGGTAATTCCACTATCAACACTCGATGTACAAATCATTGAGCTTTAGTCAACTAGATTAATCCGATCATCTCGATTGCCTTCTACATGGTGTTTATTCGCATCGCAATCAATAAAGATACTCAAAAATTCCTCTCGGTTGTTCCCGGGACAGTTGAAACGGAAATCCCGGTGCATTATCCTATGCAGACTTTGCAGACTGCATGCAGGGAGAATGATACATCCTCCTGGCTAAAATAGCGATTCATACATTCAGCCTGATATAAATACTTTTCGTACTGTCTTGTTTCGGATGGTGGCTCTGTCACTCGAGCTCTAGGCCTCATGGGGAACGCCAAAATATCTGACTGTACTTTAACTTCTACTTGTATGAATAGGGTTCGAGATAAATTATCTGCAGAAACAGGTGTTATCAACTTGCGGTCTAACTGCTTTTTAGCCAGCCATCGAAGGTCTGATGCCACGGAAATTGGCTCAGAGCTCTCGATCAGCAGTGTGCTGCTTCGGAGCACCGTGTCACGTCCGCCCCATGTCCATGTCGCGTCAAGCCTCCGAGTCAATTATGCCGCATCATGACCGCCGCGTCAATGATTTCAGCATGCTGGTCGTTTGCACGGTCTTGCGCTTCGTTGAATTGTTATTCTGATGCATGTCTTGTATCTGAAATTTATTGCAATGCACTAGTGACTTCTTACCGTGTAATCCGAGTCTGTTCTGGCTAGTGCATTTGTTCGACTTGTTTCGTTGTGCGATGTGGACCATCTAACCTACAAATCCAGGCAATTCTTTTATCACTCTCTGGGGGTGATGAGGTGGAAAGGCAGGATGTCACGATGTGCATATAAAGGTGAGAGGGTCCAGGGAGCAATATACTCAACCTGCTGCGTCATATTTCTGAGTAATTGTACAAGACCGTCGGGACGACAGTAACCTAGTATAGAATGTATCTGGGGTTGAGCTGGGACTGGGTTTATGATGAGATCCGATTTGACGGGGCATCTTTGGGCCCGCCACAATCGCGGCAGACACGGCAGTGTCAAAATAGCTACGCCCAATTCGGTGACGTACCAAGTACTGGTCATGGTTTCAACTCAACTCCAAACGGTAGTCTGACTGTACTGACCTGTCATCGACGAGAAATGGTGACAACATGTCATTTACGAAGACTTGCAGATGTTCCTCCCGAGTTCAGGGCGCTTCTTTAATCTTAGAGGCCCAGAACACCGTGCGCTGGCTGTGCGATAACGGGAATCATTTAAAAGAAGCAACGCCGACAATTCATTTGATTGGGCTATTAATTGTATGCCGGGAGCAGCAATTGGTAGTTCACCCATAGCGCCCACCACATTCACATTCTGACATGTTGCACCCACACGTCAGAGCCACTCGCCAAACAAAATTACCAGGGCTTGGGTATAAATCTGGGTCATCCGCGAACTTAAACCCCACATTCCTCCGTCCTTGCTCAGTCAATCTCGGTGAGCACAATCCAGCGTCGTTCGAACTGCAACTTACCGAATCCCGCAGCCATATTGTAATATGCCTGCCCCAGTCATGTACTTTAACGTCGAAGTCGTCCAATTCTGGCAAGGGCAGAAAGAGCCCCTACAGCCATACCCACTTCACTGGGCGATCTATATCCCAACCGCTCCTGGTATCGGGAACACATACCACATCCTAGGAAACATGGACACTTACACCATAGATTTCAGACGCAACCAACCTTACCCAAACCCAGATGCATGGCGCGGAAGCTTCGCCATTGGAAAAGTAGCTGCGCATCAGCTAACCCTGATGGAGCGACATTTAGCAAGCATTCCTATCGCGCGTCATGACCCCAGATGGAACTGCCAAAGCTGGGTGTGGGAGGGCCTCAGGCATCTTCGACACCAAGGTTTCAATATCAGCTGGGAGGTCAGGCTTTCAGATCTTCAAACGCAGATGTACTGCTTGCTGGAGGATTGGGAATACGGCCGAATTTAAAGAGGGCGGGGAGCTGGGGTGAGAGGGGTTTGTGGGTGGTTGATCAAAATTTTTGATGTTGTTCAGAGTGGGGATGCTCACCATAAAGTTAAGATATCAGCATCTGCATTCTGCGTTTGTATTAATACCGGCATCATAGACATCGCGAGTGACCTTTATTGTCTTGATCAAAAGACTGTATCCCTCACTGATCAAGTTCTGTCACGCTGACAGGCCGAAGCGAGGTCTTGTTTCATCGTTGTCATACCACGAAACGTGCTATAACCATCAATCCCTCGCATTAGGAGAGAGGCGACTTGCATCGTTCATGTGGAACAATATGAAGGAGACGTTGTACAAGTAGTGAGTAGTACTTCAGAACTCCGATGAGTGCGCTTTACCGAAGGGACGACCGTCTGCTTTCTGTAGGTCTGTCTATGGGAGACTAAGTTAAGCCCTGCCAACCAGATGCGACAGTCGATCCAATAAATAACGACCGCACAAGAATGGAACAAGAGGGCGCCTTGGACTTTTGAATCAGAAGCACTGTAATCCAAAAAAATCTCAAACATCCTTGTGTCTCCGGAAACGACTAATTATAAATGACAAGTACACTCACCTCTGAAACTGAACATCCTATGAGCACATAGGCTAAATTCCCACCTCGGCCACTGCTCAGCGCTCAAATGTGTGCGACACTGTACCGATCTCCCACGAGTAAAGCCTCGAGCCAACTGAGCTAAGTCCTTCACGGTGAGCCTGGAGGCAATTAGGTGACGTTACTGTGCACAAAAAGAAGTTGTTCGGCCGAGTGCGTAGGAGAGTGACCCAAATTATGGCAAACAGTCACTGCCGACTCGGATCTGGGTATACAGATCTGGCACTTTCAAAATATGTACGCAAAACAGCAACAAGCCTCGAATAATTCTTCACTCCTCATTGTTGTACCACCTCCCACCATACCACCTTGCCCTCATCCTTGCCTTTCTCACCATCTACCTTTTCCTCAACCCATTCTTTTGCATCTCCCACAGCAATCCGCATGCCCGCCCAGCATGCATCCACAAGCCCTGCACCACCTGCCATACCCATAACAAGACTCGCAGCATAGTAAAAATTCGCGTTCCCACGGCCCTCGCTCACCCAGAGTACATGTTGAAGCGGGAGGAGGAGCGCAGCGTGTAGGTGGAGGAGTGTAGTGATGATGGGATGTCGGAGGTCTGGAAGAATGCGATTAAAGTGAATACGAGAGGGGGCAGGGTTGTAGGAGGGAAGGGGACTTACAGCCATGCACTTCAGGGAAGATCGATATCATGCTTATGAACAAGCCTGGGTCTGCGAGAGTCAAGTACGCTTTGAACGTCCCCAGGACGCCTATAAGGAGGAACGCCGCATAGAGGGGATCGTGTCTACAGACGGGGTGTATCAGAACCCATGAAGACTAGCACGCATATACTATCAATAATGTCTTACTGGAATTTTATGCAGATAGGTAATATGTATATGACAAGGTGGACCTAACTATGCAGTTAGATGGCATGCGTATACGAAGAGATGGGAACGCACAGAAAAGACCATGAGGAAGAATGGTCTAAAATGATCGAACATCTCAGTGAAGAAGTACCACCAAAGACCAGGGTTGGGCGTGAGGTCTGGTAGCGTGAGGCTGGGATGCTGTGTTTATGAACCACCTGTCAGGAATTGGAAGTCGACTTACGTTGCGCCCCACGACGCCCTGACCCAACTCCAGCTTCCTCCCGTAATAATGCATGCCGCGCCTACAAGGACGAGCCAATATAGTGTGAACTCACCAAAGAGGAACGGTATACGCTTGAGGTTGCCATGAAAAGGACGCGGGGAAGCCAGGTGAGACACAGGAGAGGAGACGAGGATCATCAAGATTGGAAGAAGTAGAAGGATAGAGGAGGAAGTAAGGTGAACTGCGAATGCGATAGCGAGGAGTGCAGAAGATACTTTGCCTGGAATTGAGGAATGCGTGTGAGCCAACTTGGACGGACGCGACGCGTTGGGACGTACCTTGCGATGCAAACATGAGAGCAAGGAGGGTAAGGGTATTTTCGAATGTGGATGTGGATAGGGCAAGTGATGGAAGGAGGAGGTAGGGATTCAGCAAGTAGCTGCGCGGTGCGTTAGGTGCGTACTCGAAATATGGTGATCAATCGTACACGCTTGTGATGAGGTTTTCTACATTGGGCCTCGTACCCTTTTGAAACGATAAGCCCTGGCGTGCGTGCCATATGCGGAGGAGCGCCCATGCTCCTACAGCATCAGATATAGCCCATATAATTGGGAGTGGAGGTACTATGGTTGAAAATACGGAGAGTAGGAGAGGAGACTATGGCGCAGATGGTCAGTCCATGATATTTGGTCCACTGAATGTCATACATGGTGAAAAGATCCTCCTGTATATGGATCAATATTGTTATCGAGAAGCCAGAGACCTTCTTTCACTGGCATTGACATGTATTAGCAATAGAATCGGCTGGCAGTGCTTTGGCACATACAACGAAGGTTGGAAGTCAATGGCGAGCTAAGTTGATGGTCATGTTTGAGGAGATTTTGACCTGGAAGAGGTAGAACTGCGAGCAGAAGGCGAAGACATACCAGAAATGAAAACGCTGGTGGTGTGTTCATCGCGTTTTGGTCACTTGCAGAGAGTTTTGTGTACCGCTGAATATATAAGGAAAGTGTCGTTTATCGGGGTGGCAGACTGGCAGTGTGGCAGTGCTCAGCTGGCCAGTAGGACCTACACTCGCTGGGTTATAGAGGCAGGCTTTTTCCATATTTATATTGTTAAAAATGATGGAGGATAACTTCTTTCACAGCACGTCAAGCCAGCCTTGATTTCACATGGTTCGATTGGATGTTGCCTCCAATATCTGCACTCAATTGAAGTAAAGCGGGCAGGGCTTTGCCATACCATTATCTGATGGTATATAATCTCTTCTTCACCACGATGCCTCCTCCTCCAGCTTCCAAAGTTACCGCACACTAACACCACATCCCCCATGTATTTTGCAACTCGTCCTCGATGGGATTTCCCTGATCCCAACACCTTCCCTCCAGCTTTGCACAATGCTCGCTACAAGGGGTGGCCCAACCCTTCAATACAGCTTCCCCATGTCACTGCGCCTTCGTTCAAGAAGCCCGCTGAACGGCACGTCACATTTGACCTCAACACCCCGTCAAACCGTCGTCCCGTTGACGGTAACGCCATTCATACCCGTAAGCAACTATTCATGTTCTACGTGTGGCTATCTGTCTCAACCGTTATCAGAACCTTACTCGGTTCATCTTCAACATGACACTCACCCACGCGCGAATTCTGGGGCGCAAGGTATTTTCCCTCTCCTTCGTTTCACCCTAAACCCATTTTTTCTGTAGGTATCATGTGGCCAGTTGAATACCAACATCACGATGTTTCTAACTCGTGCACGTGGAACGGTAGGCTCCCGTGGTTGATTCCGGTTATCATACAATCTGATTCGATGATAAAGGTGGCGCTCACCAGAATCCATCTCTCCAAAGTGTTTTTGAGATGCGTACTGCAACTCGACACCACAAAGAGAATGCGATTAAACGTAAGCGTCCCCGTTCGTTTAGTTACGACTGCCAAGATGTTGAATTGCGTACTTTCCTAGATGACCCTGCACGACGAACAAAGAATTCAATCTCACTGATCGATAAGGACACACAAGGTGCGGTCCAACCCAGCTTGTAATCATGATTGGATTGATCTTGATGCCTTCCATCAGCCTACCTCCTCGCAGCACCATGCGCGCAACTGGTATATGATCTGCGATACCCACCCGACTCTCTCTATTTTCCATCACCATCTTTATATGCAGGATGGGGATCTGAGCTCCTTCGAGTGCCACTCACGGTAGCACGGCACAACAGAATACGACTAATCAGCCAAGACTTTCCCTGGGCATTCAACATCGGGCCCGAACCCAATGCCGCAGAACAGGGTGTGACATGTCTTGATGTCCTCAATGCGCTGCACGCTGCATTGCAACGTCCACTCTCAGATACAGAGTGGGGAGCCGCTGCGCAGGACAAACAAGCAAGCCTAATCAGAGCGCGCGATCGTCGGCTAAATATGAAACCTGCTTTGTGGCCCCGATCTGGATATGATGCAAATGCACAACCTACACGACGAGAGCCTCTAATACTCCGTGTGGACTGGCTTGGGTCTCGTGTTGCGTTTGGGGGGCTCATCAAGGATGAAGCATTTGCGAGGAGGAGACTCATTCCGGGTGCGGGAGAGCCACCTGAGACGTGGGTTGTGAGGTTTAAGAGACTATCATAATAATCATGCCTGGACGAAATGTACACACCTTTTATGTACCGGTTTTGGAGGTTTCGAGATATGAAATTGATTCTGCGCGTCACAGGGGTTATTGCTCCTCATATGGCAATATTTCCGATATCCGAGGCCAGGACTCGGTTACTTCAGTATCCAATTTTAACTCGTGTTCAACTTTGGCGGTCGCTCATAACTTTGAGCTTCACTGCGCGCACCAGTACTGAAAAAGAGCGTCCCGCGTACATCCACAATGACGATCGTGGGATTACCGCACTGTCACAGGTCCAGGCAACCCTCAAGTGACCTTTTAATTTTTTTAAACCGGAAATCAGATACCAGGCGCTACTTTACCCACTTCCGAACGCCACAACTACGTCTTGAATCTATACCTCCTCCTTCAATCACTCTACCTTGTTTATTTCCTCGTACTGAAGCAGGAACAGCCCATGGGAGTAGAGGCATCGGAGGAAGTTGAAAAGTGGGAGAGGGGAAGAGACGGCTGAGAAAGATGTGCAGCACATGGCATATCAAACATGTACGTGATGAAAAGATTGTCTTATTGCTATCTAGATCAAGGTTTCCTGTCGAGATTGTGAATGAATTAGATGGAGAATCAAGATGGCCACTGTGCACGCGGCCGGTACGGCGGAGGTTTTCCGATGGTTAGTTTGCATATATCAAAATCCGGATGCTTTCGGAAATGGTAGCAGAAGATGCCATAAGGAAGAGTTCGAACGTTCCAGTCCCACCCTGCCTCACCAGCTGCTGGGACGTCGTGGGACGTGCGCTAATTGCCGGTTTTGTTGCTTGACTCATCAGATCTCCAAAATTGAGACGTGTATACTAATACTATGGGCGCGTTTACTAGGGCCTGCCGCTTTAGCTCGAGACTTTGGTGTTCTAGCTCCCGCAGAGCACCAGACAAGCATGCTTCAGCAAGTGCGTACTTGAACTTGCATGTCATGAAGGGCCTTGGAGGAGTGCAATCCGAAAGTTTAGGTAAATGCGACGACGACGATGCGGTATGTATTTGGTCATACACACTATCCACGCAAATCTGACAGGCCGTTGATTGATGCAATTCAAAAGAGTGTACGGCCGTCATATACATAGGATGCCGGCTATCAGCTACCGGGAGATCCGTTTCTCACCCTTTTTTTCGGGATGGTTCTTTCATCCTAGTTGGTGTTTGTGAATGAAAGAAGATGACACTTTCAAATTGCAATGCCCCTTCAAGTTGCAATGTGTCATTTCCGCAGTTCTACTATGTCGTACAGCTAGTCGGACGTCCAGAAGGGTCTCTCATCATCAAAACTCCGTTGGCGCTTGGTTGAGGTAAGAAAAGTCAGCACCGAAGCAACGGCAGGTGCATTGTACGCCTATTATGACACTCGCCATGTCTAATACAGGCAAGTTTTTTTCTGCAATTTATGTTGTCGGTACTGATATGGGTCATAAATCTTGCAGCACAGTATGCAGGTCAACTTTATCGCACTCCAGTGTGATTGAACAATATGTGTATTTTTTTACACTCAGCAGTATCCGAAACTAATGGCGATCACAAAAAAATCTCGTTTGTGGTCAATGAAGTGTAAGGGAACGCTTGCTGTGATTTTCTACATTCCTGTGCCGTACTGATTTGGAATTCATGCCAAGCTTGTAGTGTGAACGCGCGCTGTCCTGAGAAGTGGCTGCGCTGCTAATAGTACCGCGCTGCTAATCGTAACTACTAATGGTACCGCGCTGCTAATCGTAACTTGTTCTACTAATGGTACCGCGCTGCTAATTACCTGGCTAAGAATACGTACTATATAATCCCTTCCTGACCACAATGCCCTGAACATCCCAAGTCTCCATACACTATCACTTTCTCCCCATGTTTTCTACAGCTTTTCCCCCTTCGCAGTATGCTACTCTCAGATCCACCACCTCGCCCCCAGCCTTGCACAATGCTCGATATTCAGGATGGGTCCAACCCCCAATACAACTTCCCCGTGTTGTTTTTACTTTTGATACCTTCTCGCGTCATCCCCATGAAGCGACCACCACGAATAGTGAAGTTACCACCGACGGTAGTTGCACTTCCACATCTATTCGGATTCCATGCTCATTTTTTACTAGAACCTCATCCGTATACAATCCACCCCTACACGAATTCCGGAGCGCGAGGTGATTTCCTTTTCTATGGTTCTACTTTCAAGCTTAATTTGTTTTGTTAGCATCCGCTGATACAATGGGTCATGCTGACTCTCAACCCCGCAACGTCTCTCATTCATGGACATGGAACGGTGGGTTCAGATCATTATATGACCTAATCTGGGTGATAGAGCTGGTACTTATACTCCGTCTCTCCAAGGTGTTTCTGAGATGCGCACCACAACTCAACATGACACAGAGAACACAGGGCTCATATGTACGCGTTCTCCTTCGTTCTACTAACTTGCAAGATGTTCAATTGTATGTTTCTCTAGACGGCCATTCTACGCGACGAATGATGCTATCAAACCTTAACACCCAAAAGGGTACGGCTTAAATGCACTCGTGGTTATGGATTGATTCTTATACATCCCACCAGCCTTCCCGCATCCGTTTCTTGCGCCACCATCTGTGCCATTGATATACGATCTGCGCTATCCGCCCACCTCTCTCCGTTTTCCACCATCATCTCCGTTTGCGGACTGCGGGTACGAATTCCTCCGCGTCCCACTCACGTCAGAGAGGCCCAGGCAGATACGGCTCATCAGCCCATACTTTCCTTGGGCGTTTGACATCGGCCCAAGTGCCGGAGAAGAGGTTGTGACGTGTCTCGACGTTCTCTCTACTCTGCACGCTGCATTGCAGTGCCCGCTTACAGACACCGAGTGGGGAACCGCTGGAGACGATAAACGTGCGAGTCTCATCAGAGCACGCAACTGTCGTCTATGGATCCAAATTGCGTTGCATGGCAGCTCAAATTCTGCACCACAGACTAGACCCACGGTGCAGCGAGAGCCGCTGCTACTCCGTGTCGACTGGCTTGGATCCAGCGTTGCATTCACGGGGCTTGTCAAGGATGAGGCTTTTGCGAGCAGGAGACTCATTCCGGGTGGTAGGGAGCCCCCTGAGACATGGGTAATGAAGTTCCATAAATTATAACGTCCGGAGAAAATGTACCATCACAGCTCCCACGCACAGACACGGAGTAGGGTACTGTTGGAGACGATATATGTGCTAGTCTTATCAGAGTATGCAATCGCCTAAGGAAACAACCTGCGTTAAAGGGGAGCTCAAAATCTGTGACAAAAACTAGATAGGTATCTATTTATGTGGCGAACTTTTCATTTAGCGCCGAGACATCACATCACGGGTCCATGTAGCGAGAGCCGCTGCTACTCCGAGTCTGTATCAACTGGATCAAGGATGATGCGTTTCCGAGGGGTAGTCTCATTCCGGGCGGTGGGCAACCACCTGAAACATGGGCGGTAAAGTTCCGGAGACTGATAATTTCGTTCGGATGACAAGTACAAAGTTGTTTACTGAGATCGTGAGACTGGCATGCGCGTCACAGGGGTTATCGCATGCAGCAAGGTTTCTAAAATTGATTTCGACTCTCGCGCTCAATCTGAATCGCGTTCGACAATCTGGCTAGCTTTTCAAAGCCTCACTGAAGAAGAGCATATTTTCAAGTTTCCTAGTAATTCGTTGCTGCAACATGATCAGTGAACTGGTGAAGTACACGCACCCCGCCTCATGTATGATCTCGTCGATACTGTGGGATATCTTAGAGGGGGCCACCGGTGGAAGTGGCACTACGGCAGAAGATTGAGTTGGCGTCAAGTGACTCAGAGTCAGTATGGATTACAGGTGCACTGGTGAACAAGCGGTGCCAGTGAAGCCGAATGACCATCGGACATTTAAATATTGAAGTTCAAACAACGCGGACGATTTGGCTTAGTGTTCTTCTGTGCCACCCTTATCTTAGTACGGGTCGTCGCATTGCAATCATGCATCTTCGGCACATGATTGAATGACGTACAGAGCACTGTGCAGTGCGGTGTGGGAGAGAAACCCATTCCTGGTCGGACCAAGTGGTCCTGCCCCTTGATCAAGGCTTCTGTGATGAGCGATGTGTGGCATTCCGAAATAGATCGGTTCTCTATGTTTCAGAAACTGCATGTTATACCACTAAAAGGTTGGACCCCGCAAACTGTGCCAGAGAAAGGTACGAATCTTTTATATGTATGGTTATCTTCATTGTCCTACTCGTCGAGCTCGCAGTCTCTGCGAAGAGCATCCTCTGCCTTTTTTAACCCTAGTGCTCATGAACCACACCACCTCTCTGCATCCTCCCGATAACCCTTAACACCAATTCCACGCCCGCCTCGCCATGAATGTGCCGTCGCTACCGGTGGAACAGCGCATCACCACCGGGCAGCATGTCCGCGTCAAGATCTAGTGTCGGATCCCCTTCACGTTCGTCATCGACATCTCCCTCGTTGTCTCTCCCCACCAGTTGACTCTTACCGCGGCAGGCGCCTTGATATCTTTTCTTCAATGATTTCCACTGCATTCTGGATTTTTTCTTGTAGTCCCACCTCGTGCATACTACCCTACTGTCTATATACATGTTCCTGTCAAATATCGACAGTCATAATCTGTATATTGCATCTTCATCTCAGTGCTCACTCAGTCAACCAGACACGAAAAATTAAGTTTGATTCATAATTAAAATTTCATGATATGTAAATAACAAGATACTGTCAAGGAGAGACTACACTACACACCCAATTTTTGTGGGAGAGGGTGGGACACAAGATAAGGAAGCCAAATTGGTGTATGCTGCAGGGCTTGGAAGCAGAATTCGGAGCAGCGGCAATTTCTGTTGGTGGCGTCAGAGCTGGTAGCACTATGGGAGTTGAAGTCGGGGATATCAATATCGAGTACTGGTCGGGTGGCTTGGTGATGGGTATTTGAGGGAGTGCCACGAACGTGGCAGGACGGCGCAGAGTAGGTCTGCGCGAGGCGGTGAGCTTCGACTTAAGAATGATGAGGAAATATGCTTACCGAGCGGTGGTTGAAAGCTTGAAGCTTGAGTCAACGGGTCACCAAGAACGACATGAAGATCTACCTTACAAACGTTGAGGTCTTCACCACCAGGGACTTGTGTTTCCCACCCTGTTGGGAACCGGTCTACTTCGGAATGCTAACAGGCAAGGCACAAATTCAGTGGGGACACTCATGCTACGGGACGGGTTGTCAGATAACCCATTGAAAGGAAGCGACTTGGGTCAGTCACCATACCTTTTTGTTGTTAGACCCTGTCGGAACGTTAGTCGGGAAATCCCAGCCTCGTGAAATAGGTGACCAATCAGAGAACACGATCCTGGATTGGTTAGCAGCTGTGCTGGAATGATTACGCCTAGTACTCAGTTCCGGTGATTTGTGTGGAATTAAGCTTTAAGTGCATTTGGATTTCGGCTCTTTCCAGGTATCCGTGTATGTCCGACGTGACGACGATGTTGTTAGGACCAGTCAGGTTCGAATCTAATCACAGCTAACACTGGACTCTCTCAACGTGAAACTATATAACAGACCATCCCCGCAATGCCTCGTCATCTCACTCATGCTTTCTACAACCTGTCCCCCTTGGCACTCGCAGTGGGTTACCCATAATCCCACTATCTTACCTCCATCTTTTCACAATGCTCGCTACGCAGGGTGGCCCCACCCCCCAGTGCAGCTTGTTACTTCACCTCTGTCAACTGCATTGCATGACGACGCTGTAGTAAACGATATCCCCTCGCATCGTCCGCAGGTTAACGCCGCCTATACCCGTGAGCTGTGATTATCTTCTATAGCTCTCAGCTCTCAGCTCAGCTGTTGTTGTTAGAGTCTTCAAGTTATTCTGTTCATCCCCAATATGAACCTCCCTCACGCATGAATTTGGGGGTACGAGGTACTCATCTTTTCCATAATCACACTTTGAAATCACGCTCAATTTGTTCGGCTAGCATCCTCGAATACAATAAGTCCTGTCGACCGCAACATCCTTAATTCCCGGCCATGGAATGGTGGGTTCTTTCTCCTTGAATCTGATCACCATATGACCTGACTCGTCTGATATATAAAGGTAGCGCTCGCTCTCCATTTATCCAAGGTGCTGTTGATATGCACCTTACGACTCAACTCGATGCAGAGAACACGCGGCTCATATGTACGCGTCTTGGCTTTACTAACTTGCAAGGTGTTCAATTTTTCTTCTAGATGATCATTCTGTACCACAAATAATGTCATCAAACGTTGACCAAGCCCAAAATGGTATGCCTCAGACACAACTTGTGATCCCCATCGTTCCTCTGACTCATACCTCTTATTAGCTTATCTTCACCCACTTCTCTCGATGTCATCTATGCCACTGATATACGACCTGCGCTTCCCGCCTGCATCTCTCACTTTTCCATCGTCGTCTCCATATGCAGGCTATGGGTACGAGCTGCTCTTCTTCCCACTCGCCCCAGAGCGGCCTAGACAGATACGGCTCATCAGCCCAAACTTTCCCTGGACATTTGACATCGGTCCTGACCCTAGTGCCGGAGAAGAAGGTGTGACATGTCTTGACATTCTCACTTTCCTCCACGCTGCATTGCAGCGCCCACTCACGGACACGGAGTGGGGCACCGCTGGACGTGATAGACGTGCAAGTCTTATGAGAGCACGTGATCGTCGCCCAATGATTTCCGCAGCACGCACCAGGTCAACAGCGAGGTCTGCACCCGGCGTATCAGCACTGAATCCTGTGCAGCGAGAGAGGTTGCTGCTGCGTGTCGATTGGCTTGGATCTCGTGTTACGTTTGCGGGGCTTATCAAAGATGAAGCATTTGCAAGGAGCAGACTCATTCCCGGTGGTGGGGAGCCACCTGAGACTTGGGTGGTGAGGTTTCAGAGGCTATGATTTTGAATGTCCAGAAGAAAGTGTACAAACATTGTATTGATAATTTGCGAAATTGACCAGTCTAAGCTGAATTCATGTTACCTTCTCGGCATGTTGATGCTGTCCTATGCTGGCAGACTTATTGTAGGTACCTGGCAGCCGACGGTCTTGATATTAATAGTATACAATAGCACGGGCGGACACTCCCAACACACAGCCTGTCAAACACAGAGCAACATTGACCAACAATTATCCATTCGATCACCCTCTAACTGCACGCACTCACCACGTTCCACAGGTTATAGGGCTTAGGCGCTGCCTAGGTGGGAGTCACATGCGTCTTGCGCAAGATCCATGCCTTGTTCGTCCCTCATTCACACGTCCCTCTCGTCGAAACGAAATAACTTCTCATTTATCATCGGCTGCCAGGAGAACTTCAGCAAGTGTTCTTGCTCATCGTTGAAGACGTGCCAGATCCCAGCATCTTCTCATTTCAAGATGGCCTATCATCTCCGAGTCGGTCAATGTTGTTACCTCTCCCCGGTGCACCGGTTCTTGCACGTTCAACACCAGGGGTTTGGTCGCGCACCCAGGCCGTGTCCTCCGGATAAGTTCGACCATTGAGGCTATTTCTTCCACATATCCTCAAGCGATTGCTTGCCCGCTCTGGTAAACCATCACCCTTCTCATTGCTCAGAAACATGGGGATCGCCCAGAGTTGGACTACTTGATGATAGATTGTCGACTTCTTTGGGTCTCGTGTTGCGTTTGGGGGGCTCGTCAAGCTTTCAAGGATGAGGCGTTTGTGAGGAGGAGACTCATTCCGGGTGCGGGAGAGCCACCTGAGACGTGGATTGTGAATTTTAAGAGCCAATCATAATAATCGTGTCTGGACAAACCTTTTATGTGTCGGTTATCTAGATTGCGAGACATGAAATTGGTTCTGCGCGCCACAGGGGCTATTGCTCCCCGTATGGCAAGGTTTCCGATCAACGAGGACTCGAGGACTCGGTTAGTCACGGGTTCTGGAATATCCAATTTTGAATCTTTCACGCTCGCTCGTAACTTTCAACTTTGAGCTTCATTGCACGCAGTAGTACTGAAGAAGAGCATCCCACGATGCAACGGTCGTGGGATTACAGCACTGTCACAGGTCCAGGCAACCCTCGAATGACCTTCCAATTTTTTCAAACAGGAAATCAGATACTAGGTGCTACTTTACCCACTTCTGAACGCCGCAAGTAGTACTCGCCACAACTATGTCTTGAATCTATGCCTCCTCCTTCAATCACTCTACCTTGTTTATTTTCTCGCACTGAAACAGGAACAGCCCATAGTATTGGGAGTAGGCATCGGAGGAAGTTGAAAACTAGGGGGAGAGACGGCTGAGAAAGATGTGCAACAACATGGCCGCATATCAGACATGTACGTGATGAAAAGCTTGTCCTACTTCTATGTAGATCAAGGTTTCTGATTGATATTGTGGATGAATTAGATGGAAAGTCAAGATGACCACTGTGCACGCGGCCGGTACGGCGGAGATTTACCTATGGTTAGTTGCATATATCAAGATCCGGATGTTCCTGGAAATGGTAACAGAAGATGCCGTAAGGAAGAGTTCGGACGTTCCAGCCTCACCCGCGGTGCCTCACCAGCGCTACTACTGGGACGTCGTGGGACGTGCGCTAATTGCCGGTTTTGTTGCTTGACTCATCAGGATCTCCAAAATGGAGACGTGATACTAATACTATGGGCGCGTTTACTAGGGCCTGCCGCTTTAGCTCGAGACTTTGGTTTTCTAGCTCCCGCAGAGCACCAGACAAGCATGCTTCAGCGAGTGCGTACTTGAACTTGCATGTCATGAAGGGCCTTGGAGGAGTGCAATCCGAAAGTTGAGGTAACTGCGACGACGACGGCGTATTCGGTCATCCACACTATGGGCCACGCAAATCTGACAGGTCGTTGATTGATGCAACCTTTAGGAGCGTGCGATTCAAAAGTGTGTACGGCCGTCATATAGGATGCCGGCTATATATCGGCTACCAGGAGCTCCGTTTCTCATCCTTTTTTTCGGGATGGTTCCTTCATCATATTTGGTGTTTGTCAAAGAAAGAAGGCGACCCCTTCAAACTGCAATGCCCCTTCAAGTTGCAGTGCCCCTTCCAGTTGCAATGTGTCATTTCCGCAGTTCTGCTATGTCGTACAGCTAATCCAGAAGGATCTCTCATCATCAAAGCTCCATTGGCGCTCGGTTGAGGTAAGGAAAGTCAGATGCATTGCACGTCTATTATGACTCCACTCGCCAGGTCTAATGCAGGCAAGTTTTTTCCGCAATTTATGTTGTCGGTACTGACATGGGTTATAGATCTTGCAGCACAGTATGCAGGTCAACTTTATCGCACCCCAGTGTAATTGGACATGAATTTTTTGCACTCAAATGTTACAGCGGTGTGCGAAACCAATGGCAATATTCCTTTCTGGTCAATCACCTGGCGAAAATTTCCAAGGCAATGCCCGTAAGTCGCCAAGCTCTTTTATCAAGCGCTCATTCCAAACGAGGGCGAGCGAGGGTGTGGCTGTACTGATACGGAAATAGCACTTGTGGAACTCTTTCCCTTTCGTCCCAACGTATATAAACCTTCCTCATCACAATACCTTGAGCATCCAAAGTCTCCATACACTATCACATTCTCCCCATGTTTTCTACAGCTCGTCCCCCTTCACAGTACCAGTATGTTACCGTTAGACCCACCATCTCGCCTCCAGCCTTGCATAATGCTCGCTACGCAGGATGGGTTCGCTCCCCAATACAACTTCCCCGTGTTGCTTTTACTATTGATACCTCCTTGCATTCTCCCTATGAGGTTACTACCACCAATAGCCGTAGTTCAAATTCTCAATCTATTCGGACTCTATGCTTACTTGTCACTAGAATCTCATCCCTACGCAACTCACCCCTGCACAAATTCCGGAGCGCAAGGTGATTTTCTTTTCTATGGTTCTATTTTCAAGCTTAAGTTGCTTTGTTAGCATCCGCTGATATAATTGGTTATGTTGACTCTCAACACTGCAACGTTTCTCGTCCATGGTCATGTAATGGTGGGTTATCTGTCGATACGACCTAATTTGGGTGATAAAGGCGATGCTTATACTCCGTCTCTCCAAGGTGTTTCTGAGATGCGTACCACAGCTCAACATAATACAGATAACGCTGGGCTCATATGTACGCGTTCTCCTTCATTTTACTAACTTGCAAGATGTTCAATCATATGTTTTCCTAGATGGCCATTCTACACGACAAACGATGCCTTCAAACCTCAATATCCAAAAGGGTATGCCTTAAGCGGACCTATAGTTATAGATCTATTCTTATACCTCCTATCAGCCTGCCCCCATCCGTTTCTTGCGCCACCATCCGCGCCATTGATATACGACCTGCGCTATTCGCCCACCTCTCTCCGTTTTCCATTTCCATCTCCATTTGCGGGCTGCGGGTACGAATTCCTTCGCGTCCCACTTACGTCAGAGAGGCCTAGGCAGATACGGCTCATCAGCCCATACCTTCCCTGGGCGTTTGACATCGGCTCAAGTGCCGGAGAAGAGGTTGTGACGTGTCTCGACGTTCTCTCTACTCTGCACGCTGCATTGCAGTACCCGCTTACAGACACCGAGTGGGGAGCCGCTGGAGACGATAAACGTGCGAGTCTCGTCAGAGCACGCGACCGTCGTCTGTGGATACAGTTTGCATTACATGGGAGCTCAAATCCTGCATCACGGACTAGACCCACAGTGCAGCGAGAACCACTGCTACTCCGTGTCGACTGGCTTGGATCCAGCGTTGCATTCATGGGGCTCGTCAAGGATGAGGCTTTTGCGAGGAGAAGACTTGTTCCGGGTGGTAGGGAGCGCCCTGAGACGTGGGTGGTGAAGTTCCAGAAATTATGACACTGAATGTTCGGAGTAAATGTACATCACAGCTCCCACACATGGACACGGAGTAGGGCACTGTTGGAGATGATAAATATACTAGTCTTATCGGAGCATGCAATAGCCTAAGGAAACAACCTGCGTTAAAGGGGAGCTCGAAGTCTGCGACAAAAACTAGATAGGTATCTATTCATGTTTGATTCATGTGGTGAACTTTCATTTAGCGCCGCGACACTGCATCATGGGCCTATGCAGCGAGCGCCTGGATCCCACCTGAGACGTGGTCGGTTAGGGTTAGTGGCATACCGCATGCCCGACGTCACAGGGGTTATCGCATGTAGAGTTTTTAATAGAACCTTGATCAATAACTCAAGGTTTGTAGGATAAAGGATAGAAAAACATGCTCCGGGTTAGGTCGATCGCGATGATCGGACATTTGAAGTTCAAACAACGCGTGTCTTTGCTACAGTATTCTGCAAACAGCTGTAAAAATTATGCTTAATGTTTGTCCTAGGATCTGTGTTGCGAACTTCTGACCTTACTCCGACATGCAGGCAATTGGCCGGTGCTTTGGATTTCTGCAATTGCTACCGTTTTCAATTACTAGATTTTTACTTTAGGGGTTACTTTACATTGTACAATGTTCTATGATCTCGCGTGGTTTTTACTCACGTGATTGATCATTGTACCGATTTTCCGCTGTGACAGCTTTTGACAGATCGCCATCGCCTTTGCTGACACAGTACCCCTGCCCTACGGGAAAAATGCGCTATGCTATTTGGGGACTTTGGAGGAAACGGGCGGAATCTCAAGCTCTCAAGTTCAAGCTGAACTCTCTCAACTCGAAACTATATAACGCGGCCGATCCTCTCAATCTCAATGCCTCTTCATCTCCCTTATGTTTTCTACAGCTTTTCACAATGCTCGCTACGCAGGGTGGCCCCAGCCCCCAGTGCAGCTTCCCTATGTTACTTCACCTCAGTCAACTGCACGGCATGAGGCTGCTGTAGTAAACAATATCGCCTCGCATCGTCCGCAGGTTAACGCTGCCCATACCCGTGAGCTGTGATTATTTTCTATGGCTATCGGCTCTGCTCAGCTGTTGTTAGAGTCTTCAAGTTATTCTGTACATCCCCAATATGAACCCCCCTCACGCATGAATTTGGCGGTACAAGGTACTCACTTTTCCCATAGTCATACTTGGAATTCAAGCTCAATTTGTTCGGCTAGCATCCCCAGATACAATAAGTCCTGTCGACCACAACGTCCCCAGTTCGCAGCCATGGAATAGTGGGTTCTTTGTCGTTAAATATGATCACCATATGGTCTGACTCGCTTGGTATATAAAGGTAGCGCTCGCGTTCCATTTATCCAAGGTGCTGTTGATATGCACGCCAGGACTCGACACGATAAAGAGAACATGCGGCTCATATGTACGCATCTTGGTTTTACTAACTTGCAAGGTGTTTAAATATCTCTTCTAGATGATCATTCTGTGCCACCAACAGTGTCATCAAACGTCAATGAAACCCAAAATGGTATGCCTCAGACACAATTTGTAATCCCCATCGTTCCTCATACTTCTCTCTCGTTAGCCTATCCCCACCCATTTCTCTCGATGCCATTCGTGCCAATAATGTATGACCTGCGCTTCCCGCCTACATCCCTCACCTTTCCTTTGTCATCTTTATATGCAGGCTGCGGGTACGAGCTACTCTTCGTCCCACTTACCCCAGAACGACCTAGACAGATACGGCTCATCAGCCCAGACTTTCCCTGGACATTTGACATCGGTCCTGACCCTAGTGCCGGGGAAGAAGGCCTGACGTGTCTTGATGTTCTCGCTACCCTCCATGCTGCATTGCAGCGCCCACTCACGGACACGGAGTGGGGCACCGCTGGACACGATAGGCGCGCGAGTCTTATCAGAGCACGTGATTGTCGCCCAATGATACAACCTGCATTGCAGGGGAGTTCGAATTCTGCGGCACGCACCAGGCCAACAGTGAGATTTGCACCCAGCGCATTAGTGCCAAATCATATGTCCATGCAGCGAGAGAGGTTACTGCTCCATGTTGATTGGCTTGGATCTCGTGTTGCGTTCGCGGGGCTTATGAAAGATGAAGCATTTGCGAAGAACATACTCATTCCGGGTGGTGGGGAGCCACCTGAGACATGGGTGGTGAGGTTTCAGAGGTTCTGATTTTGAATGTCCGAAGATAGTGTACGAGTATCTTTACCGGTTTATTGTATCGAGTAGGGGTTTGCTGTGCGAACTTACGACCTTGCTCCGTGTTGACTGACCTGATTATATTTGTATCACTCTATTGCCAACGTAGTTCTTGATTGTTGCATTTCGTAGTTTATTGTACAAGTGTCTATGATTTTGACCAGTCTAAGCTTGCCTTGTCTTGCCGAGAAGCATCATGTCCTATGCCCGTGACAGTGGGGCGGCTGGGGCCCTGCCGATGGTTTTGATCCCCGACTCTATGGAGTAGAGAGAGGGTTATGTCAGATGAAAACGTCCAGGCACCTACAAGAAAATCTGCAAGCGCGGGAACTTATTACCTCATTCGCATTCTCTGCTAGGGGTTCGCTGTGCGAACTTAGAGTCTGTTCGGCCACCATTATTTGCGCAAGTTAGAATTTGGTTCTGGCTTTGCTAATCGTCGGAGCTTGAACAAGATGTCACGCTCCGATAACGCTTACTGTATGCCTTGTCCTACTATCAATACAATGCCTCTTGATCCTGATTACGACGAGTATGCTAACGAGGACGAATACGACCTTGTGGAGGCAGAGGATATGGACAATGATGCAGAGGAGAGTGATAAGAAGTATCTGGCATGCATCATGCAGATGGCCATGCATGCTATGCGCACGGTCATTACAGTCCTCAACGCAACAACTACCACGCTCGAAGCTTACTCAAACACCTACTATGACAAAGAGCCATATCATACCTCTGCTTTGTCGGGGACTGCATGGGTCACCGAACTTCTCACTGGACACCCTGAACGCATCAGATGCGAGCTTGGGGTCCACAAGCACGTTTTCTATGTGCTCATCAATCTCCTTTGGCAAGCAGGATGCAGAGATTCCAGGCATGTACTGCTAGAAGAGCAGCTTGCTATATTTCTCTATGCGTCTGTCATGGGTCTCTCGATTCGCCATCTTGGTGAACGCTTTCAGCGGTCCAATGAAACAATATCAAAGTACGTATATTGTTGCTGTCCTGGTATCAAGCTTATGTTCTTTCAGGTATTTTAAACGGGTTCTTTTCGCATTCTCCTTGCCACCGATATATACGACATACGTCCGCCTGCCCGACGTAGATAGCCCTCCTCCCCCCGAAATCACGAAAAACCCGAAGTTCTTTGTTGACACTACCGGAGCCATTGATGGTACACACATCACATGCCATCCTTTTGGTGAAGATCGGCATGCCGCTCGGGATCGCAAGGGGAACTTCTCTCAAAACTGCCTTGCGGCATGTTCATTCAACCTTTCGTTTACCTACATGTTGAGCGGTTGGGAGGGGTCAGCTGCAGATGCTCAAGTCTATCACGATGCTCATACTACCGATTTCAATATCCCTGAGGGAAAGTATTATCTTGCGGACGCTGGATTTGGCTCGTGCGATGAGCTTCTGGTCCCGTTTCGGGGCGTGCGTTATCATCTTGCAGAGTGGGGTCGTGCTAATACTTTGTATGATGCGTTCTGCTAGTACCATTCATACTTATGTTCACATCATTACATAGGCCTCGTAATCGCAAAGAACTTTTCAATTTGCGTCATGCAATGCTTCGAAATGCTGTTGAGCGCATTTTTGGTGTCATCAAGCGCCAATTTCGTATCCTTCTCCTCCCGCCAGAGTACAAAATGGACATTCAAGCGCGCATTCCTCCTGCCTTGTGTCTCGTGCACAATGTTATTCGAGTTCACGATCCAAACGACATGATGGACTATCGTAATGTGTTAGATGCGCACATTCTCACTGACACTGGAAACCTTGCTAACGGTCCTCCTACTGAGCACGCACGCACTCGTGCGAGCCTCTGTTGTGACCAGATTGCTAGTGAGATGTGGGAGGCCTACAACAGGGAAAGGATTCAGAGGGGGGAGCAGGCAATCATAGAACCACTAGTACTGTAGTCGCGTTAATACCATAGCCATTCGGACCCTCATCGATGACTATGATCCAAAGTATCTCCGTCAAATGATGACATTGTTGTCAGATTAAGACCGGACCCTCATCGATGACTATGATCCAAAGTATCTCCGTCAAATGATGACATTGTTGTCAGATCAAGACTGGACCCTTATCAATGACTATGATCCATAGAAATAGTGATATTGCTTTGCTACTACAAGTACAATACAAGAGAACACGACACGACAAGAATACATGTAACACTACTTTGAATGCTGCTCTGAAAACAACCGCCGAAGACTATCTACCTCAATAGCGAGATAAATATCAATGATAGCGATGTCGGCCTGAAATTTATTCAAGATATTGAGTAGTTGTACGTCCTCTAGACCCTCACTCTGCAACTTTTTCACCGCCTTCTGCCTGCACAAAGGGATGGGATCTACTGATCGCGCCAAGGTGTTGGAGGTGTTGGCCTCAAGAGCATTGGCCGCGCGCTCTAACATTGTGTTAAGACCGCCAATATTAGTCCCCATATGCTGGATGGCCACAGGCATCGTCAGGCGTGCAGACTTTGCCGAGTCTCCCGATTTCGTTGAATGTGGGGGGCGGGTAACGATATCAAGCATACTTTCATCATCATCAATCAGCTTCCGTTTACCGGAAGCTGTTGATGATGGCGCACTAACATGGACCGACTCAAGGGAGGGTTGCTGTGCAGCGTCGAATGGAGGGAGGCTCTCTGGGGTGAGGGGGGTTGCGCGCTGGCCGCCTGAAATAGAGCCGGGGAACTCGATCCCATCGAGCGCATCTCCAAGGTCCATCATATGGACCTCGTCAAAGGAAAGGGGGGTGACTGCGCTGCTAGAAGAAGGCGAAGGAATGATGGGAGGTGGTGTCGTGATGGTGGCAAAGAACGAGTTGTTGTTACCTGGCTTGACAGGTATGAAACCTTTCAGCGCCTCATAGTGCTTCCAACCCTTGTCCCGGAGGCCTTTGGCCTTTGGATTTTTCTATTGATTCATAGTAATTAGCATTGTTGTAGTAGTTTGATGTGAATTAAAATCACTTTACCTTCACAAAGTCGGTCCACATGTTTTCGGACTCTGGAGTGATCGAAGCTCCATGTTCCATGCTGTAAGATAGTCCGGAAACGTTGGCCACTTTGTTGACGACGTTGAATGTACCACGGAGCTGAAACTCGATCATTAGTGAGGGTACCAAGGCTGATATAGTAGTAGTACATACCCGCCCCCATTTTGATTGACATGCTACCGCTGTTTTGCTTGCACCCAAGCAGGGGTGTTTGTCCATTTCAGCGGCAGCAGCAACCCAAAACGTGTGATCAAAGTTCATACCATCACCACCTTGTGAGTGGTTGGTGGTGACATACTGGATGAGGACGGTTTCGTCTGCTTCCGTCCACACACACCGATCTCTCGCTTCTGTTAGCTCTGCACCACCACGGGCACTTTTTCTGCCCCAAGACATCCTGTAAGAGTTGCGATGATGGATAGATTGTAGATGGGTAGCAGGCATGCCTACTACTTAGTATTGATTGATTAATAACTGTGACCAGCACGGTCCTATGATTATGAAAGCAAAATATAGATTCTAAACCTGCGTAAACTGGCGCAAATATTGGTGGCCGAACAGACTCTTATGACCTTGCTCCGGAGAATTTTTAATTTGTGGGAATCGGCTTTGTCGACCTCTTCCAACACTCGTCGTTTTGCGACCCCCGAATCTGCGTGACGGCAGTCCTAAGTCTGCTTGTTTTCGTTCTCACTGCGATAAGTATTTTTTTCAGCCAATTAATAGGTTGGCCTTTAGCATATTCGATGTCGTCTTCAGCTTGGTCCTAATGCCTTTTGAACACGTTCGATAAGCCGATTAAAACATCGTAGCAGCACGCAAAATGTACGAAAGTTCAACAAATCCAAATAGACCAACGCGGCCTCAAGCATTAGGTTGTGGTTCACCGTTCACGCGCTCTACCATTCTCACTATATCATCCTGTGATTTTTGCATCTGCTGAAACGTTTTGTGCATGTAGCTCCATGTGTTCTCTCTAGTCATGTTGCCTCGCGCTGACGTTTACTGATCGTTGGCTCTCATACCTTCTTCCTTGCTTGCGCCTGACGAGACACAGGGCCAACTTTGTATCCATGTTGATGAGGTATGTGGTCTCTCTCAGTTCATCCTATCCTTGGGTGTTTTTGTTTCCCTCACATTCCTTTTGCCTCGTCATCAATCTTTGTGACTCCAGGAAAACAGCTTGTTTGGGATCGAGCTCGTGCTAGGTGGACTTTCGCACCGGATAGGTAAGCCACACACTTCTGACAATTCTCATTGTTGTCTAACTGGCATAGTCTCGGACCAAACATCGATATACCTCAAGAGAGCTGCTATGCCATCATTGAAGTTCACCTCATATTTGGACTGTATCTATATTTGTATTGTGTCATCGGGACCGAGCTTTGAGCTTGACTGTATTTGTATTTGTATCATGACATTGAGACCGAGCTCAGAGTTTGACTGTATCTGTATTGTAGAAAGTAGAAACTAAGATACACGTCTCAGCATTGCAGGAAGAAGCGCTATAACATTAATGGTACCTAAGATACACGTCTGGAGACGAAACAATATGAGTAAGAGACAGTGTGCAAGGAAAATGAGAACCATACCTCAGCATTGCAGGAAGAAGCGCTGAGGTATAAACAATGTGAAACAGTGATGCTATATACTAATACTGCGTCCGTGATGATGAATAAGGAAATGGAATACGGTGTCGTTGTTGTACATCCAACACACCCCCTCAACGAGACACCAATGCGAGGCCCGAACAATGATGATTAAAGGCAGGGCGTGGCAGAACTTTCGTGAAGATATCGGCTGTGTTCTGGTGTGTAGACACCCAAACTGGAATGAAAGTATTGGCTTCAACATGACGCCGGATGAAGTGATAGCGCAAATCGATGTGCTTCGTGCGAACGTGGTTTGCTGCTTCCTTGGACAACGTGATAGCCCCCGTGTTATTGGCGAACAGG